TTGGGTGAATTGGTTAAGCTCTCACCGGGTCTGTGGACGCGCTTATGCTCGCACGTTTTCGAATAGTAGCGCGATAGCTTTATTCCGCTGCGTCGTTGGTTGAGGGTGAAAAATTATTTTCAACCGTTCACGGAGCATAACGAAATACTTTTTTAAACATGCTATACACTTACGAGCCGCTGTGATTGACTGAGGTGCGAAATATTTTTAGTTGACATTTGCACGACTCGTTCAGCAATAAAGACTCTTTTGCGATATGTTCGGAACTGGCGCACACAGAGCAACAAATCTTCGAATTGGATTAACTCACTGTCCGTCTCGATGGAACGGTATAGCTACGGTGCTCGGCTGCTGAACCGAAGGTTGTGGGGTCGATCCCCGCCGTGGTGGTCGCGTTTCGATGGAGGCGAAATGGTGGAGGCCCGTTTGCTGGGCGATGTCAGTGCACGCCTTAGAAAACACCAGATGGTCGAAATTTCCGGAGTTCTCCACTACAGCGTCTCCCTTATAATCATATCGTGGTTTTGGGAATCCTAGATACTATTATTAAAAATGACACACTCCAAATGGTTATGTAGTGAATACGTCTGTTGTCACATAAGTGCGAATAGTGAGCTATAAATAACTCTCTAAGCGCCGTCTACTGAAAAAACGAAATTTATTAGCTTGCTTTATTTTGTATGTGCGCTTGTATCTCGCTTTTTTCTTGACTTGAGTGATCAGATTTGATGCATGCAGAAGGGCCGTTCCTTTTCAGTTTTTTTTTTCCTGCTGTGACAGCGAGGCTAGGCTGGTGCAGTTGTATGGCGAGCGTATACTGCGCCTTCGTGCGATGCGAGAGAGATAAAACGAGAGACTGGACATCGGGTGGTTGTTTGCACGTCTTCGTACGCTCACTGCACCTTCGTAGCGGCAGCTTCTGTGGCTCCGGTTTCTGCTACACACTGCGTCGCGATGATCGTGGTTCAGCGTGTGATTTCTTTTCCTTCCCAATTGTGCCGCCCTCCATTTTTTTTTGAAACTTTCCCGCGAGGTACACGACTCTTTAGACGTGCTGCAACTGTTTGCGGTGAGGTGGTCGGCCTTGTTTTCGCTTTCGCCAGTGGTTCCTGCGTGCTCCAGTATCACTAGCAGCAGCGTGTCTCGTCCAGCTTTCCTTTGGTTTCCTTGAAAAGAAAAAAAAAAAAGGAAGAGCGCCAGAAAACTGGCGCTTTCGAAAGCCACTCATCTTCGTGCGCCTCTGCGAGCGAGCAGGCAACGCTGTCCTGTTCAGCGAATATCCACGTTTGTCTCACGAAGCACAACCACCTGGCAAACACGTTGTAACGCACTGCACACAATTACTCATCTAGCCTAGTCACGTCGACATTTCAGCGAGTGACAAAACTGATGGTTGCATTCGTTGTTCATTCGCGTGATAATGCGCGGCGCATATTCTGTAATGCTGCACATTGTGAGCATAGCTTAAAACCGGGCTAACTAGCTTGTGCATCGAAGGCAGTGTAGCATGCACAAACGCTTTTCTATCGCTGTGTGTGAATGTGGCTGTATTAAACTTGCGATATGAGTCCTTGTAGAAGATATAGGTATTTACTTTGTTTTACGCAAACACACACATGGGCGAGCGTAAATCGGGACGCCCCACTATATACGCCATGTCTCTTTATTATGTCGTGGTGTTAAGCACGTTGATCCCGGAATTTAATTTTTAACACGCTCACACGGTGCACAGAAAAATGTAACACGATGCTTATGCAAGCAGTCATCATGCAGGAAGGTTATTGTATGGCCTCGGTTACAAGTATCAGTGAATATCATTTATATAATATATATATATATATATATATATATATATATATATATATATATATATATATATATATGTGTGTGTGTGTGTGTGTGTGTGTGTGTGTGTTCCCTAAACAGACCGGGTTTACTGACTGAACTCTGGTTTCCTAACAAGGATGTGCTAAGTTGTTTGTTTTGAGCTTCATCACGAGGATACAAAGTCTTCCGACGCGACGCATGGGAATGGAGCCTGCCGCCGATTGCTCGTTGGCCCCATGCGTCTCGAAACGCCGCATCGCACGGAAAATCTCACCGTCATGTCTTCACTCCAGTCGGAAGCCTTGTTCGCTACCGACGGGAAAGCCGAGTGGCTCGAGAAACGCGGCCGACGGCTTGTTTCGGGCGCATACGACGTTGACTCCTCTATAGTGCACGGAGCGGCCGCTGGAAAAACCTATTAAATTCATTATTTTCCTGTAGATCCTAGCTGAAATGAAGGTGGTCTCGATCGATTTGGCCCAAAACCTTGGTGGCAAAATTTTTGTTGAATATCCCTTTAATAGGTACTTAATTCCAATGAAACGAAAAGCATCTTTTCTTTACAATCAAACGACTGTTACACTTTACTAAAGCTCCATGTAAGCGACATCAATTCTCACTGGTATTAGTAAACGTTTGCAGATGTTCCCTACAAACTGCTATAGATGGAACGTTTGTGAAAACTTGTTGAAACTGCTTCTTGAATTGATAGAGAGATTCGATGAACTTCCATTGAGCCCATTTCCTGAGGACAGCCTCGTTGCGGGCCATTTTAACGGCCGAATGAGCTGAGGACCCACAACTTTCGTGAAGGTCATGTCAGTGTAACCACATGAATGAGATATCCAAGGAATTATCCGACTATAACGAGCAAATGGCTTCATTAAAACTTATCATCTTATACGGTAAATATAATACTTTATTTTCGCCTGGCATTTTAACTGATGTGCGAGGGAGAAGTAGTGCGCAGAGCTGTTTAGCAGCTGCGCCTACATTCAGGCTGTCTTACATTTTTGTAAAGTTCTTTTCGCTGTTCTTATGGACTCTCCCCAATGTGCTGCACGCTAAAAAGTGTTGTGGAGGAACTGCACAGTTACCCCCCAAAAGGGCTTTTCGCTCCTCCTAAAGACGGAATGCGTGCAAAAGACTGCACACGGCAAGGCGGGGCACTTTCCGCCTTGTGGAGTAAAGCGTCTGTTTTTTTTTTTTGGAGTAACTGCAGGCAAGTTCGCACCGTGTGCAAACGACCCATCCGTGCCAACACAAGCCTGTCTTCTTATAGAAGGTGTGGAGCGTGGTGTAGTGGTTAGATTACGCGCATGCGGAATGAGTGGTCGTGAGTTTGAATCCCGTGTGTTTGCCGCAAATTTTCTGAAATTTATTTCTGAATGTGACGCTTGCACTTCAATCGTACATTTAACGAAACGCCAGCATGCACTTCGAAAGGCTGGTTGCGCCAATTAAAACCTGATTTTTCTTTTGGTAACTGTTTCCCCTTTGAGCAGTAACCGCGAGAGCGTGGTTACCCATGCGCAGTTACTCCCGAATTGGTGCAATGGGTGTGGCAAGTTACTTACTCCTCTAAAGGAGCAACCTCGATACCCCTTATCCTTCTTCTTAAAGTGTGTCTGTTCATAGCCTCCTCTATAACTTTGTGCCCGAGCGGTCGGTCCCTCAGCGCCGTCCCCCGAGCTATTATGGGATGCGAGCGCTCCTGGCGGAGCGCCGAGGCGCAAAACGAGAGAATGGATGGCAGCTATGGAGAAAAAACCGGCTTTGAGTAACTACCGAAAGGGCAAAAATGAAATAAGGAGGGAGGCATTTTACGATAATTCAAGGGGAAGCGCTTTACTGTTTGAAGCGAGATCGGGTTGCCTTAGAACGCGTAGTTATAAAGCAAGATTCAGTAAAGAAGAAGAACAATGCACATGCTGCGGGAAAGATAAGGAAACGGCGGAGCATGTTCTGATTGAATGTGGAGATATCCACCCAGGTGTACGTTTGGGCACGAGCCTGCAGGAAGCCTTGGGAGAGCCTCGACAGGGGGAAGACGTTGCTCCCAACGCCAGATGTTGCTGCACTAGCAATGGTTGGTGGCTATATTGCAAGAACAGTCCACGAAACCATTTCCTGTGATGAATGCTTCACTTTGGTGACTAAACCAAACACCTCTGCGCCATCGGATGCATTAATTAGGCACCAGGACAGAGGTGGACTCCTGTATCCGTCAACTGAGCTCGTAATGGTTCTAAATTCTCTAAAGAATTACGCGGAAGTTTTCCTCGCAAGAGCGAGAAAGATGAATCAGCCACTGAAGGCTGCCGTTGACAACGCCGCGCAAATACTACAGAAACGTGACAAACTCAAGTGCTCGACCCCGGGACATCATAAAAAACTTTTGGAGGTTGTGCTCGTGAAGTTTCTCCGCCCACTTTTTCTGAACTTCGCGACGAGTGTGACTGACAAACACGACTTGGCAAAAGATTTTCATGTCAAACCATTGTCTCGAAAAGTGCTCAAGCTTTGAGCGCGAAATCAAATAACAAAGCTTACATTGCATTCTGCATACAGTGCTTGTGTTAAAAATTTGGTGTGTGCGCACTTCTTAACGTATACGCATAATCCAATGCAATGTAGACGGTTTCTAGACCGTCATAAACGCAAGCGTGCATAGGCCGCGTCGTCTGCTGTTATTATGGGATCGGTGCGGCATCTGGCGGCGAGCGCCAAAACTATAAGGGACGGATGGCGCGTATGTATTTAGCGCTAATGCGCGGGCACAAAAAAATATAGGAGGCTATGGTCTGTTGATAGCCAACGGTTAACACTGTTCACAGAGCGCTCAAAGCGTGTACAATAGAAACAGCTTGGTCTGGCGTCTTACCACATGTGTGCACGTTTTGTAGCGATACGTTAAGCCTTATTTCAGTCTCATCGTCCTCCACTCGCGGCTGGCTTCGTGGTTCTGACCGCTACTCAAGCATATAAAGCACGCCGATGCACCAGAAAATGCATCGCTAAAAAATACCGGGCCTGCGTCTCTGAGCAACGCATACAAATCTATGAGAGTAGCGTTTGAGCTCGCGTCAGTGTTAAGTTTGCCTTTATGTAGAAGCATATGTTCAGCGTTCAGTGGCTTATAAATTATAATGTATTGTTCATTCTTTTCACAGATTCATTCGTCAACAGCCAGGAATGGACGCTCAGTCGATCTGTGCCCGACATTCGCTTGGTAAGTGGCTGTAACTATATGCTTTGTGTTCTTTTTTTCTTTTTCTTTACTGATGTGAATAAACGGTGTTCTCACTGCAACTCAACTATCGCTTTTACACTATTTGTCAAAACTATATGGGCTGCGTCTGGTGTGACGGCCACGCCGATTACAGCCTCTCTTATTGATTCATTTTTTCCTTCATCATATTTATTTCCGAACACAGCAACTACATATGTTGGCAGGGAGCAGTTTCATTTGCCTGGTTTTCTCAGCCATATTTGTGCTCGAAACTCCTGTCCACAAAAACGCTATATGTACAAGCGTTATGTCGAGAAGGAACCGCGTCAACATACGCAGTGTATAGCGTGGTAAAAGAGTGAAATGAAAACCATCACAAAAATGCAAATTGTGTAACCAGGCGTCGCACACTATGAAGCACATTACGAGTGGGTCGTTGAATGCATCCGACAGATTAAAAAAAAGCTCAGCCATAATTCATCGTTATCAGACACCGAATCAATTTATGCAGTCTGGCAAGTTGTGATGACGTCAGGCACCAAAAGAAAAAAAAAAGGCAGCTTCCGCGTCGCCTTCTCGATCCTCAATGTCGCGCCGTGCGGTCACTGTCATCCAGCGCGCCTGTGAAGCGAGCTAGCGGAATATAGAATAGTGTACGTGCACGCGAATACAAGATATACGCCTATCAGAGGGCAGTGGACTCGTTTGACTTCGGATTTGTCGTCATGGTGCCAATATTTTGCCTTGTGAAGTCTCGCGCCAGTGAAACGGGGGACTATAGGTGCACGTTCCACCGATTCCCGTCCGATCGCGCGCTGAGACAAGCGTGGGTCGGCTTCGTGCGCCGCGGCCGAGGCTGGACGCCAACCAAGCGGAGTTTACTCTGTTCGCTGCACTTCACTCCGGATGCGCATACACGCGCAGCATGCAGTTGCTGACCGACTTCGGATTGTCGACGAAGAACCTGCGCCTCAAATGTGGTGTCATTCCAAGGAGGTTTAAAAAAAAATTGCTGGAGTGGAAATTCTTGCCCACGACTGAAGCCGTGCCAACCGCAAGATGAAGGCTGCGGTAGCCAGCTTACTAGGGGCATGATGAGCTGTTAGTGTTCGGCGATTGAGAAGGGGCGTTTTCTTCGCACGCCCAACGAGTTTAACGTGGCGACCTTTTCGGGTCATAGTGCTCGAAGTACGACCTTGTGTTCCTAGTTTTTTGTTTTTAGGAAGCGTTGAATTCTAGGGAAATGTTATTAGATAATAAATAACCGATACTAGTTTGGTTTAGTTTGGGAAAACTTTATTTTGAAAGTCTGAAGGCGTGTGCCCTAGCACATGGCGGGCCGCTCCCATGATGAGACAACCGATACTAGTCTCTACAGAATATTTCCTTGGAAACAACTATCTTTTGATATATAAATAACGTAGCCTTTGGGCTAATAAATCAGCCACTTGATATATAAGTAGGCACCACCAGAAAAAAAGCATGTTTCTGAGATCTTTGGAGGGCAGAAGCTGGCTTCACTACTGCAGGCAACGCATTGCGGGAGCTTTCACTCCAGCAATTTATTTTTTAACCTCCTTGTGCAATCCCAACGTTGTGCCCCCCTACCGCGTCAGTCGACACACCTGCTGCGCGCGCAGACGAAACAGACGATGGAAGAATTAAGGTACATGCGGACGAGGGTACGTCGCGAAAACATGCGCATGCCCATACTGCCACCTGGCGGCGCTGCTCATACCATGTCGTGACTTCAGGGTACAGTATATACAACTGCATCACTTAAAACTTTAGGGAATGTGAGACACTTGACGCCGTAACAACATCGAATATGGCGAGAAAAATGGGTGCGATATGTCTGTGGCCTTCTTTCTGCTCGCAGCGCAAGCACCGTGGAATATCCGAATAAGCCAGCGCTCACGTTTCTATCTGCATCTATTTTGTTTATTTCTTTTTCAATTCCGCTGCTGACAGAATGTACGCACATGGGGAACCAAATTTGAATTGGCAGAGCGGCGCACGAGCTACTTTCACACAGAAATCGCTGCTGTGCCGCACGGAAGTGACGTCAGTCACTGTTCCGGTTTGGCGCTTCGTTTGAATAGTCAGTGTCTATATAGCGTTGCGTCTAGACGTAATGATAGACGCCGTTGAAGTTACGCGCACACGTAAAAATAAAGAATCTTGAAGTTGCGCCCAGCGTGACAACAATTCAAAACCGACTTGTTAAACCCTCCGAACCGATCGGCAGCTATGACGTTGTTGGCTAGCGCGGCACATGGAGGACGGGTGAGGTCGTTGCTTCGAGCCTCATTGCAAGCTTAATTTTGCTTTTTTTTCTTCGCGCGAGTATCGTTTTAGCATTTGTTTCTCCTCGTCGGCGTCCCGTCAGCCTGACTTGCTGCTGCTGCTGCGCTGCTGGTGGTGCTGTCTACAGGCCCTTTATGACCTCGCAGAATTGGCTATAACAAACTGTTTTGCGAATTAATCGTCCTCATCGGAGAGATGCAAGAGGACACGCTAAATTCAAATGCAGCTGGTTGTGTCGGTTTCTTCGGTTCACGCGTCAACAATGTTGATCTACACAGTTTAGCAAAGTTCTGATGACAAACGTGCACTGCACCGTAGCATATGCTACAGAAAAAACCTTTTTATGTCGCTCAGCGTACCGTCACCACCTCGCAAGGTAATGGGCGGGCCGCTTCAAAATATTGACGTGCCACCGTAAAATACTCTAGGCGATCGGAACTTTGTAAACGATGCCCAAGGGCAACGGCCGACTGCGCTAGCCCACTTATACCTACAAAACAGTGGCGAGCAGTTAGCCTTCTGTGTAAAACATCGTTGGCGCAAACTTGAAAGAAGACGAAAGAAGAGACCCGGAAAAGCGCACATTCGCAACTGACTTTTATTGAACCGAAGCTCATCTTCTGAAACCCTCTCGCGTGCGTACAGCCACACGAAAAGCCGAAACAACTATCATTACGACCTATCAGACAAAAAAAAAAAAAACTCATTATCAAATATAGACAAGAACGGGACGCTGATGCATTGTTCACGAAATCGCTTAATGTACATCGCCTCTTCCAATTCCCGTGCCACTTTGTCTTTGCTTCTTCGCAAGATTCTCGTGCTGTTCAGTAGCGGTTCACACGAGCACTCCTTACAATGATACGGCCAATGCGAATGCATGCCGCTTCTCATTGACAGCACATGCTCTCTTAGGCGATCATTTATGCATCGGCCCGAGTGGCCGACGGGCACCTTGCCACAACTGAGCAGGATCAAGTAGTCAACACCTATCAAACAGTTCAAGATCAGCACTTGGTGCGCCACACGAACGAACACAACTACGCGAAAGCCTCCGAGGTGCAGAGAACACGACAGAACCTTCAAAACGAGAGTCCACGTTCTTCAACAAATGGACCACTCTGTGTATATAGGGAATGACAACAGGGCGCTTATTCAATGTTTTTTTTTTTCCTTTGTGCCTGAATCGCTGGTGGCGTCATGTTCTTGAGGAAAGTTTCAAAGTGCAAATACGCAAGCTTGTGTCTGCGGGTTTTCCTTCCTTAGTGTTCACGTCAGTATGTGAAGCTTTGAGAAAATTTCGTCATGACACCACCAGCGATTCAGGCACAAAGGAAAAAAAAAACACAGAAGAAGCGCCCTCTTGTCACTCCGTATGTACACAGAATGGCTCATTCGTTCATCGCCTCTCGTTTTACGGTCCCTGTGCGTGAATTGGCAGAGGCGATGTACATTAAGCGATTTCGTGAACAATACATCAGCGTCCCGTTCTTGTCTATATTTGATAATGAGTTTGCTTTCTTATCTGATAGGTTGTGATGGTAATTGTTAAGGCTTTTCGTGTAGTTGTACGCATGCGCGAGGGTTTCAGAGCAACAGCTTCGCTCTAATAAAACTCAGTTGCGAGTGCGCGCTTTTCCGTGTCTCTTCTTTCGTCTTCTTTCAAGGTTGCGCCAACGATGTTTTACACAGCTATACACCAACTAGCGCAACATCATACGTTACTGAGCAGTTTGTCTGCCTTACTGAATAGCGCGCATGCTCTGTGACAACATGGCAACATACCAAACATCGTGAACGGCCGTACGTGTTCGCCCTTAAGGAAAATGCCTCCAATGCAGGAGCTTTGGCCTTCAGAGATCAGAAGCTTCGTGAAAAGACTTTTCAGCCACACTGGAGTTTCTTTCGCGTCCGGAAATCCACACTTCAACCGTGCAAAAACATTCATTTCATCGTCGACCTTGCCTTTCACGACAAGCACGATGAGGTATTCGGCAGCAAGGTCACTTTCGCCTTCGACAATATCACGTTTTGACATTGCTATCTCGAAAATTCAATACATCCAACAACAATCAATAATCGGTACTTCATACTGAGAAACTTGATAGCGCACTGCCATATGAAGCTGCGGCGCGGTGGACGGCCGCGCTGCGCATATCCAACGTCCAGGATCAACTGCGGGCATCCAGCAATCCCATTTGGCAGCGAGGAGACAGGGTCTTTGGTCTTCCTCAGGGGCGGCCTAGTCCCAGGTTACGAATTTGCCAGTTTTCTATAAATATGTTATGACCACCACGCATCGCAGCTACCATCTTTGTCACTGTTGACTGTTACGTTCCTCCGTGCCTTTCGCAGCCGTAACGCCCCATGACGCCCCCTAGATTTAATACGCTTGCGATATGTGTTTATTTAACCAATAAACGTCAACTGACTCGTCAAATACTTATTTAGTAACATTTTTGTAGCTTTAACACACTATACAACATAATATGCACATTTCAATAACGTTAGTTTTTTTAAAGTGACGTCACTTCCATGCGGTGCATGTGGGACTGGCTGCTGCGACGCTTCCATTTAAATATTCTCGGATTGTGCTCCGCAGCACAAGCTACCATGCAATCTGTGCATCTCGGCATGCATCGATTGTGCACTCCGCGGGGAGCAGTGTGTGTGCCTGCGGCCGCACGCGTGCACACCGTAGTGCGGCGCGTGTTCCGCTTTGTACTCAGGCGAGGGAGCAAGGCCAAGGGCAGCGCTGCAGGATGCGAGGACGATCCGCGACGAAGCGGCTGTCGGGCACGCGCTGCAGGTTGCTATGCTAATGCGACTCTTTCCCGTCGCCGTGCTTCACGCTCGGCTGTGCTCATCGCGCATCTTCGCTAATAGAAGGCAGCTCAAAAGCGCGCGCTCGTGCTCTTGCATGGGAAACGCTGCTATTTACAGACAATGCAATCGGTGCCTGTCATCTTGGCCGAGTCGGCTGTTTTCCTTGTGTGTCCCCTTGGTCTCAGCCGGTGGTCGCAGATGCATATCGTAAACACTGTAAAAAAAAAGTACACCGGGGTTGAGTAAAAAGGCTTGTCTTCTAGCGTCCCCCCTATTCGGAGCAATTGTTGCTCCGGACATCCGAAGCAATGTTTTCTCTGATCGAAGGAATTGCGTGGCGCACCCGGAGTACTTGAAACAGATATTTACAGTACTTTAAACAGATAAAATTGACTGTTGGACATTATACAATATCCTGTGATATAGGCAATTACACTCACGGGTAGTTCTGGGAAAAAGGAACATCTAAATGCATCTGTGCCGTAGTCTACAACTTTGATTGAATGATATGAGCGCACAGCACATTCATTTGTTTTTCTAATGCGCACTGTTTTGTCAATTCTAGTTTTGTTATGGAAAATGAGGTAAAAAAGCTTGTTTCTTCATTCTTCCCTCGTGTAGTTTTTTAGCTCTGCTTTAATTAGAAAAAGTGAGTCATGTGTACCAACTATAACAATTAAACACAAATGGAATAGATTTTTTTGGACCAGATCTAGCTTTTCTTAAAATATTGGACTCAATAAAGGGATCCGACATTGCAGCTTTATATCCTAATTCTGGTCTATTAAAAGTTTTGTATGCGAGAAGTTTGATGTGTGGTGTGGCATTCAAAATTCTCATTCGCGAGCGACCAAGCTGTTTCATTGCCCTTCTTTTCAACGTGTTCATTCCATATTTTAAATCTGATGTGAGTATTAGTGAGTATTATCTTATGCAGTCTGCGAGTCTATGAATACAACCAACTTTTAAAACCGATCTCTCTCTCTCTCTTCTCTCTCTCTCTCACACACACTCACACACACACTCACTCACACACTCACTCACACACACACACTCACTCTCGCTCACACACACTCTCGCTCACTCACACTCTCACTCACTCACACACTCTCACTCACACACTCTCTCACTCACACACTCTCTCACTCACACACACACACACACACACACACACACACACTCACACACACTCTCTCACTCGCACACACACACACACACACTCACTCACTCACACACACTCACTCACACACACTCACTCACACACACACTCTCTCACACACACACACACACACACACACGCACACACACACACACACACACACACACACACACACACACACACACACAACAGGATGAGCATTCAATATCAAGAAGCACATCCCATGTACTCACAACCGCATACGAAGAATGCGACCGTGGAATGAGTGGGATGGAATTCTACACGCAAGGTATTCTGGACAACTCAAGGACTTCCGCTTCTACCTTGCTCCTCATACTTGATCTGGCTGCGCATTGTGTTCCAAACTCGGATTTGGAGGCGTTCCTCTACACCACAGTCGAGTGCTCGCTCGCAGAGTCCGTCGGCTGCTCCCGCCATTGGCATTCAACGTAAGAGGAAACGCGATGCGAGGCAACGTTACTTTAAGAGAGAGAAGAAAACGTTTGTTATGGTTTTCTGAGTGAGATCCTTAGTCCGGGATCCCATTGGATCCCATTCGCGCGGGCCGATAGCCTCGCACGTTTCACGAGAGCCTCTTTGGATCCGAGCTGGACAGGTATACTCGGACCCGAACAATGTTACTGGTACGTTGGTGCGAAGGGCACCCTTCCCCAGGCGGTTAGGTATCGAGACGCCTCTTTATCTCGGAGGCTTTCGTTCTGGCAATTACCCTTTTTATGGTTGTCTCGGGCTCTACAAAACGGCAGTGGGCAGCACAGGAAAACGAAAATTCGGACTGTGTGGCCAAAACTGCGCCACCCTATAGGGCCAAGCTAGGTGCTGTTTCGTAGAGCAAGGACTAATCGACGAGCTCACTGGTACGTCAAGTTGCCCATAAGCATGTTTGTGTCACTGCGCGTACAAGGGGGTTGGTCAGGCACGTGCAGTGTTTTTAGAAATTGAGCGTCTGCACAGCGCTTAGCGCTGTAATGTTCAGAAAATGCGTTTGCCGTCGTGTTCCATTGTGCAAATTGGCGAACTTATTCGGGGAATGAAAAAAAAAAAAAGTCGGGACCTCTTTGCTGGCTCTTTACGGGGTCCGTGACATGGTTTCCTTAATATTTCGTGTTTATTAAGCCCATTACTGGAACCAATCATTGGCGCCATGATTCATTCCGAACACCTTTTGTTGAGGTAGCTAGGAATCATAAAGAGCTACCGTCCTCCACCACACCGTCTTTCACCTGCAACTTCGTGCGCCCGGGGCTAAGCTCCGCTGTAGTGGCTGTTTCATGATGTGACGTGAGAGAACGATAGCGTGACGTCGTTTTGTCTACTTTCGATAAGTCGAAACCAGCGCAGTAGCCACTGGTGGGTCAGGCCACCGACTCGACTGATCGCATAGGGTGTATGTATATAGGCGAACTTATAGATGCCGTTCGTCAAAATATCGTTCAAACAAGCCATCAAACTTGCGGTGATGATGATACGCAGTTGTTCCTCTGCATTATTATTTTAATAAACGACGTTTTGTTCCTCGAAGCACTGATGGAGGAACGCCCCCTTGCTCGCAAATATTACAAGGAAAATGTCGTAATTGTTGTGATCCTGAAAAAAAATCGTTGTTAGTTGATATGCATTGCGATCTCGCCATCTGCTATGTTACCAAGTTAGCTGTCTTTGCAATCACGTACGTCGGCTTATTACTGCCCCGAATGTAGTGTCGGCATATTTGTATACACTCCGAAACGCGCGCCTCGCGACCGGTTGTTGACCGGACCGCTTCTGCGAGCGAAGGCTGCGCCGTGCGATTCGAGCAAATGAAGCAGTTTCGGAGAGCTTGTCATGCATTGCACACACTCATCCAGGCAAGTTCGATAGTTTGGAATACGTGGGGTGCTGGGGATCGAACATGGCTTCGAATATCGTAATTATGCAGTGTGCTGTTTTTTGCGAACTTTTGGAATCTGTGTAACCGCGTTTTAGTTGCAAAATTAGTCTACCGTCTGTATAATTGTGGCCGACTGTTCGTAGGAAAAAAAGAAGAAAGTGACGCAAGTTGCTCTGAGGGAAGCTGTCGTGTGTGTGAAGCCTGTTATCAGTCTGAGCCGTGTCGACGGCTGTGCTATGGGGCTGAACGTTAGACGCTCTTCGTCAGTGTACTGAGATTAGAAGGCTAGTGGTGAACTGCAGGTGTATGAGTCTTAGGCCACTCATAATATCGGCGGTAAATCCAAGCACGTCTAGTAATGCAAACGTGTGAACTTCAGTGGAGCCTGTAGCATTGAGGTCTGAGACAAAGTATATAAGTTTACTCAAAATACTGATTGTAAGAAAGTTTCTCGTGTGCGCCTAAAGAAGGGCTCGCCTGTAGCTAAGTATTATACTAGCTAGACAATTCGGCGTTGTTGAGTTTACTGTGAAAACATTGCGGAAAAAGTGACTGTACACGGTCGGGTATACGTTAAACGCACTCGACGAACTGAATTTTGAAGCGTCAATAATTGAAGGTTCTAGTGTTTTTATAGACAAAACTGTCTAGCAAGTGCATTTTCAGCTCTGTCTCAGGACGGATGCTCACAAAGCAAGCTAAAATCGTTCTTTTTTATTATTACTGAATTTTACTTGACAAGTAACGCTTGCGTCCTGTATACCTCATATATTTCCGTCATATTTCGTGCTTATTGACAACATGCAAAGGACATTCTAGCGCCGGATTCGATTTCCTAGCCTCGGCGGTTGCACCTCGGTGAAGGCGGAATGCCGTGGAGGCGCGCCTACTGTGCGACGTAAACAAAGCCCTGATGATCCGAATCATCAAGACCCCATCACTACGTTGCTTCGCATATCAGCAGAGTCGATCTGGCTCGTTAAACCGTGTAGAAGAACCAACCGAGCGACATTTTTACTCCCTTTGAAGAAGGGGCTTTTATTTCTTGAGAAACTTGACTTGCTTCACGCGTATATACACGCTACAACATGGTACTCGCGTGCGCACCCGACGACCAAGAGGGAAGCAGCCTGAGGGCGTCGCATCGTTGTCGTGTCCACCCATGAACGAGCGATGGGCATCGACCGGCGACGAACGACACATTTAGTCTATTCCGGTGATATCTGGTACCTTGTCGCGTATGTGCGTGTTCTGTGCAACATGTTCGAAATGTTGTTCGGCACGTGAATGTTTTGCGTGTGCTGTTCGCAGGGCATTGTGGGCAGCCTGACGAGCGGAAAGTCTGCCCTGGTTCATCGCTACCTCACTGGTTCCTACATGCAGGACGAGTCCCCAGAAGGTACGCCAACTCTGTGTTTGTACGCACCGATAGCTTGAAAGTCGCTGCAGCATATAGTATACTTACTGCGACGAGTCGAGAGTTGATATGGCGTAAACAGCACCGTGGGGCCTTTTAAAGCTATTGGTAGTGCTTTGAAATCCTCCTCTTTTTCTTTTCCGTGCTAGTGCGAAAGTTGCTGCTGTTCATTTCGCGTGTGTTCAAAGCGGCGTACGTGACCTTATGCGAGCTTTTTTATCTTCCATAATATATGGTCTTACCGTTTATTGTCTGTACTACAAATTTAGTTTCTACGCGTTGTTAATTGGAGCATTCCGACTGCACACTTGCACTCATTCACCCGTGGTTTTATTTTGTTGACCCAATTAAACCCTGCTAGTGGACGATGCTCCACACTTTCCCTTTAAAAATAGGGAGGAGGCCAGTCGTAGCCGGCGGGCTCAAAATGTATCCGGGAGGCATTTGTTTGTACAGCCGTCGTATGGAATGACAACGAACTGCCCAACATCAGGTTGTGCGCGCTTGTGATCAGTTCGCGTGCATAATGCGCCATCGTATTATGACCAGACAACACGTCAACATCACGAATGTCGAATGTGTCTTTCTTGTGAGGGAGGTAACCTATGACGCTGAGTGTATGCGCGATCATCTCTGGTCTTCATCTCTGATCATCTCAGTCGCAAGGCAGTATAATAAAGGTCGATGAACGAGCCCGTGCTCAGGTCAGTTTGAAGCTTCTGTACCATACGAAATATTTTTTAATGCAGTGGAGTGCTCAAGGAAGGAAGTAAACAAGAGAGAGGAAAAAGTAGTTTGTGATAACCGGTGGGCAAAGCCAACGTAACCCGACACATGGACAAAGGTCAAGAGATGAAGGGAGTATAACTTGTGAGGTCGTTAAAAATGTTCGCTTTCGTCGCCTTCATGTACGACCACTGCTGAGGACGACATCAATGGTTGGTATATACCAGCGGTGGTCGCAAAACAATGTAACGAATGCTCGCATAAAAAAAAAAAGCTTCGGTCCCCAAAGGCGTCGCGCACCATGCAAAGGCGTCGCTCACCATGCAGCGAATTTCGCCTGCGCTGTCGTCACGGTAACGTGGATGACTCCAGGCACGTCATCTCTCTGCTCAAGTTATTATCCAAATCTTCTCATAAGCGTCTTTTATAACATCCTTGCTCTCTATTATCCGTTGACACAGAATAGACCTTCGGCGATAAAGGGAGTGTATGACAAATACCTATTTTACATTGAACAGATGGGACTGCTTTACCACAGGCGTTCCCGTGATCACCCAACTTTTCCGCGATCCTTTCCCCCTCGCAACAGGTGCCGGTTGAGATCAGACTTTAGATTTTTGTGGCCACCACTAGTTTCAACGCGCAATGAACCAAGCCGGCTTGATTGGAGAGTACCGCGTACATGTTATGCCTGTGCGTGCAATGGCTGTTCGATGCCCTAGGTGGTCGCTTCAAGAAAGAGATCGTGGTGGACGGCCACAGCTACCTGCTGCTCATCCGAGACGAAGGTGGACCCCCCGAGCTGCAGGTGAGTGGCGGTGACTGCGAAAACCCTCTTCTGCGTTCAGTGTCACACCGTCACCAATCTGGATGCATGTAAAAGCCGCATATGGTTGCGCGCGCGCGCACACGCGTTCGTACATACATACATACATACATACATACATACATACATACATACATACATACATACATACATACATACATACATACATACATACATAGTCAGCCGCCTCGTCGAATGCGTAGAGTGACTCCGCCTTAGCCACAATCGTGCGGAGTCAATAATCAACAAGTAATGGGGGTGGGGGCGTGGACATAAAAATTTGTAGTCGTTTTTTTAAAATGCGAATGCATTTGTTAGTCGGGGCATGTCAGTCGTCTGGCGGTGTCCGCGCGGCCGCAAGTGTTCTCTCCACTCTCTCTCTTCCTCCCACAACAACAGCTCTGGGCGCGCACGCTTTTTCTCGCCCCTAGCAGCCGGAGCAGGTGGTGCGGGCGGAGTAGCGGAGAGGGAGTGGAGAGGAGCGTGCTTGGCTTGTGAGGACGCTCGCATAGCGGGAGCTCGGCGGAGCTCCCGCGTGTGTGAAGAGAATGTAGGTGCATTGCTTCGCCCCTCCTTCTTTCGCCATTCGGTCTCTCTCCTTCCTGTGCCCCACTCTCCCGTCTGCTCGCTCGTTCGTATATACAAACGGAGTAAAACGCGCGCTTCACTCTCTACCATTTTCTGGCTAATAAATGTGTAAATAAATGATTTCGGTGCAAATCGTCGTCTCGTCGTTAATTTACGCCATTAAAATTACTACGCCATATCCTCTCGGCGCGATTCGCCTTTTTTCACGATTCCCTTTGGGAAGGTGCGGGCAATTTTTTTTTTGGCGTCGTATGAAAGGCCAAGCCCTCAGTAGCCTACAAAACGTACTGGCGTTAGTGAATTCTAGAAAAATAATTGCAGCATGCTTTGAAAGATAGTTTCGGTTCATACTGTGCCCTGACGTAACAATGCGGTGTGAGAATCTTGTCATGTGCTGCGTTGGCGACTCCCAAGCACCGATTTTGAAAGTTTCTGCTCCAGGCGTCATCACAGTTAGCCATATACTGCTGCTTGGAGTCACCAGAAGCAGTACTGTAGCCTGACGTCAAGCTGGTGTTGACGTTGGTAGCTGTTCCAGGGGAAAATCGACTTTAATATCAAAGTAGCATATCTTACCAGCAACTACCGGGCTTCGCCCTTGCTCTGTATGGAGACTTATATGGTTGTGTAATCTCACCTCCGAAAGATGTCAGTGCCCCTCAAGTAGTTTATTAGATGTGAAGCAGCTCTTCGACTAGCCCGTGTAAAGCTGTCCATCCGTGTCGCCGTGCCAATGCGCCACACTGCGTTCTTCTCGCCGCAGGTGTTGGTGCGGTAACAAGTAGGTCACGCCTTTCCTTACAGTGCGCGGTGACGTCACTCTCTCGCCTGCCGCGCGCTCACCGCGTGTCACCTCTCTCGCTTCACCCTCTCCACCGCTCGCAACGTTCGAGCGAACTTTTTCGGCTCGTTTATCTGCCATGGAGAGAACGCCGGAAAGCGAAGCTTTTCTGCCCGCCGAAACATGCGCCGAAGCGATTTGGCCGAACCCGGCCGTCGCTGGCGTTTCGAGGGTTAGCAGAGCCGACCGTGTGTGAACGTCACGCCTGCAACACCGATGAGGCGGGAGCCAGGGAAGCCTAACGCAAGCGTCGGAAGTGGAAGACCAACGCCATCGACGAGATGCGAGTCAAAGAAGCCAAGCGCAAGCGTCTTCAACGCGTCGGCACCACCGACGAGGCGCGAGCCAAGGAAGCCGAGCGGAAGAGCTGACAGCGAAAGGACAACGCCTGCGACTCTTCGATGTGGCCGTCGTCGGTAATCTCTCGAAAGCGCCGCACGCCCCCCGCCGAAGCGCTCATCCGCAATCGCCGGGCTCCGCCGGCTGATCATGAGGCGTCTCGCCACCGCAACGCTGATCGCGTCCGCGCGGGGCGAGAGCCGTCAATGAAGTCGCGAGCAATGCTGGGCTGACGCCCGCTTTTGACGAGAGTTCCTCCAACGTAGTTTCGATCACAGTTGCCACGCGTGCGACCGCCTGTGGTTCAACAACCACTTGGCCAACGTCGGTTCCGTCTGCAACCGCAAGCAGCTGGAGGCAACGACCGAAGTGATTCGGCGCAGACCCGTCAGACTTCGTGTCTGCGCCACTTGCAAGGAGTCGCTGACGTCGGGCAAGGTTCGTACGATGAGCGTCACGCACGGGTACCTGTGCCCGCCACTCGCCCACCGCAACCTCCCGAGCTTAACCGTTCTCCGAGCACCCGCGTCGACGCCCTTTCAACCAGGCCAATGACGTGTCGACCGCTGCTGCTTCGCATCACGTTAGGGTTCCCTTCGGGGAAATGGTCCGTTGTGTTATTATTGTTATTATTAGATGCAAAGCACCTCTTTGGCTAGCCTGTGTAACGCTGTCCGTCCGTGCCAACGCGCCCGTGCCAACGGGCGTGGTTGCGAAGAAACCATGGAAGCACAGGTGCTATAGGCAGACGCACTGGAGAAGACGAGATCCGCACGGTTTTTGAAAACCGCCTGCTTAGCGTAATTCGGTTGAGTGGAATGGATGGAAAGCGGTGTCGTGGGCGGGACGGGACTACGACGGACGCTGGGAAACGTCGTTGTCCATCATTTCGCCTTCTCCGTTATTTCCGCCGTCGCCAGTGTTGAAATGCTGCTGTGGTTGTGGCTCATTGCTCGCACTCGTTTTTTTTTTTTTCTAGGACAACTGCATTCGCGTGGCTGCTGTTCCCGAATATTCGCTAACCGAAACACCTGCAGTGCGAGTCGTCTCTCCGTGCACTTAGCTAATGTGTACGTCCTTCGTGGGGACTTCTTCTATTTGGGAATACTTTAGTAACTCCCCCTCTTCAGGGCGGTGCGCGCTTCTGGATGCAGTTCGCCCGTCGATAAACCGCAAGACCAAAATGACAAAACTATGACCGGGCGACGCCTCCGCGCAACTGACCAGCTGCCGCTTACTAAGTTTAATGCGAAACAAAATGTGGACTCGCGAACCTCTCCTGGAAAGTAGGTCCGCCCAGTTGATTTTCCTGCTTGCCCGTGGTGACTTGAAGCTTCCGTGTCCACGAGTTTCGGTTGTTTGTTTCGTGTCGCTACTCTTTGTGTTGGTTTGTCCCTACAGCACCTCGCTTAGCGCGTTTGTGTTGCAAGTAAAAGCTAAACATCGCGTGTGCTGGTCCGACCAGAGCGGCGCTTGTCCGGTTTCGCATTCTCTGTTAACACTGCCCAGAGGACGCCGACCGCGGAAGAGCCACATCGGCGACGAAGCCGACAACGCGGCCGTTAGAACAGAGGCGACCACTTTCATATCGCCACTGGGCATGCGCGAATCGTTGCTGCAACCGAGGAGTTTGCTTGGCTGAGAATTCGAGGGGCTGGCTGACGTCGGTTGTCTCGGCTGGCTGTGCGAATTGAGAACTGTGAGTGTAACAAACGGCGGTGCCTTTCTTTACGTCGCACCCATTGACGACGACTCCCTATTGTGCGCCCCTCAGGTTCTTTCATCTCTGGGCCTGCCAACGTTCCGGCCATTCTCTCGCTCGCCTTTTGAAGACGGCCGAACAGTCGCATACCTTTTTTTTTTTTCCTGTCGTGTAGAGAGAGAGGCAACTGGAGAAAAGCCAGACATTGGGGCGCGTGGTGGATCCTGGCTCGCAATGGCAGCAAGGAGTCGCCTCCTTCTTGCCTTGAGAATTTTTATTAGTCCACGTGTAGTGTTCATTTGGAGTCGGTATATGTGAGTGGATAAAATGGAGGTGACCACTGGTTGAGGGCCGTTCTGTAATATTGGATCTGTTGGAACTTCCCGACTTCTAGGATGACTGCCAGTTGGGCATGTTGGTATAAATCCATGATGAATTCGTCCTGTGTTCCCGACGTTCTCGAAGCACAACATTCTTGCGTACGCTTGGTGAGGCTACACCAATGAAATACTAAAGAGACTGCAGGAGTTGACCTTCGACTCGGGGTATCTTCGCGCGGCGCAACGCCGGCCGCACCTGTTTCCCCGCGCAGCATCGCGCTCTTTCTCCACGCAGCGGAGGAGAGAGTCACTTTTGCTGCAAGTTCATTGCCGCAAATTATCGGAGCCCCCCTCGCGCGCGTCTTTCTGAGCGCGGCCTGTAAGATGCGCCGTGGGCGTATCTGGGTCACCTGGGCACACTGCGTATTGTTTTCTTTTTTTCCTCTCCTCGAGGTCCATGCACACGCGCTCGATGGTCGCCACTGGGCGCCTCCACGTTCGCGGCGGCGCCTCGGCGTCGCGCGCGACGCGTTCGTTATTTTGTTCTTTATCATTACTTTTTTCCTCGCAAACACACCCGTCGTTCTTTTTCTGCGCCAGCGTTGCTGAGGCAACGGCGTGTGCTCCCGTATATAGGGTGCCTGCATGGTCGCAGCAGACGACGACGGCGGGAAGCAACTTGCACCCCCGGCACGGTGTGTACGTGTGCAGTCAGCACGCGGCGGCACGTACTGCAGCGCGGATCACCGTTCCCGCACGGCGGTGTCCGGCGAAGGCGCAGTTAGTTAATCCCGTCTTTCAGGTTCTCTGATGCCGCTCGGCGGCGCGCGTCCCGTTTCCAGGGCGATTTGCATCGGCCGCTTCGATTGCTCTTCTTTCCCCCCTCGGCAGGCAGAGCTCGTCGCCGCCGGACGACGACGGTGTGTGCGCGATGCTGCTGCGCCAAGCTGCCGTGCCGAGCTTCGTCGTCGTTTGCGCTTCTCGCTGCGTGACGTGGAGGTCGCCCTGCGCCGCGTAAGTGCTCCGAGAGTGGTCACTCGATGTACACTTGTTTACCGCACGGCACGCGAAGCGTTGTTTGTCCTCTGTACGGTGTCGTAACAGCAGGCGGATGCTACGGGCTGGCCCCGAACCGCTCGTTCGGGGCCGTAGAAAAAAGTGTTGGCACCGCGGTAATGACATGCTCGACGGCCGCTTGTGTGGGCAGCAATTGCGCAATCGCCTCCGTTTCACCCATTCGCTGACAACAACGCATTGCCGGAGGCGTTGACGGTTTCAGGCGAGTCGTGGGCCTTCGTAGTTTCATTGTGAACTAAAAATAGGGCTAGAGCTTTGCGGGTATAACCTAAGGTCGAATGTCAGTGTGGTTTTGACATGCAGTGCGACACGTATACCAGAGCGTGCGACCAAGCTAATGTAATTCTTTAATGGCTACCTGGCTAAAAACAAAGGTGATATCACCCCACCCCTTCTGTTTTCTTTTTCAATAACCGCACAGCGTCAACGCGTTCACTTTCCACGCTAACTGTATACTTTGCAGCCGTAGTAATGTACTAACCTCATGCACGTGATTCCTAGCGACAGCGACAGACTTCCCCCGGCGCGTCGTGACGGCTGCAACCGCATGTCGGTGACAAAGTGCGATTGTTGCTTGAATGAAAACTATCGCTTGCATACCCATAAATTGCGAATAAGAATTTTAAAGTTGGTCGATGAAACTAACATACCCAATTCATTACTGTGTTGAGTGACATAACGAAAGTTCTCAGAAGCTTTTCACGACCTTCTTTTTTCGCAATATTTGGGTTTAACCACGACAGACTGCCCAGAATCGTACGCTACGACGCACTTCGCACGAAGATTTCGCATTGTAGCAAGCTACGAAATTGTCACAAGCTACCGTCGAGACATCAAAACGAACCTTCGATAAGAAGACTTAAGACAAAACACTGCCGGTCGCTCACCCTCCACGTGAGATGAGAATCTAACTAAAAAAAATGACCCCGTATTTGCATGTCAGTCTGCAATGTCGTCGAAAGACGGCAGTCTTGCGTCTGGAGAGACCTAACAAAACGTTTATTTGATGTTCTGCGCAAGAAAATCGGTGAAAAGTATTCTGAAAGCGCTGCGTTAGAGTGCCTCGAGCGTGCATCGGAGGCGAACGAGCGCATCAAATCACGTCACACGTGAGACATGAGCGCTATCTGGCAGTTATTTTGGAAAATGAAGAGTGAGGCTCTGAGACGGGCGTGAGCGCCCGCCTCAGAGGTGATAAGGTGTAGTACGGAAGGTGACGGGTAGGTGCCACCACGGTGCCGTCTTAGCAAAGCGTTGGAAACACTTGTATTTTCGTGCAAGCGTTGCATGGTCAGCAGAGCGTGATAAACGCTACGGTCCTTAGAATTACTTATGTATGCCTTTTCTAGTAAAAGACGCACATACAGAATATATGCGTGTTATGGTGCCTCACATATGTGCAATAGTTGCTTTTCAATTGACAATCGCGCAATTATGAACGCTGAATCTTGAGCAACATTGGTGGGCGCCGCGGATGGGGTCGGCCGTCAAGGGGTATCGACTGGTGCCGTTTAAAGTACTCGGTACCGTTAAGAATGGACGAACAGACAAATATACAGACAGACATACAGACCAAAATTTTTGCGTAGAAGGTCCTCAAGAAAGACTATCGTCTTTAAAAGCTAGTCGATACCTTGCATTCCTTGAAATACGATAAGAAGCACCGAGAGCAAATTGAAACTGAAGCGACGACCACGGCTGCAGCCATGTTGCCGGAAATCGCCACGCATGCTTCCGGGCGACAAGCGATCTTTTCTAGTTTACCAGAAACGCGCGGTGCGACAATCGGCGGCGACGGATGCACCTCCGTGACAGCAAATCTTGTCGAGAGGAAGTCGCATGCGTGCGTTGAGGGCCGAAAAGATATATCTGCCACCTCGGTCGCATATGTATCTGTGGGTTATAACATACGCGAGCCCCGCTAACCGTTGTCGAAGCACGCTGGGCCACCGCCTGGTGGGCCTTGCATTAAAGAAACTATATCTGCGCGCGTTTCTTCTCACAGCTTTGTGGAAATCGGATTCTGTGTTTCATTCTTTTGTACGACGGAAAAGATTGAGAATTTCACTCATCCAAATCTGTGTGTCCCACTAGTCGATCACAACCAAATTCAATTACCGGAAATCATGCAAAGCGTAAATGCGACATCAGTTGAGAATGTGGACGAAATAACAACGCCCATCGGCGGGACACCAACCGGCAACCTTCTGAAAACGGAAAGGTTGTTCTTTTTCGTTCATTTCACGCCATAATTGTTAAACTACGCAGTTAAAGAAATTACCGCCCAATTAGCAATTCGTATATAGCTAATTAACCAGTGAAACTGAAACGCGCGGCTTTGGTGTTTTAACTAGCTAGTAGCTGTCCAAGTGTTTCCACCTATAGTTTTTTATATTCTGTTTCACCACAAATAGGAGATGCGTGCTTGGAACTTCATGGACACCCATCCATGGGTAGCGATTCATGCTGTGGCAGGTGTCATTCTTATAGCATGAAAGCATGAAAAAAAAAAAACCGAAGAGTGCAAGCGCGGTGACCCTTCAACGAAGCATTGCTTTTATAGTATCCTGCGCACTCATGGGCCTTCATATAACGACTCTCCGCAAAGGCGCACGGGCCCTGCCACGTTTGAACACGTGATCTTAAACTGGCCTGCCCTCAGTGCTTGACTATGCACTGAGCCAGCGAAGCGGCTGTATCACTCTAACTTGTTACAGCAGGTTTTAACACGGCAAGTTATCTTTTCGTCCACTTTGCTTTCTTCACATTTACATTATAATTATCACTAATACAATCTCTAGCTATACTTTCCTTGTCATAATTTTCTGTTGGTTGTCATTAATGTAGGCATAATTACAGTGTCATTAATTAAGCCCCGGCTGGTCAGTCCCATGCCTGTATTGCGCTGTGTCCCATTGAAAAGGAAAGCGTTGCTGCTGTCTTGAATATGTCACTGCAGCTAGCCGTCTTCGTGCGCCTCGCGGTTCACGCCAGCAGCATCACTGCATGCCACAGCGACGTTTCGGCTCAAGTCACGGGACACTGTTTATCGCCACCTTTTCTTATCTGCGCAACTTTCACGGCAAATTCGTGGGCAAAGCGCTCATTTGTCGTCGTAATGTGCACGCGGATGGGTCTTTCGGAGCTCGCGTATCTACACACACCGTGTGCGTTGCGCGTGCGCAGTTCAGCTGCTGGGTGGACGCGGTGATCTTCGTGTTCAGCCTGGAGAATGAGGCCTCGTTCAGCGCAGTCTACAGCTACTACATGCGAATGGCCCACTTCCGGAACAACGCCGCCGACCTGCCGCTCATACTCGTCGGGACGCAAGGTGAGTTACTTTTGCTTTTCTTCGCTTTGTGCTCGAAGATCGTTTTCATTGGCCTATTCGCAATGTTCGTAGGCTATCGCGCCGCCTAGCAGAATGCAGGAGCGTGCTCTTGAGGATGATCACTAGGCAGACGCTCCCTTGTTTGTCTGTGCTATAGCTGCTCAGTGTTAGCGCGTTAGCAAGTAACCAACACAAAACAATTTTGTATGTTTCGTGCATCAGTACCGGGCCCTCTGTGATTCGATCAATCTCATTCGTTCTTGCGAGACGCAAAGTTTCCGTAAAAATAGTTGGCAACTTGTGTGTTCGATTATAGCCCGCAGAGTACACGTATCAGCTTCGCAAGATTTTCTGCATCTATACGTTGGATAGTTAAATGTTATCATGTGACCTTTGCAGTTGAAACTCGCATTGTTTTATGCGCGTATAGAATTCGTCAGTGCTTTTTTAGTGCATGAATCCCATAACATTCATTGTACGCAAAGAGTAGCGCAAGCTCGTGATTTCCTCTTCCAAACCTTGGCCAACGGTGCTCCAGTTGATTTTTACGTTCATCCACAGATGGCAGGACTCTGCAAGCGTTTCTCTTCTTGCCGGGTGTCAGAGCTAAATTGTTCCCTGCGTCCAGTTAAACGTGGTGATTGTCGCCATGTTTGGTGCAGTGCATTGTGAGTGTTGCTCTTATCGAAGTCGTTCGGCAGAGACAATTGCTCAGATTACATTCAGCAGTGCTGTTCAAAGACACCATCTTGACGTCGAGGATTTTTCACTGGACGTAGAACGTACCGAGAGTGACAGGGACGATGAACGATGATAGGCTGCTCGCTCACGAGCAGCGAGTTGCACTTCACGTTCCATCGGGCGTTAATGTTTTTTCATGCTCATAAGTCACTTTGACTGTACGTACTGTAAAATATTCTTGAGCGAGCTCAGAATGGAAGGATTGTTTTTTTGTACATTGCATGTAGCCCAAATACAATGGATCGCCGCATGCCGCCAACACGCTCGAGCTCGACGGGCGAAACGAAATGGTTAGAGCAAAGAAACGTTCAGTTACGACTACAGTCCACGCCTCTCTTCTAACTTCTTTTGCACTTCACCCGTGCCGTCTGAATGACGGTGTTCCTCGACGAATTTTCACAATTTCGACGTTCCGAAATGCGTTCCCCGAGCATTCGATTCGATATTCTTGTTGCGATCGCGCTGATAGGACATGCAACACCCGAATGCTGTGAATTACGCACTATTAAAGAGTCTGAACATGGTGCTTATGGCGCAAGTAATGACGACGGCGTAATACGCTTGCAAACCATTGCTACGTTAAACATCCGTTCCTGTGCAGCCGCGAAGGCCCACTATTCGCCAGTGGCCTACTACTGCCGCAAATTACCTCGAAGGCTCGGCACAAATTACCTCGAAGTGCCGACGAGTTCTAACGTCAATTCGAGTTCGGGCAGTTTTATGTAGCACGTGGAGGATTAACACAAGGCGTCTTTAATGCATGGTCGATCAGCAGACACCACCACTCTTCGCACTGCGGCAAGAAATGAGGTAGCGAACATTCAACAGTTCATATTGTTTAGGGAGGTACTTTGGTTCGATATACATTCATTCGATGATCAAGAGTTCATCCGGTGAAAGCGGCACGGGATGTACGGCTGTGCGTCCTGTATTTTCGTATGCGAGTTCACGGGTTGATCATCTTCCCTCAGCCATCTTGGATTGCAAGGCGCGCCACCGATAGGCCGTGGGAATTGCGAATAGGTAGAATTGTAGGTGCTCTATAGATGAAGATTGCTTGGCAGGTCTTTATCGAACGCTGCTTTCGCATTGCCACATGAGGCAGACACGAACGCGTTTTTCCGTCGTCGAGGTTAGGAGAACAATAAACAATGATATTTAATGCAACTATAGTTTTAAACTTTAAAAAAATATTCTTTTTCACTAAAGTGCTGCAGTAAACGATTAAAGAAGGGGGAGGTAGGGGGGAAGGAAGAGTTCTTTTCACGCCTGGTTATGGCTTTCGAGGACTCGCTGCGGTTACTTTAGGGGTAACTCGGTGCGGCAGACTATAAGCTCTGGCAAAATAAGACTCCTGGCAAATTTCGCGCAGAAAAATCTTTTTATTGCGATGTGTGTGCCATAGCGGTTCCGCGCCCAAGAGCATGTCCCCTGCGGACGGATAGGCTGTCGCAAGCAACAATGCGTGCTCGACGTCGGCGCCCTCTTGTTTGAGCGCTGCTTTGAGCCCGTGCGAGCAGCGCAGGCAGTCGCTCGATACAAGTGACACGCCAAGGCTGCTGGGGACGCGCGCAGTCTGCGGACGCGCAAAAGCGCCACACGTCACAGAGCGCGTTTTCGAGGGTGATTCTATCGCGGTGGCGAGTCGGACAAGCGCGAATGTCGGCGGATGTTGCTGTCTACCTGCAGTGATGACAATTATCTGTGAAGATTCTGCTGGTCCGGAAGGTGGTACATGTAATAAAAAAAGTCGCAGCTTTGCCGCAAAGGCAAAGCAATGAACGCGATAGCAACAAATTGCAAGGTCACGCGAAGAGTGGCAAGCAGATCGAAACGTGTGCCCCGCGTTTCTCACGCACAAACGACGCACGAAACGTAATCACAGGTACAGATGAGTGCGAATAACTCATGACAAACGGTAGAGAACCTGCAAGACGTGCATAGCCGCTCCATACCTAGCTGTGCCTCAAGAAGCTTTCTCGGTTGCTATGTATACTCGTGCGCATGTTGTCAAGTGCAGTTTGCGACTGTGGCAGGGATGATTGAACAAAATCAGTTTCACCGAAAAGGTGATGCAATGAATCTGATAGCAACAAATTGCAATGTTGTAGTAAGTGATCCTGGCAGTCAACTCACTCCGATCTGATCTCACGTAACGCTACAAAACCCAGATGTAAGAGGGCACGGCCGCTCCAGGTACACTCTTGGCGCTGCCTTTGCGTGTTGAGAACGCAGCCCATCGAAGCTCCCGCCAGCTGTGGGGGCACAAGGCGCGCGCTGATCGCTCCCGCGATAGCCATGAGCGCCCGACTCCCTTGTTCGCTCACGAGATAAGCGCGCGCAGACGACCGCGGCCGGAAAGGCGATGTTCGCTCCTCAGAAGGAGGGGGGCAGCGCATCCTATATACACACACGTAAATGACGATGGTGGCCGACAGCGAAAAGATAGCAGAGACAGTCCGAATATTTGCTATCGCAAAAATAAAATTGTTGAACACCGTAATCCAGACAGGATAACATGCCACAAAGGGTGGTCTTATACCAGAAGTCGAGACTTGCGAAGATGGAACCGTTGACATAGGAGAGCCAGATTCACAGCGGAGTGCGAACCCAGACAAGATATAGTGTCGTGCCTTTTCACCAAGGAAAGCATTTGGTTTGGGTGGGACAGTTCTTTTTTTCTTATTGCAAAAAATAAATTAAAAAAATTATTTTGACGAAGTTGCGTGTTCTTTTGTACGTGTGCTTGTAATACAGTTTTTCTCACGTGCAGACCTCAATTATCTCGAACTAGTAAATCAGTTAAAAATGGGCTACAGTGCACGCAGGATCGGTAAACGAAATGAAATACGTCTAAGAACTGTCATGAAAACGTGATTAAAGATAAGTGAAAAAAATGCACGTGCTGCCTAAATACGAATAAAATTACGTGTGCGTATGTCCAGCTTCTTCTTGGCCCCTTTGGCAACAAGAAAGTGTGGTCCTAAGCAGGCTGGATGTAGTACAGTACGGTACACTGTTACAGGGAACACGCGAGCTCGTGGCCGGCGTTTCGCGTGGCGCCAACTGGTAGCGAGATTTATAAGTGTGGCGCGCGTCGTGCGCTACTTCTCTGTCTGTGCGCATGAAAGCGTTGGAAAGCGCTTCCGTATTTCTGCGGTGCAATTTATTTAGCTGTCGCTTTGTCTGCTACTCGTCGGATTTTTAGCAAACACAAAAACTGTACGGTTTCGTTTATTGGTGTAGTTTTTCGCAAGCTCTCACCGTTAAGTACATTAAATTGTACACATGCTGCTCGCTGCCACTGGCCGCTTTTGATAACAAATGAGGCTATTGAAGTCTGGTGCAGCGGGCATTCGAAGCTCGCCTCCGCGACCGTGAAGTATCTGGTTATTGAAGGCCAAAGTCCGAGTGGGTATCAGTTGATTTGCAGTGCGAAAACAAAAAAAAAAAGCGCGAAGGGTCGTCGCTCGCTAACGCACGCCGTGTGCATGAATAGAGAAGTGGCGGCAGGCGCCGCGGGGCACGACTTGATAAAACTTTGCGCATGGGCCGCATTTCGATATCTCACCGGCAGTTCGTGTTGCGCGGGCCACCGGCAATGCGCTCGCATGTTCCCTTTAACAGTAGACCGTACTGTGCACAGTTCCTTCGAATATCGGCTCATCTTGAATACTGGTGCCTGTCCTTAAACGTGATGTCCCCGATAAGTGTCGACCTCTGCAGTTTCTTGCCTTCATGTGGTAACGTTGCGCCTAATTTCTGCCTGCTTGTAATGGATGGACATTTGAATGCTGTCTTTAAGCACCCGATCACGATGAGCAAATGTAGTCAAGTATTTTTCGTGTGTAGCCGCAATTAGTCTGTCCTCTAGCTTCGCGGACTGACAGGGACTCCTATAGGCCTCATATTGCGTGATGAGTAGTGTCTAAGTTAACGTGTCGCGGTACACTGCGGGCGATGGGGCGAATTGGTAAGTATCTGTGTGCCAAGTTTGCAAAGCTAGGCGTTATGGTTTTCTTAAAATTCGGCACTGGGAAGAACATGAAAACCACCTTTGCAGATAGCATATGTATTAGGGAGACACATAGTGAGGCAATAATTATGGTTGTCAGCGGCCCTATCAACTGTGATTTAATAACTAACTTTTCGATGACTGCATCAAGCGGGCATGTATGTATTGAAAATTTGGATGCAGTCGCGTTTCTGCACAGTTACACTTGGAAGAATTCTTCCAGCATGTCTGTGCTCCGAGATATCTCGCGGGAAAGTTTAATTGTGCTTTGCATGATTGCACTGGCGCGCACCTCCTCCCCGATAGGCCGTGGTAGTTGCGTGCGTCATTTAATCTCAATTTAATCGGTCTAAGGCAAGATGGTAACGGTTGCCCTTTTACTACCGGCTGGCGATAGCAAGCTACGACTTGTCACATCCGGAAGGAACATGCATACCTTGCATGCGTAATCATGCACTACCCAGATGCCGCGGGATATCTTGAGGCACAGGCATGCTAGAAGAATGTAGAAACGCAACTTGTACGCCCGCTATCAGTGATGCCTGTAATCATGAGCGTCGGCAGGAAGGTGCAAAATGGGCCCTTTGCCTCCACCAAGCCTCACCAGTGCTTTCCTCCTCCCCCAGACGTGATGCAACAAGGGTCTAAGGTCCCTCGTAATTTTACCGTGGCGGCGTGAATTTTGACGGCATCATCTAGACCGCGAGAGTTGCCTCGAGGAAAGCGCGAAACGACGAGCGTGGCAACTCGTTGGAACTGAAGCCGGTACGCGAACGTGCTGTGATTCCGATGAGGTTGTTGCTCGTAAAGTGGGCTTCTTGGTAGCATGACCGTTATTGAGGGGAAGCCCACTCCTGCGCTTCCCGCATGTTCGAAAATTTTGTTGTACCGAGTGCTCCTTCAACTTTCCCGATTTCGCAGATGCCATCAGCGAGAGCAACCCGCGCGTCATAGACGACTCGCGTGCGCGCAAGTTGGCCAGCGACCTCAAGCGGTGCACCTACTACGAGACCTGCGCCACCTACGGATTCAACGTCGACAGGGTGTTTCAGGACGGTGAGTGACTCTCCCGTGCCGCCTGCGTCGTGGCTAGGCCTAGCGCGTTCACCCAACGCGTTCACGTGATCCAGGCGGTATCCGCCCGTGTTCCTTCAAAATCGTAAGCCGAGCTGTAGTGTAGGAAGCATGGCTCTTAAGATGAGCGCCACATCACTTGTCGGCCTGATTCTGTTTGCCAAACGCACGCACGCATATGAACTAGGGCTTTGCTTGCCCACAGTGCCTGTCTGTTGTGCGCTGCTGTAAATGGCGCGCAGTGAAGCGCACTTACGGCGCCGCTTCTTACTCACATGCAACAAACCAATACTGTGAACGCAAAAATGCTGAAATAATTCGTAGTTTGTGTGGTACTCGGTGCTTTTGTAAAACTTTTTAAAATTAGTAGTCATCTGCAGGCATTGCATTGTTCGTGGGTTTACTGCATGATTAGGCCTGCGATTGACTGTGGACATGGTGGGTCTGACATGTGTACAAAAGCCACACTTAAAAAAAAAAAACAGGGTATGATGCGCGTGTTGTTCATTGATTTTATTTCAATTTACAAACAGATCATCATCATCATTAGCAGCAGCAAATTCCCAAGTGTGAGCATATTTCCACCAGCTGATTTCATAAGCTGGCTAGCCTATTACTACTTTGCTGTGTTAAGCCTATGACTAGTGGGCAGTCGTAGGCTCCATGCCTTCTGCATAAGTAATAATAATTAAAACCAAGTATGCTTTACTCATAATTACTTCATAATGCTTGTATTTTTTCCAGGGCACCTTGCATTATTTACTTTATAACTTGTGAGATTACTAAAATGTTAATTAATTGAAAGGAAAGTACACTTTATTAAAGGAATCTCTGTAGAATCGATAGATCGGTTTTCTTTTTTATAGTGTACGTATGAGAGAAAGGGGCAAAACCTAATTGATCCTATATTTACTGATGAAACAAGTTATAAGTGAGGCCAGCCAGTGCATCAAACTAGATCATCCCTTGAGTTTACACTTTCTTTTATTCATAATGAAGGTCTTGTTGTAGCAGACATGATGCCTTGAGATTCTATGCAAGGGATTATTGGTCGTCGTCCAGTAATAAGACCCTGTGCTACACAGTACCAAACGGGCAGAAAAAGTGTTCCACGCTCCCCATCATGGCTGCTGGCAGCGCTGATGCTCCCACGTTTAAAAGCGAAGATATACCATATAAAGAGGACGGAGGGATGACTGATGCTCTAGCTATATGGTAGAGCATTATAAGCGTCATTTGAAGGTCACAGGTTCGGATCCTGCCGGTGGCAAGTTAGCTTTTCATACATTCTTCTCTCTTTACATTTATATTTAATTTACTTCTAATAATATCCCCTTTACTTTTTCTGGCATTATTTTCTGTTAGTTCTAATTACTATGGTTTTTACTAGTATGTCATTGTTTGTTGAACTTCCTAAGCAGAGGACTGAACACACAGCTCTCTTTCGAGATAGGTTTTGGGTTGCAAGTTAGTCTTCGGATTTGGGAGCAGGCACGCATAGTACACTGCAGAACACTGTGATCCTTGGGGCATCACAAATTACGGCGTTATAATGGCAAAGTGAATGAGGCTGCATTGAGGCTCTAAGTCGTGTTTGAGCAGTCATACTCATGACTTTTGCTGTTTTCTCCATGCCCTCTGTGGTTCTTTTCCTCATTTCACCATTTATAAAAAGAAAAAAAAACTATTAAGCTCTAGCATAGTATTGTCCTAGTGTTGTCAAGTAGCTGCATAGCAGCAAGAAAGCCAGTTCTTAGCTGTCTAGGCAATATAATTTTCAGTAAGTGTTTGATTACAAATTAAAAGCACTTGGATGGTTCTTTAATTAGTGAGTCTGCTTTAGTACACATTTTGTAGTTGCACAAATAAAACTAAAGCCAAGAGGAAGCGAGTTGCTTCATAGACAAGTTCATGAGCAGCCCTTGTTGAGCAGAAGAAGGCAGCGGGCTAACTAAAAATTAACCTATTAAGGTTAAGGCAAACAATGGAACATGTCAGCATAATCAAGAACTGGTGACCTACTGAGATAAACTAACCCTGGTTCTGGTGAGATGTGTGCCTCATGCATGCACATTTTCGATGAAACTCTGCAGCTCTCTTCCTCTTGAACCATTTGGCTTCATCCTTATACAGTGATAAATGGAGTTGACACTTGACAGGACTGCTTTGCCGGCGCTGCACATCCTTGATACATTTTCATGCTGTGCTGGTTGCGCATTAGATTTCCATTGGCAGTGGGCATGTTGACAACCCCCATGAGATATGTTTAAACAGATTTTTTTTCAAATTTGTATTGCATAATTAAAAATTAATGGAGGGACTTGTCAAATCTTTCTCGATGACTGTGAGCACCATCCTGTAAGTGAAGATTTACCTCTCCCATAGTACACATTTTGTGCCACCATTTGTTTCACTATCGCATATTCCCAACTGGTATTGCACAACCTCAACACTAGGCACACACAGAATATTGTGCGTCTTGGTAAGATGGCACTACATATGTGGTGGAGAAGGACACTCCCTTCCTGTAAGGGGGTCATGCCGAATATGCGACCTATATTGTCTTCTTCGCCCTAGCATCTGCAGCTTGTGCACTCACAGGCCTCTCTTCTCTACATTACAAAAAAACAACAACAGCATAATGCTTAATGTTGTAATAGTAGTTCTAAAAAAGTTTAGTCATTACTTACTTGGTGTTTTTGGTATTGCCTCTCAATAAATGTCCAACTCTGCAAGGCTTGTTTAAAAACTAAAGCTAACAGGGTGCCTGGTTTCACTATGAACAGCTATGTTCACCACTGCTTATACTGCTCACTTTGTAAACGCCTCGAAATGCAGTCTAACCTCATTACAATAGACAGCCAAGTGAAGTGGATTTTGGTCTGTGGTAAGAAGAGTATGTAGAATGGAAGTATATGTAAACACTCAATGGGTCTGTTGTAACCATAAAAAATTATAAATCATAAGCGGATTTATTTTTAATGTAGCTTTAAAAGATTCATTACTTGAAAATCACATTTTCAGTATCTGTAGGCCTTTTTTTATCTCTTTCCAAAGTATCTTCATGGAAAACTGTGTTGAAGTGCTGTAAAAAAAAATTTTGCCTCTGTGAAGGTGGGGACAATTATTGTAGAAGTCTTTTTATATAAAAAAAAACAGCATTTAAAAAAAGTAGTATAGCCTTTGAAGACACAGCCATCGCAGGTTGAGCTACTTAGTGACGTTTTCATACTCATTTTGTGTTAACAAGTGGGGATTTAGTCAGCTGTACGCGAAAGTTCAGTCTATTGGTTCAGGGATCTGATTAAGATAGTACACCATACTTGTCATGAACGTCACAGACACGCATCTTGAACTCACTGTGACAGCGTTGTCTTGTTCGATGCACTGTTCGATGCGTTGTTCGATGCACTACTTTTGGCACTTCGAACATTGTGATGAAAATTACCGCGAGGTAACCCTTTACACTCATGATCCAAGCATGAGGTACCTTGAAACATCGAGCACCGCGGCCACATGCTTCCCAGCCGAGCTTTCTGCTCCAAGCTGTGGCTAGGCCTAACTCCACTCCGAACTTTGCGGGCAGGACCATCGTGATAGTGAACATGCGAAAGTGAAAAAATCGCTGCATATCTACAAAATGAACTATGATGAGTGGGCAAAGCAGCGGCATTGTTCGTTGTTATCGTAAATCACCCGTGACATTGACCACTAACACATCACATGTAAACAAGGGGCAAAGCATTGTGCAGTTATGTACAATGTTCATTGGCCATAAATTGTTTGTTGTGTGGAGACGTGAATTTCATTTTGCCTTCAATATTACTTTGTGGTATCAGATCTACCCTAAAGTTAGCAAAACAAGGTTTGTGCACATTCCCCTGGTGGTTGATGGTTGTTCCCAATCATATGAAATGCATCGTAGAGAATATAGAGACATCATACACTGCACAAACAAGCCAATCGTTATCCATGTTCATCTTCGTCGTAAGGTCGTACGGTGGGTACTGTGTATGTGCTGTGCTGCCATGGCAGAAAGAGAATGTGTCATCGGGAATGCGCTTGGGCTTCATCGTTATCAGCATCATCGCTAGTGGTAGCTACAGTGCACAATGCCAATGTCATTATCATCATCATCATCATTGAGAGACTGTGGTGGACATGGTTCGACCCTAAAGAGCTTTGCCCCTTAGAGCCGTAATGTGCTTTGTTGAAAGCGATGAATTATATAGATCGCTGGCTCTTCAAAACCATGGATGGGCATTTTGTGCATCAGCAGCCGCCAAGCTCGCCACGCAGCGACCACATAGAGCAGCAGTGAATGCGTCTGGCAGTTTCGCGCATTAGTGCCCCTGAGACCAAGCACCCTGCGCGCCGATGATTTTTTTTATTGCCATAGTTAGGTGTAATCTATTATTAACAGACCGGAGATTGGTGGCCTTCATTATTAAATCGACACGGTGATACCTGCGGCAAGCTGTTTCCATCCCGAAGGTATACCAAGTGATGTTTGAAGTCGGAAGTTCTTGAACTTGAGTTGTCTATGGTGGAAAAGGCCACAGTAATGGTGCCGTGACCACCTTGCTAGCCTCACACTTCAGTCAATTATATACGAATGTCCGTTGTAACAGAATATATAGTGAACGAAGTTCTCTCAGTGGATCAAATAGGGAGGTCAGTATAACGACACCAATTGGTATGTAGTATACGATTGTTCGTAGTAAGCAGATCCATTATAACAAGGTTATACTGGCAGTCATATTCTGGGAATTTGCAGCCGTGGTTTGTCTGGTTGTGTGCTGTGAAGATAAAACACAAAGTATATTGTCTCATCTACTTTGTTGGCCAAGTGGGTTCTTCTAGGTAATGTATATTAGTATCTGCAAAAGAAGGAAAGCCCAGTGTTGAGAAAATCACTCATTTGGTGATAGCAGCTGGGCCAGCCACATTGCTACTGTTTGTTCTCCCAAATTGTCTGGCTGTTTTTTCACGAGCTGACACTTGAAAGCTTAGCTCTCCCCATAGTTTACTGTAAGAAGTGATTTCGAATGCAATCAGTTGTCTTCATCCTTATTCTGCTTGTCTTATTTGTTTAGAAGACAGTTTGGTATGCTTGATAAAGAACACTTCACAGATGTTGGATGCAGCTGCTCTGAATGGAAAGATACTCCTTGTGCTTGTGCTCTGTTACATGGCTGTGACAAGTGCCTTGACAGCTTATCTGCTGCAGTGACAGTTTATCTGCTGCAGTGACAGGCTTCACATTTCCTTGAACCAGTTGCATATGACATCCTGCACTGTTAATGTTTGAAGCACCAGCTTTCACTCAAATTCAGCTGATGACACAAATATCACAGCAGCCCCTACGACAGATTTCAAGTGACACTTGATCCAGCCAAGTCTAGGGCAAAGTTGATGCTGTACTATCCATGAAAAAACAAGTCAAGATTTTCTTCATTTCAACTAGTGCCTAGTGAGTGTTTCTATGTGTGCTGGACATAATCCACCCTTTCACAGATGTGACAAGCAGCTAGCATACGGTGACCACTTGCACCATCTTGCATTCATTGTGCAACTTATGAACAATAGATTCCGGTTGTGCACCTCTACAGGTTTACTATTCAATCTCGATTATATTCATTTCGGTAATGCCATTTTAGGTCCTTGCCTAACAAATACCTTTATTCCACTTGCTTTGTTTAGAGTGCAGTATATTATCTCTGAAGTATTTATACTCCAATATCTGCAGCTTGCCAGAGGATTGTCCAGATGCGCATGGCTTCTGCGTTGACACCCAACAACTCCCGGCCGAGCACACCTGTCGGTGTTGGTGCCGGCAGAGTCACTGGCCACTTTGGTGTTTCCAGCAATGGTTATGCCCGGGAGCAGCAGACTGTGGTTCCCACAACCAATGCCACAGCAACTCTGGTCAACAGCTACAATGCCCTCCACGGTGGAGCTGTGAACACGCCATCTGCAAATGTCAACCAGACATCGCTTAAGGTGAGCCACACCAGATCCTGTATTGCGGATAAAAATCAATGAAGCAGAACTCCCGGGCCTGAGAAGACCATAGGCCTCGAATGTGATTTTGTTAGCCGAGTTGTGACAATTTCACACATGCAAATGTTACACACATATACAAACACACACACGCACACTCACTCACACACGGTGACACCCACACACACTGATGCTACTTATGGAAATCGTTTGTTTTGACAGCATCATGCTGTATAAACAAAGTAGTACATAACATTATACAATGGAGCACCCTGCCTATACGACTTTCAGGGGACCACGCAAAACCGTTGTATAATCTCGGCGTTATATAATAAAAAGCTAAGATTCTAAGCCGTGACACTCAGTTTTGCCCCCAAAAGAGCGTGTACAGACCGCCTGAATAAGTCCACTGCACGACCTTGTGCCTCTGCAAGGAAGGTAGATTAAATCATTTTTGCCAGTGGCAGCTAATGGCAGTTTTACATTGTTGGAGAAAATCTTTATTCCGAACTTTAAAAAAAAACATTGAGTCCAATGTACATCTTTGCAACAATAAAGAAGTCTGAAAATCGCCTGCCCGTGAAAACAAAACCGAAACCGCGTTCGCAACAGCATCCCATCAGAAGAGTCAGACACAGTGTCATCGCTGTCACATGATGGCGACAAACCCCGAGTTTGCATACCCTTCGTACGCGACTGAGCTCTGCGCGTTGTAATTATTTGGCTTGTGAAGTGCAACTAGTGATGTCCTGCTGTTATTATGAATGTTGACGTCAAGTGAGAGTAATTTTGCACGGTGAAAACAGCTGTGTAGCGCCCTTGCGTGTGCGCAAGCCCGTGACTGCGTGTGCGACAAAGGCTGGAGACCAGCTGTAAGTTGACCTGAAAAGTTTCCACAGACCGAAAACATGAAAATATTTTCTCGGTTAGCTGAAGCTACTGTCTGTGAATATAGTTTGATTAGGTAACGACTGCGGATACGTACGCACATGATCAAGGCGTATGTATAAGAGCATGAACTTCTAGGAGAATAAAGTTTCCATTCTAAGAAGACATCCTGTGTCACTCTCGACTTTTATAATCGTCAACCGCGGGGAACGCCAGTTCATATTTTGCACTCTGAAATATTCGGTCGACATTTGATTCAAGTAAATGCACCTTTTTTCCCCCTTTTAGACTTCCGTTCAAAAGGAAGTCTTAAGATCATCGTAAGAGGCAGAGTCAGCATAAAGCTGCGTTGTATGACCAAGGTTTTTAACATATTGTTTCTATGATGATTTTGCCAGGACCTAACCGATTCATTGTAAAATACAGGTCGTCGCAGAACCGGGGGACATGTAATCGAAGTTCCTCTGTATTATGATAGCCTTAAAAGGCCTGCATTGTGGAAAATGTGGTTTTGGCTTTTGTGGTGGTGTTATAGAGTAAAAAAAATGTGACAGATGCAAAGAATAAAGGTTAGGGTTTGTGCCAGAATCGAATGCAGATATTCTGCATGACAATCAAGTGTTCTACGACAGATTGTCTTACAACAGTGCTTGAAACTGCTTTGCTCGTAGATCTTGACTCATTGCAATGGTCTAGTGGCCAAGGAACTTTGCTGCTGATCCCCAGATCGAGGGATTGAATCCTGGTCGCGGCGGCAACATTTCCAATGGAGGCTAAAATGCTTGAGGCTCGTGTGCTCAGATTTGGGTCCATGTTAAAGAACCCCAGGTGGTCGAAATTTCCGGAGCCCTCCACTACGGCGTCTCTCATAATTATGTAATGGTTCTGGGACGTTAAACCCCAACAATATAATATTATAATCGTAGATTCTGTACAGTTGTCATGTGGAGCGAGGAATCTCCGGAAAAGGCACAATATTGCATGTGTGGCAGAAGCACAGATTGACAGCAAGCATCGCACAATGTGCATTGTGTTATGAGCAGGGGGCTTGAAAGCTGGCAATTCATTAAAAAAGGGTGATCCTCATTAACACCAGCCATAGGATGAACTTAAGTGTGCAACTGTGGAGTTGCGTACACTGCCTTACTGACAGGTAGTGGGTACTTTGAAACTACTCTAGCAGTAGGAGGGTTTACAACGGTCAATATCATGTGCATAGATCTTCCTTTCCTTGCAAAATGCTTCAGGTATTCCCCAAGAAGGGAATCAAGTAAATCTGAAGGTGATGCAAATAGCGCCCTAAACACCATGATGTTCAACTATTGATGCGAAGCTCATGTGTTCTCCAAGCTTTTTCTTTCATGATGGTTAGGAACAACTTGCGTTATGAATTGTTTCCTACATTTGTCTTTCCTTTCTCTCTGTGTCATCTCCCATTCATTCGTTGCATAAAGGGACCTTTAAACTTTGCGACGTTGATTCCAGTCGTTTAGGCAAAAAAAAAAAATCCTAGGCCTGCGTGAAATGTGATGTTTTGATGCAAGTGATGAAAAAAATTATCATGTAACATCACCTCATGGTGTCATCATGAGGTCACAGATAGCCACAACTTTTGACATTGTCATGAAGTAATAGTGACGTTGCCATGACACCACGTAATGTTACGTCGAATGATGACGTCGCGTCACATCAACACTTGGCTGTAGGTTGGCCGATCCAGGAGGCACATGAGATGGAGAGACCTTGCCATGCCTCCAATACCGGAGCAGGCCCGTGCTATATACAGTTTTTTTGAATGACTGAGAGGGAGAAGAGAAAGATGGCCTCCGGCTTCGAGTCTGGCGCATGCATTCCTGACTGTGGGAGTTTTTCCAAGGACAGTGGATGCTAAGGCATTCCCTTTATAACGAGGCTGTCACCTGTGCTTCACCAAGCCCAAGAATATTATTATGATTATTACGTTTCAACCCAATCTTGTTAGCTGAATTAAGGTTCTCTCCTAGTTAGAAAAAGTTCAAATCACGACTATCTCTGGCTTACTACTGTTAGTCTTAGCTTTCTTGCCAAACTGCAATAAGCCTCAGCACTTTTTTTTCCTGCCTACTTTTCTACCACCGATCATCTATTCCTCTTTCACTTATATCTATCGCCAACCTTTTTACCTTTGCTATGTTTTCCTTAAAACCCATGGCATCAAGTAAGCTATATTGGGCATTAACATGCACCTTATTGTACTTTTTCACATTCAATTGAAATATGCTGCATCGTTTTACATTCCCCTTGCGTATGCATTCCTCTCTGCAAAATCTTGATTTACAGCTACGCATTCTGAGAAAACCACACCTTGCTTTACACTAGGGGTGTGCAAATATACAAACTTTCGATGATTTTCCTAGATTTGTTTGTGTAATTTATAGCTTTGCATCTTGTAATGCAGAAATGGAATCGTAAATGTTCTAAGGCATTGTATAATTACCATTAGTATCGTTACTTTAGGAGGATTGTCAGTTCAAAATGACTGCCTAAATGAAATAAGAAACAAGTGCCTCGCAGTGGGGCAGCACCAGAGACTACATGCATTCAAGCTTCGGTGACCCAAAATGCACCGTTTTCAAATGGGGGGGACCCGTGGGTGGAGAAATATGAAACAATGTGGGTGCTTTGAATGTGTCCCTGTCGGAATAAAAAAGCATTCCTGGCGTAAGCAGCCAGAACCACCTTGAGAGCAGCCAAACGACAGAGCAAGAGGGAAAACATTAGTCCTTGCCGGGTGCCAGCCAGGGTATTATGGGCGCAGGACATTTTGAATGGCCCGTAAATGTGTTCTGACACTGACAATACTTGCTTGACCTTTACAATGGCATGAAACCACTGAAAATGTCGACTGGATCCGAATACGTACTCGGAAAAGCACGCACTTTTACTTTAAAACCAAATTAAAGTATCTTATAGACAATGCTCATCACTAATAATGTGTCAGAAGTGGCCCTGCATGCAGGACTATCAAGGAACACAAGCATCTTGAGTTTCCAAATTTGGTGTCAGGTGCCTTTGAACAAATGTTTGACAGCTATTTAAAAAATTCAGCGAGCTCTCGAATGAATGTTGGTATAACAAATATTTCAGAATAACGATTTTCGAGAACTTTCAGTGCTTTTTTTTAATGCATTCTGTGGGAAAATGTTTCTGTTAAATGAGCTTCTCAATATTCAAGTTAAATGAACTTGATCTGTGGAGCTGGGCTCTATTTCCAAGGTCAATTCAATGAAGTTTTCTGCTCTGCATGCTGCCTCCAAATCGTCTTGCTGGCAATGGTGCAGCAGCGCTTTTGTGGGAGACAGAAACGACCCCCGTCCCCTTCGATACCTGCTACCAGATTCGGAAACGGTTTCAGTGTTCCTCCGAAACTGAAAGAAGAGTGCTACAAAGAAATTATAATGGCTGAGGCAGCTTCAAATGCCATATCTGTAGCTGAGATCTTTGCATACAGTTGAGAGACTTTGCGGCACGGCAACACGCTGTGTCCCAGAGGCAGTGCACAAGAACGTAGACGCTGCACAGCTTGTTTTTTCTTGCATTTTAAGGTTGCCAGTTGAAATGAAAATTACAGAATAGTTTTCAAAACAAGTGACTTTTCACACGTTTGACTTGATTTATGCTGTGCCCCATGCTGTTCCGTATTCTAGTAAATATTCAGTCTAGTGACTTTTCAGTCAAGTGGACTACTGTATTTCAATGGGTTTCTTGAAATTAACTGTGAATTCACTATATCCAGTTCTATTTGCATCAACTTCGCTTTGCACCCAAAATTTTGCTATTCCCGTACCTCTACTTCAAACAGCAGCATACTTTCCCTTGAATCATTGTAGAATGCATTGTTGCTTGTTTCTTTTTTACTTTTCCATAGATATTTCCACCTCCACCTGCATCATGAGTTCGTTGTTTGTGCTCCCTGTCACGGTGATCAACGTAGAACTCATGTGCACATTCTTCTTCATATCTGGTTGTGTGGTCATTTCTCATCACAAACAAACTAGTTCTCAAGAACAGTACTCATAAATGAAGTTCACCAAGGCAGACATCTGGCACATTGATATTCCATGTTTATGAACAGTAATAGCATGCTGAAAACGAAGACACAAAGGAGGTGTGTGTGTGCCTTCTTTGTGTCTTCGTTTTCAGCGTGCTTTTACCGTTCATGAACAAGTACTCATAAACTGTAGCATTAACTAGGTGCTTCACAAATGCATTGAAATAATTAACTATCACAAGCTCAAGCAAGTATGGTTGCCGTGCAAGATAAGCGGGCCGTTAGCTAGCTTGTTGCAACAAGAGAAAAAGAAAAAAAAATGCAGAATATGAGTACTTTTTTTTAACAAAACAGTCAATGTTGTAGAAAACATGCGAAATGTCTCAACATGCATGCTTGCTCAAAGGACATTTTAAAGCTTGTTTCATTCCTCCTTAAGGCAGGTGCCTGTGGTGTAGAATTGGCCTTTTTTACACGAGGCCTCAAGATCAAATGCTGATATTCGAACACGTTGAACATCTTTAGCATATAAGTTGCATTGCCATCACTCTTGCACGAGTGTTTTGTTGATCGCAGTTAAGTAGTAGCTTTTCCAATAATGCAAATGGCCGGAGAGGAAGTAGGTAAAGGAAGCTATCTGCATTGCTGGCCCTTCCAGGAGAGCCACCTTCGCCAGATTCGTGACTGCATTGCCTCTGGCACCTCGGTACAGAGGGAGATCCAGAAGTTCGAGAAGGGCACCCCGGCCACCATACTGTCGCAGGCTTCTGAATCCATGCCACCACCGTCGGCACTGAGCGGCAACAATCGCGACCGGCCAGAGTTTGTGACTCCCTGCTCGACCCCAACGACGGCACGGAAAACCCGTCGAAGGTCCAACTTGTTCACGGTATGTGCAAGGCTGAACTTGGCTGCTGGGTATTCGGTTGGCCAATGATGAGGCTTTCGTTTTATGTTGAGCTCCATCAAACATTTACCGGTGTCATTTCGTCGTTGCAATGAGGGATGTGCAGTTCCTAAAGAGCAGGCTAATATTGTAGCGTTTTTGCAACATGTCTTATTTAAGGGGAGACGCTCCTCGAAAAAGTTTTTTTTTTTATTTCTAGTAATAGAGACTTGAAAAGTTTGTTATTAGTATAGTTTTTCATGCAGATTTCAAATATGCGATCATTTTTTGTGTAGCTGCTATAATTATTGAGTTATGCTATAAACAATAGCAAAAAGTTACATTTTTTGCGGGCACTCTTTTATGTACTAAACTTTCAGTAAAAGCACTGTGTCTGATCCTATTTGACTCTTGGTAGATTGAAAAGTGCAAATATCTATATAGATATGTCACAGAAATATTGGAACCAAGAAAAAAAAAATTGTATTGAATGACTTATTTATTTTCAATCTCCCTTGAAACAATAAGCTAATATTTTCACAACTAATGCTGGTAGGCATTGCAATTTAGAGTAGATATTTGCATTCTGCATGTGTTGAAGAATATGTGTGCCAAGTTTCGTTACTATACAATGAATATAAGTTTCTAAAAGGCTGCCCGGAAAACGTGAAACTGTCAGAAAAAATGAAAATGAGAAAAACAAGTTTGAAAGTTCGCAAAGTTGGCATTTATTAGGAAATCATTCTTTTTGCATCAAATTGGGGCGCAATGAAAAGTACCTTGCCTTGAATGCACTGCAAGTGTCTAGAAGTCCCCTGCACCATAGCTTGGTCCTTCACGGCTCTTGCGGTCAGTGTCCTCAACACGAGCTCTCTTCGCTGTGTTGCGACGGTGTGCCCTCGCTTCTGCAGTTTGCTTCAGGTTCATCTTCCTGATGCGCATGACGTCACAGTGGTCACCATGTGTGGCCAGATCTTGTGAGGGGAGAATTCCAATGCCTTCGAGCACTTCTTCAAAGCCCCTGTGGCCTTTGTTGTACCAGAGTACAGCAAGAGCGGTGGCTGTCTCCACAGTTGTTCTGGAGGCGAACTTTGTTTTTGGACATAGCAGCCATATCTTGCTGTTCAGCGATTCGGCTGCATTCTGTGTCTTGCCATGAAGGCACCGAATAAGGAAGGAGTTTCTCCTCTGTAAGGCGCTTGTAGATAGTCATAATTGCCAATCCTTGAGCCTTCGTCAACAGTGGGGTGTGGCGTGGTGCAGGCTCCCCCAGTGCTCCCGCATGCTTGTGCTTGCACCACGAATTTGGTCCCGTGGGGCAAAAGTTGTGGCTACTGGCACCATCACTGGAGCAGCAATGAAAATACGATGCCCATATGGCAGTGCACATATTTCGGACACTGTCCTTGTTGCTCGTTATGGCGATCTTGTAATATGTTTGTAGTTTTATTATTGTCGCATCTTTCAGTTTTTCGCCTCGTGGCAGTGGCGTTGCCAATTTCCGTAGGGCAGTTCCCAAGCGCTTTGCAACGTGGTTCGTGCACTCTTCTTTGTCAATGGGGGTGTCACAGTATACATTTGCCTCGCAGACTGCAGTGTAGGCCTTGCTGTCACCATCACTTAGGAAGCTGGTGAATCGCAGTGGAGTTTCATAAGACAAGGTCCTCTACCATATATTGACAGCTGCCGCAGGTTCCATTGCATGGGATGAGCAGTCAGTGTTTTTTTGGCAAACTGGAAGATGAAAAGCTCGCCATATCTCTTCATCCTCCCCAAGGTCTCTGTGTATACTGCAAGCATGGCAGTAGTTCGAAAGAATTTCAAAATCGAGGCAGAGCCCCGTGTCCAGGGACACGACTGTGCCCACTCCATTGTGGCTTTTATGACCTCTTTTCTGCCAGGTGCCATCAAACATGACTGGCACATCTCTGCCGCCGACTGCGTCCTTCGTGATGTTTCGTGCCTGGTGCAAGTTTTTGCTCACTGCCGTCATCGCCGCACCATGGAGCTTCTTGCAAATGCCGTTGAATGTCTTGTGATGCATCGGGCTCGGAAGACCGAGAATCGCACAAAATCGTGAAAGTTGGTCGTGGCCTGCGCCTATAGCGCGTGCTGCCAGAACTGCCTTCACGTTTACAGCAAAGCTGTCACGCGAGCTGCCGCTGTCAAAACGAGCGCTTCGTTCCTTGGTCCCCGGCTGAAGCAGTACGTCTCGACGTGTGCGTGAACGAAAGTGCACATTCAGGGCAATCAGAATTTTGACAGCACAGTTCGAGGAATGCCGAAAGTCCTTTGCGCTTTCCAGCTGCCTCTCGCACGCCGAGCTTCCATTCGCGGCAGGTTGGGTATTGCGCACCCGCCACAAGTGCCGTCAGCGCATCGATTTCGCAAAGCAGCATGTTCGCAGTAGCAGCATCTACCGGTCTACGTTCACTCTCGAAGAATCCAATCTTCCTTTGGGATGCACTGACGAATTCCACGGCAGCGGAATTCGACTCGCGTCTCCCCTTAACATCTAGCAATGATAGGCTGGAGAAAGAAGGCGTGTTCAGAAAATGATTACTGAAATATTAAAAAGACTCATACCATCAAAGAAAGATTCAGGACAGAACAGGAAACAGTGTCATTCGCCTCTTTTCTGAATCAAATGTTTGTTGTCATTACTTTATCCAGTGTATTTTGACATGCATGTGCTTTGTCTATGTTATGGCTATACGATATGTCTCAGTTTTTCCGAGACTTTCCGAGCTTTCCTGTTCTTACGAGCTAGCTTTACCAGAGAATAGTTGTTATCATGAATGCTATCATCATCAAAATCAAAACTTCCCAATAGACTTCATGCTGGCAGTGCACTGCTGCTCAAAGTAAAGCTTCTGCTTTCTTGTTTTCAGGACGAAAATCAGTGCGAAAAACAAAGAACAGTCTTTTACACTATATTTTAAAGTTTATTTCTTGTTCTCCTTTCTTAAAAAGAAATACCAAAAGGTTGTGTTACATTCGTGTAAAGTACTTGGGTTTCACAACTAATTAGTACAGTTAAACCTCATTCATTCAAATGTTCCTGCTTGTAGAAATCTGCACAGAATGATCATGCAAATTACTCAATCTGTGTAAATCAAGTGTTGTGCTCGACTTCACTGTATGCTTTTACAGTTGTAAATGTAGTCTGTCTGCAGCTGCTGCTGCAGGGGAGGCACGGCCTAGTGAGGCAATGTTTCATCATCATCATCATCATCAGCCTGACTACGTCCACTGCAGGACAAAGGCCTCTCCCATGTTCCGCCAGTTAACCCGGTCCTGTGCTTGCTGCTGCCAATTTATACCCGCAAACTTCTTAATCTCATCTGCCCACCTAACCTTCTGTCTCCCCCTAACCCGCTTCCCTTCTCTGGGAATCCAGTCAGTTACCCTTAATGACCAGCGGTTATCCTGTCTACGCGCTACATGCCCTGCCCATGTCCATTTCTTCTTCTTGATTTCAGCTATGATATCATTAACCCCCGTTTGTTCCCTAATCCACTCTGCTCTCTTCTTGTCTCTTAAGGTTACACCTACCATTTTTATTTCCGTTGCTCGCTGCGTTGCTCGCTGCGTCGAGGCAATGTTTACCTTTAGCCAAATCCCCTTGGACAGATAAACTAAAGGAAAAAAGACTAAATTTTGATTGTATTGAAAGGGTACTCTCGCAAAATTACACGGCCAATTCCTGTGAACATGCGTACATTATTTATAAAATATCATCAGCAAATTTTGAAGATATTGCCGCGAGGAGTCGCCGTAGCGCCAGACGCTACGGCGACTGTATCTCGGATGGTGAACGCGCCTTGCGTTCCAGTGGGACATTCTGTTCCCCGACGGCCGTCGAACGCGCTGTTCGCCACCCGCTAAGCCGGTGTGTCTGTTTTCCTTTAGTGGGCGCAAGTCCGCCAAATAAACGGATCTCCTTCTATTTCTACTAACCTCCCGGTCTCCTGTCTTCGGGCTGCCCTCACTCTTACATGACATCTGGTGGAGGTGCGGGGTAGGTGATTGCGGGGTGCTCATGGTGGCTGTGGAAGCGTCCTTTCGTGGTCGCGTGGGGTCCGGTAGCGATCCCAGCTCAGGTGGCAGGTTTCGAAGGCGGCGACTGCTTCGAGTATCTGTGTCTTCAGCGTCCTGGTTCTCTGCAGTGGCTGTTTTAAGGTCGTTTTTGTGCATACCCAGCACCGAAAGCGGTAGTGAACTATTCCACGTCTGAGAAGGAGTGTCTTGCGATAGTATGGGCCACCTCGAAATTCCGCCCATACTTGTATGGCAGACCCTTCAAGGTCGTAACGGACCATCATGCGTTGTGCTGGTTGGCCAGTTTGAAAGACCCTTCTGGCCGCCTCGCTCGATGGAGCCTACGGCTTCAGGAGTTTCACGTGAAGGTAGTCTACACATCTGGTCGTAAGCACTCCGACGCAGACTGCCTCTCAAGAGCCCCTGTCGGCGCACCACCAAGCCATGAAGACAACGATGCCTTTCTTGGGCCTATCAGCAGCAGCACCTTTGCATTACAGCAGCGCTCAGACCCGATCCTACAACAGTTGATCAACTACGTCGAAGGAAAGGCTCCATACCGCCTGCACTGTTCGAGCGTGGGATATCCTTCTTCTGTGTGCAAAACGGGGTGGTAGTTAAAAAGAACTTCGCACCGAATAAGGCAGCTTACCTTCTTGTCGTCCCAAGCAGCCTCAGAGAAGAAATTTTACAAGCGTTACATGACGAACCCACTGCAGTGCGGTTTTACACGCACACTCCACAGAATTCAAGAACGATACTACTGGCCCCGCCTCTCCTCAGATGTTGCGCGGTACGTCAAGAGTTGCCGTGAATGTCAGCGCCGGAAGAGACCTCCAACAAAACCAGCTGGATTTCTCAAGCCAATTGAACTCCCGTCGAGACCATTCCAACAGATTGGTATGGACCTGCTTGGACCTTTCCCCACGTCAACATCCGGTAACAAGTGGATCATAGTGGCCACTGATTACCTTACCCGATACGCTGAAGCTAAGGCCCTTCCGAACGGCACAGTCGTAGAAGTTGCCAAATTTTTTGTCCAATCAATTCTCCTCCGTCATGGCGCACCTGAGGTACTAATAACAGACAGGGGAACGGCGTTTACGGCTGATCTTACTCAGGCAATCTTACATTACAGTTATACAGATCACCGAAGAACAACTGCGTACCATCCGCAGACAAATGGTCTCACGGAACGCTTGAACAAGACCATTGCCGATATGCTCGCTATGTACGTGGACACAGAACACAAGACCTGGGACTTAATTCTGCCTTACGTGGTCTTCGCCTACAACACCGCGGTGCAGGAGACCACTAAAATGGCACCATTTAATCTCGTCCATGGGAGGGATGCCGTTACTACCCTGGACGCCATGCTGCCTAATGTCACCGATGAAAACAACCTAGACGTGGCCGCCTACCTTCAGCGCGCAGAAGAAGCCCGGCAGCTTGCTCGTCTGCGCATAAAAGACCAACAGCGAAACGACGCAAGACGCTACAACCTGCGGAGACGCGATTTAACATACAGGCCAGGTGACAGTCTGGGTTTGGACGCCCGTTCGCCGCCGAGGATTAAGCGAGAAACTCATGCGCCGTTATTTCGGCCCATACAAAGTCATCCGTCAAGTGGGTGAAGTGGACTATGAAGTGGTCCCTGATGGGGCTAGCTCATCCCAACGACGCCGCGCACGACAAGAAGTGGTACACGTCGCCCGTTTGAAGCCCTATCATGCGCGCTAAAGGAGGCTCCCTGTTTGCATCTCTTGTTTTGTTTATGTGTGCGTGATTCGTGCTTATTTGCCATTTACTTTCGCACAGGCTGTCCTTTTGTTTTGGTTTTATTTTAAACAAAGCATCGGGTCGATGCTTACGTTGAGGAGGGGAGCAATGCGCGAGGAGTCGCCGTAGCGCCAGACGCTACGGCGACTGTATCTCGGATGGTGAACGCGCCTTGCGTTCCAGTGAGACATTCTGTTCCCCGACGGCCGTCGAACGCGCTGTTCGCCACCCGCTAAGCCGGTGTGTCTGTTTTCCTTTAGTGGGCGATAAACGGATCTCCTTCCATTTTTTACTAACCTCCCGGCCTCCTGTCTTCGGGCTACCCTCACTCTTACATGACAATATTGATGCCATTAATCCCCTACTTCCCCCACATCACCATGGTGCAGTCAATAAAACAAGTTATGACTATGTCATAGCCGTCATTTTTTGTTTACATTTATTCCAGCAGTCTCAGCGGCGACTCACGAGTCTATTGCCGTGGCGCACGCATTGAAAGTTTTCGGTTTACTGACACTGCTGTCCTATTTTCTGTTCTAAAGAACTTGTAGAATGGACCGGGTTGAAGCGCGTCAGAGTTCAATGAGCTGGCGAAGTCGAACACTGCACACACTAGGTGGTGATAGTTGCACCCGGTAGCTTGTTGTTTTTGGAGCTCTCTCGAACCAAAACCAAGACCGATCAGTTATGGGGAGCCTTCTCTCGAACCAAGACCGATCAGTTATGGGGAGCCTGTAATTAATTATCTGTTGTGCACTTCAGCAAATAATGTGCCATGTTGTGACTAACAGGCCTCCGCCAACACATTTCAGCAAAAAAACCCGAGGCCAAATGTTTTGGGTTAGTACCCTGTTAACTCCTCTGCTGTGTATGTATGGAGCATAAAAAGCTTCGTATATTTTGGCATCTAGGCTCGCTGCTCATGTGAACACAAGTTGTTACTTGTTTCTGCCGCATTACTGACTCTTCAATAAATTTGGTTAGCTGTTCTACTTGCCTTTATGGACCAAACAGACCTGGCCACCCGTTAATAGATGTTTTTTTTAATTTCTAGTAAACTTACACATGTCTAAGTCTTTATCATTTTTTTCTTTACTCCCCTCTTTTCCTTCCTGTTTCTCTCCTCTTATCTTGCTTTCCTCTTCCCTCCTCCCAAAAGAGTGAGCAAACATTGTGCTCCTCCATGTGGCTGTCACCAGCTCGCTCTCTCCCTTTTTTCTCTGTGTCCTTTGTGTATATGTGTATGTGAATCAAATAAATTTGCTGTTTTAGAGCACAAACTTGATTTACAAAATTATTTGTACGAACTTTTAGTATCGCCAAATTTGCAAGAATTAGTTTAGAGGTGTCTTTTCTGGGTTCTCTGCACACAGTTTGGAGTGATGTCTGTTCATTCTAGCACCTGCCCTCTAATTAAAACTCCGCTTAAGGGGACATGCCAAGCAAAAAGCACAGTTTTTCAAAATTACATATTGTTTATCTTTATTTGCTTTTTACTGCCACCACAAAAAACTGAAAGCAGTAATTAAACTTGAGTGGTGTTAGAATTGCTTTTAAAGAGCACAAGGTGGCTACTAAAATATTAAAAACAGCTCATTCTTTAGACTCTTCTGGAAAATTGTCACTTGGCTGGTTGACATTGCATTTTGCACGAGCTGTTAGTTCACCAAAGCCGCACACCCAAACTTACCATGATTGCCAAGCTTTCATGATAGAAGAAATCATTTTAAAAAGCATGTTTTTGCCACATAGATGAGCTTTCATTTATACCTTTAAAATGTGTTTTAAATGCGCATGGCAATATATACAGCAAAAATTTCATTGCCCTAGACTACAGATTAAAAAACGCTTTTTCTTTTGGTATCTACCTTACTTCAAACAATTTTATAGTCCCCTTTGAGTTCAAATCAACAAGTTTTTACTGTATATTCGACAAGATAACTGACCGGTGGTGTGTAATGGCTGCCTTTCTCTACTGTGTTTTGTATGGGACACTTGAGTGTGAATTCTTCTTGCTATGATTTTGCAAGAGCTTTGCAGCAGTGTTGAAATGAGCCAACTATGGTGAAGGCATGATTGCATTCATTTGTTCTCCTCTGTGTGCAGCCCTTGAAAAAAACCGATGACGAGAAGAGGCTTCGGAATGGGGAGATGGGAAGTGGCCGAGTGATCCCCGTCAGACAGGTGTGTACACAATTGGATGCACTACCGTATATACTCGTGTAAGGGCCGCACTTTTTTTTCGAAAATTTTGCTAGGTGCGGCCCTTACACGAATCAGGCCGATTTAGTACAGGCAGTACAGGCCAAAGGTCTGTACTGTTTATGCAACAGTAGCAGAGTGCAAGAGTCACAAATGACATGCCAGAAATGTTTTTATTCGGATTCCATTTCGCTGTCCTCGTTCTCGGAGGAGCTCGCCTCGGCGTCCGCGTCTTCCAGAGACGGTCATCTTCGGTGCCGTTCATGGAGTTCGAAATTCCCGTTACCTTGAAGCTTTTAGCAACTACTTCTACTGACATGGCACGCCACGCATTCAAAATCCATTCACACACCTGTTGGAGCGACGCCCGCTTCAGCCGTCCTGTAGGGGTCTTCTCGTGGACGCCTCCAGCCATCCATTCAGAGTAACATCGGCGAAATTCCACTTTGAATGGTCTGTTGACGCATACGTCGAGCGGCTGCAGCACACTCGTCAGGCCACCGGGAATGACGGCCAAGTCCGTACGAGTTGCGGCAACTCGGTTCTTGACGCGGTCGGTCAAGTGGCCCCTAAAGCTGTCCAAAACAAGGAGGGCTTTCCGTTGTAACAGCCCTCCAGGTCTGTTTGCCCAGACGGTCTTAATCCAGTCAACGACCAGTTCCTCGGACATCCAGCCCTTCTCTTGCGCACGTACGACGATTCCCTGAGGGAACTTCTCTTTTGGGAGAGTCTTCCTTTTAAATACGACGTACGGCGGAAGCCTCCTGCCGTCTGCCGTGATGCACAACATCACAGTGCACCTTTGGCGTTCTGCACCAGTCGTGCGCACAGACACACTTTTCGCACCTTTTAAATCCACTGTGGTGCTTTCCGGTGCATCGAACCACACAGGTGTCTGGTCCGCATTCCCAATTTGGGACAGGTCGTATTCATGCTCCCTCCTGAGAGCATTCACGAAGCGATGAAACTTAATGACGTGGTCTTCGTACTCGCGCGGCAGTTTTTGGCAAATCGTCGTTCGGCGCCGAATAGAAAGCTGGTTACGGTTCATAAACCGCGTAGCCCAGCCCCGACTTGCCTTGAATTGTGCCGGGGGTATTTCCATGTGGCGAGCGATGCTGAGGGCTTTGACGCGTATCATGTCAGTCGATACGGCGTAGCCGTCCCTTCGTGTGTCGACGACGTAGTTGACGAGCTCGCTTTCGAGTTGCGGGTACTTGCACTTTTTCCCGCGAAACGCCTTTCGGCTCCTGTTAGTAGCGGCGAGGGCATCTTTCTGATTCATCCAGTAACGCACGCGCTTCTCATCGACGTCGTACTTTCGTCCAGCTTCCCGCTTCCCGTGCTCCTCGGCATAGTCAATCACTTGCAGCTTAAATGCTGCAGTGAATGATCTCAGATGCCGGCCCATCGTCCGTCACGTGCGCTGGCTTCTGCAGGGTTCACTACAACCAACAAAGTGACACCGACGACACCGATCTGAAGTCGCGCTGCCAACGTATCGACACGATGCTAGGAACGATGCCAACAAAGAGGCCGCACAAGGCAAATATGGCGGCGCGCTGTCAACAGCGTGGTCGGCGCGTCGGCGGAAGTAGAATAAAAGCGGAAAAGCGTGCAGCGCCATCTGGCTGTAAATGAACTAACTACACTTTTCTGGCGGGACATTTTGAACTTTTGTTTTTTTTTTTTCGAAATATCCGCTTTCAAAGTTGGGGTGCGGCCCTTACACGAGGGCGGCCCTTACACGAGTATATACGGTAAACATTGCACAGCCTGTGAAGGGCACCAAGAGCAGTGCGCTATTTTGCTACAATTCCATGTCCTTGCATCTTGCAGTGCACATACGAGTATAGCTTGCGCCAACTGTGCCAAGTTCACTAGTACCCCGTTTACGTGGTATTGGAGTATTTATGGCCCAAAAATTGTTTTGGATGCAACAAACATTACTGGAGCTTTTCCATGATGCCATCAAAGCCCTCTACTTGATCCTTTTCAGTGATGTGCTTTTTGTAATTATTTTCAGCGTAACTATTAATTATGTAATTATTTTCAGCCATCTTGGTGCCACCGAGTGTGTGCCCGTTTGAACTTTAGTAGGCTGTCAATAGTCTCTCTCATTTGATAGTAAACTGGCAATAACACGTAGAAAGTGATTTTTTTTTCATTCGGAAGTCACTCTGCGAATTGTAATGTAGACACTACGGCAAGTGGCAACTGCTGTGGACACTGTGTGCTGTAAATGGCATCTTCTCGCCAATAAAGTTTCAGCCGCGCAAAAGATTGTTTGATATTTTGCAAATAACATCGTTGCCTCTTAATCTTACTAAGACTAAATGCCCTTGTAGAGAGCGTCTGTGACAATGTGGTGCAACTGCTGCTCACGCCCGTCCAAGCATTTGTTGCGCCTCTTGATTTCGAAACCAACGCGGCTCAATGGCAAGCCACCGTAGACACTGGGCCGTGTGGTCAGGCACAAATAAGAAACAAGTGCCCTCACGTGCCCCCTAAACGCTGTTAGAACAATGAATGTGGTAGCCAATCGGAAAAAAAAAAATCTCTGCGAGAGTAAAGCAATGAATGCGATAGAGACAAATTTTTATGTTATACAAAGAAAGGTTGGCAGCTAACACTCTTGGATCTTGGATATCGCGTAACTCCAGAAAGCGCAGGTGTAAGAGAATACAGACGTTTCCTGGGGAGATACTTTTCTTGCAGTCTCTTGCAGTCATGTCTTACCAACTAGCCCAAACCGTCACGCTTCCTTGACTAGAACTTTCCTTTTACAGTCTAATCCCACTACGATGAACGCCGCTTCAACGAAATTCCCGCTACATCGTAAAAATCACATTTCCCCGTCAGCAGTCCATAGGAGTCAATGCATAAATATTGTCGCCACAACGAACACTTTTTTTTTCTGCCGTTTCGCTTCACCGAAATTTTACGATGCGATTCTAGGCTCAGATATTTATTGCTATACAGTAAAACCAATCTTGAACATTTTGATGCGTTTTCATAACCTGAAAATACGTCGACAAAGTCTAAAACACGCCTTGCACCACCAGAAACCACCGCTGTTCAGCAAGCATGGGCGCCGTCATTGCTCGATGGTGATGGCAATGAGACTGCCCTGCTTTTGTCACTGGCAAAAGCAGAAGTGACAAAAGCAGAAGTGACAAAAGCAGAAGTGACAAAAGCAGGGCAGTCTCATTGCCATCACCATCGAGCAATGACGGCGCCCATGCTTGCTGAAGAGCAGTGGTTTCTGGTGGTGCTAGGCGTGTTTTAGACTTTGTCGACGTATTTTCAGGTTATGAAAAAGCATCAAAATGTTCAAGATTGGGTTTACTGTATAGCCGCAGACGATCCGAAGCTGAAGCTTAGTTGCTTAGTTCATGGTTTCTTTCGCGTAGCTGCTGGGTACATCTGAGGAACGATGCTTTTTCCCCCGATTCCAGTGCTTATCATTTTGTTCGTGCTTAGCCGGTGCGGTAACTAATAAAAGTGGCTGTTCATCCGCATTATCAACAAAATCGGTTAGCCACGAGTAATGGATAAGAATGGCATAAAATAAGGCAAAAGTCACCGCTCCACGATACCCTGCTGCCATCTCGGCGTTTTGACGGCGGACAGCTGCTGGTGTTAACGTGTTAATGCAACTGTTTGGTTCGTTTATGGAAGTGGTTGCAGTCATTGTTTCAGCGTGCTTTTCACCATGGCCTCGCTATTCATGGGTGAGAATGTTGCCGTGACGCTGCTGGGATAGAATAAAAAGCAGCGAACAGTTTTTGAATTTCGATAATAAACGTTCCTTTGTTTTGCTAGTACAGATCGTCTATATTTTTTCAATTTCACTACAACGAAATTTTCACCTCAATGAAATTTTTTCTGTGCCGCTTTAGTTTTGTTATAGCGGATTTCGACTGTATATGACGTCACCTGTATGGCGCCACTGAGCTACGCTACACACAGACCACTCAAAGCGCGACTCGAAATGACTAACGGCGTGCCTCATCGCTTGCCGCAAAGGTCAAAATTCCGGCTTCATGTGGGTACCTTGGCTTGGCTACTAACGAATATAATACTGTCTGGGTGGCGCTAGCTGTGCACCACTTTTCTCAATAGAAATGGCGCGTTTTCCAAAATCCCCGAATCTGAGTCGACCATGGAGTGTGATGCAAAAAAATTTAAAAGAACTGCCGGCCTAGATTGGAATAAATATGGTAATCGTGTTCATTCGACACTGGTGTCCTTCTATTTTGTTATATACCAAGTTAAGTAGATGACCATGGGAGGTATCGGCGGCTTGATGGGGAGGCAGGTGGGCAGGGCAAGGCAGGTAAGTTGGAAAAGCTATTGGTTTCCAAAAAATATGCTCAGCACTAGCCTAACATTTTTATACCTAGTAGTACTGTTATTAGCTTTAACATGGGGACTCAAAGCTGTGGAAATTTGCTGCTCTAAAGGAAAGGACATAAATACCATTCCAGGTCACGTTCTGGGATGCCTGGATGTGTTGATGTTGGATATGTTACATTCTTCAGCCACTTGCAAGTAAAACAACGTGTGTCAGCTGGTCTGATGTGTGTTCTCACCAGGGCTACCTGTACAAGAAGAGTGTCAAGGCTCTCAACAAGGAGTGGAAGAAGAAATACGTGACCCTGACCAGCGATGGGAGGCTCACCTACCACCCGAGTCTCCATGTAAGTGGACTTGCTTCAGTGTTTGTCCCAGGCGTGCCTTTAAATGCATGTGAGACAAAGGAATAATGGAGAGTGTTATTGCAGCACTCATTTGTGTGCACCTTAGGATGATGGTCTAAACGAGCTGAGTGAGAAGATCCGATAGTTACAAATAAAGCTTTCAAAAAAACTATAAGGCTAAATATATCTTGAAGAAGCATGAGGTGAGATTCTTTGCAACTTGATTCATGTGACTGGAAAAGAAGGGTGTGTTTCATTTATGCGACGCGGTTAGTGTAATATTAGCTCGATATAAAACGTGCTACATTATCTACCACTTCAAGTGAGTGAGTTGAGCGTGATTGAAAAGTGGTCTCATGAAGCATGCATATTCATTTTGGAAGTACTAATGTTTCATACCGAGTTGGTGGGCATTGATGTGCACATAGAGCTCATATTTCTGTGATGCTAAGTTCATACCACAAGCATGCCACGATGCTTTTACATTATATCATTGTTTGATTGGTCAGTCATTAGTCTATAACAAACTACCAAATGGTTGCCACCAGATTTTTCAGAGCTGGCAGGGACCATAAGATAATCATAACATAGACCATAAGAAATCAATGAAAGTAAACAAAAGTTAAGCCGAGAAAATAAAATTGATTAGGCTCATACTGGCATTTAAGAAATGATTCAGACTACAATTGAAGGCAAACAGATTTGCTTGGCAGAACTCTTACTCATTGCAGGACTGGCTGGTACGATGCTTTGAATAAAAACCAGCTGCCAAATCACTACCAGAAGGCACAGCTTCTGTCTCATCATTCTTTCGGCGATGATGCTGCGTGTTGTTTACTAAAAGGTTTGCTTGTATTTGGGTTAGAGTGAATTTCTCCGTATTCTCTCAATAAGAGTGCCACAGAACTGCCATTCTCTGCCGCCGACTGTTTAGGATGGCACAGGGTCTTGGAATCAAGCGCTCACAGTGATGCACATAGTGTCACTTGGTTGGTTAATTTACGGAGTTTAATGTGCCAAGCCGATCCAAGCTATGAGATATGTTATAGTCGATGTCTCCAGATAACTTCAACCACCTGGGGGGCTTACCGTGAACGTGTACTGAAATCGCACATTACACGGGCTTCTAGCAGTGGGACTGCTGTGGCAGGGACTGAGATCACATCTTTTGGGTCAGCAGCTGGCCACAGTGACTGGGCCATAGTGGTGTCCTAACACGCACATCTCGAAAATGCAATTGATGCACGATCATGTGCAGAAGGCAGTAATAATAAAAAATTGGCAGATTCCACGTACCATCGGGATCGACGATATCCGAAGCACGAATGACGAAAGTTGATATGTCACTTTAAAATCAGCACAACATTATGAGGCAGATGTAAATTAGGGTATACATGACTTCCATGTTATTATTATCATGTTTGTGCGGGGCATTTATGTTCCTTGTCTGTTCACGTCACGTAATATCACAATTGGTACATGTGTAGCTAGCAAAACGGCCACAAGCGTCCTAATGAGTGTAGCATGTATACATGTTTTACATGACATGCATGTCATGCTTATCATGTTATGACTAGCCAATTAAGCTCATTATACAGTCATGTTGTGTCATAGCAATTTTGGTATCGATACCATAATTGAAACGGCCAGGAGAGCTAAACGTCTTAGGTGGCTACATAGACAGACAGATACCGTCACAGTCGTGAAAATTTGCCAAGGAATAATAATAATAATGACATTAACAATAATAATAATAATGATAACAACAATAAGAACACCACCACCAACAATAATAATATTAAAATTACCTGCACCAAGCTAAGGTGGCAAATATGCAGAACTGAATAAAAAGATGGTGCCCCTGAGTGCTTTTTCTTCCAAGGAAGAACAGGCATGCCCTTCAAAACTTAAGAATGGTGTACATCTCAGTCTTGGAGGCTACAGAGCTGGCCACTGGAAGCCAAGCCAGCAGAAGGTCCAACGTGGGAGCCTTTGAAATTGAGCAGCGTGATTCAGGATGAGCAATGTAGACCGCGAAATTGATCTTTAGGATGTGAATTCATCACAACAATTACAGTGGACTCCCATTGAACGAAACTCGGTTAAACAGAAAAGCCGTATAAACGAAACTATCTAGGTATGTTTGGTTTGTCCTCTATATATTTAATGATAAAGGCTTTCGGGTAATCGGAACGTTTATTTAGCTTACATCGGTTAAATGAAACTAAAACGAGCAAAAGTCATGAACGGCGGAAGTGGCCCCGGCAGTCTAGCAGCTATGAACAAATGCCATAGCTAGCTTAGCCAAGCCAATCCAGCGATTGCACATGTCCGCGCACGCCGAGCAGCAATTGACGTCTCGTCGTAAACTTGAGAACAGCCTTGAGGAACCTAATGCTGAAGTTCAAGATGAGGACCCGTGCTCAAGTAGTAATGAGATGGTGTGTGATTCCGAGCGCATTTCAGTAGATGACAGTGAAGCAAGAGATGCTGTCATTCTGTTGCAGCGCTACCTTGAACATGATGGTGGCTCAAAGTTCCTGCCCAGCCTTTCAGCAATTCACTCCTACTATGTGAGAAAGTGCTTGAACAAGGTCAAGCAAATTGTTATCACCTCCTTTTTTCCGAGTCAGCAATATTAGAAACATTTTTTTTCTAATCAACTGTACTACTAGTATTTTATGCTTCAAAATATTTTTGTTTAGTCAGCCCCAGTTGGTGCTTTTGAAATAGTCATATTTTATTCATTTTGCGGGCTTTGCTTAAATAAAACTTCTTATAAATGGAACAAGTTTCCTTGCCCCCTTCAAGTTCCATTTAAAAGGAGTTGACTGTACTCTCAAAAACACATCAGTTGTGCGGTCAATTTAGACTGTGCATTTATGAAGTCTAAATTATTCATCCAGGAGATATACTTTGGCACCTGTAGCAGAACGGTATTGCCTAGCAAGGAGCAAGTACAGTCTAACCCCTTTATAAGAGACCCTGATATAAGAGACAAATGGGTATAAAAGACATCACTGTGCCTGCAGTAAAATACAGGGCGATAGGAAAATGCCTTTGTGTGTTTCTATGTCGTCGTTTTTCTGGCATTGCTTCTAGTTATTTACCGTTGTGAAATCTCGACACAAGGAATTTGAAGGGACCGCAGAAAATCGTTTGTTATTTTCAAACATGGTTATAGTGAAAACATAGAAAATTGGCACTGAAAATCGCAAACACAACAAAAGTCACCTACCTACCTTTGCTAGGTGCATATCCGCAAATGCATGCCTCTATGACGATTGAGAAAATACACTAAACTCGAGATATCCCAGAATGAGCCCACATTTATTTTCTGAAAAAATCAGTGATTTTGGCCTGGCGAGTGGCACTCAGGATGAATGCTTCGAAGCCGTCCATATTTTTATGCTTTTAGTCGGTGGCATTTCTGCACCTGCCAAAGTAAGTGCGAATCTTTCGCACGCATTCCATAATGTCGGCGTTGGAAAGAGATTCTTCGGGCTGGCACACGGGTGCGGTCTCAGCGTCATCGTCGCCATTAACATCCTCATCACTACGAACGGCGCTGACGATGTCATTGATGCTCAGTTTGGCTGACGTGTACGTTTCATTTTTGCACTCCTCAAAGTTCTCTAACATCACCAAGGCATTCATCGCAAGTCTTTCAGTGACTTCTTGCCACATGCCACCTTCATCGCATTCTTCGCTGCCTTGTTTGCAGTCAGCTTCGGGTGGCATAGATACTAAGGCTGCCTTTTTCCAGCAGTTCTGGATGGTGGTTTCTGTAACATTCTACCAAGCCCTGGCAACCATTTCTGCAGCCTGTCGGACACTGATTGAAGTAAGCAGCTTCAGCCGAAGGTTTATCATCAGTCAATGAACGAGGCGTTGCGGTAATGGGCCTTGACGCCTCTTATGGCTCCGTGGTCGAGTGGCTGTAGCAACGAAGTGCAGTTGGGTGACAAGAATTCTAGCTGCACATTAGTCAGCCTAAAATTCACAAGATGCGCTGAGCAGTTGTCGACGATAATTAGGATTTTCTTGCCTGCTCGCCTTCTCTCGTCGTCCTCCTTCATTAGCCACTCAGAAAAGAGCTCTCGTGTCATCCATGCGCGTGAATTGGCCCAATAATCGCACGAAAATGACACAATGTTCTTCATGCACCGAGGCTTCTTGTTGTTTCCCATCACCAACGTTTTCAGCTTCTTGCTGCCGGTGGCGTTGCAGCAGAACAACGCTGAAATACGAACTTTAGATTCCTTGCCGCCTTTACAGCTGCTCCCCTTAAGATGCAATGTTTCATCGGGAAGCATCTGGTAGAAGAACGCTGTTTCATCTGCATTGAAGATATCATTTTCAGAGTACAAAGCAATGATTTTGTGTAACTTTTCATCCCTCCATCTAGCAGCACAGCACTCGCTGCGTCTGTCGCATTTTGTTCGCCTGACACCACTTGTCAGGTGATCCTGTTTCTCTCACGAAAACAATGGAGCCATTCTGTGCTTGCTTCGAAGCCCATGATGTCTAGAGCCAAAGCCAATAGCCAAGTTTTTTCCGGCAGCTTGGGTCCCGACACCGGCACATCTTGTGTACGTGCGTCTTAAAACCACGCGGAAACACCAGCATCCACGTCCTGAAGTTCCCTAGCCGGAGCTGTTTTCTTGACGGTGCCAGTTGGGACCCTCTGTACATCTCGATGATCTTCTGTCGATCCTTCAGGATGGTCGCGACAGTTGATGATGCAATCCCCATCTCGTTCGCAATGTGAATTTGAATTTGCTTTTTATTGGCGTCTATTTGTGAAATGGTCTCCGCTTTTTCTTGCAAAGAGAATTGCCTCTGCTTCTTTCTCGTGCTGCTCTGGTGCTCATGGCAAAACGCGAGTGTAGAAAGGAATGTCTAATCAGGCATTGGTCTAACACGAATCGTTAAACGACAATCGAACGGGGTTGACAGTCGCCTGAACAAAGACTGCCAGGCTAGGCCAGGGGTCGAGGCTCATCGTGGTTAAATCGCTGAACGGGGATGAAAAAACGATAGGAGGCGCTGCAGTAGCATAGGGAGAAATTTGGAGAAATGATCGGAAAGCTTTGATGATGGTAATAGTGCCACATATGGAGCTGGGCATTTGCCGTATCTACTCCCGTAATCATCGCACTCCCATAATTCTTGCACCCTCCCTCCCCGAATCGGCCAACGAAATACGAATTTATTTTTCCACGAGTACCGATTATCGCACTCGGAACAATTGCAGCAGTAATGTCTACTTCCTTCAACCACCGATGATAACACACAGCCTAGCGCTATCCATACTACCAACGCAGGGTGCCCCAATCCAATCCAAGCCAAAGTGGCAAGCACCCGTTGCGGCATGTTTAATAAAGCCTGTGCAGTGTGTGGTAACGGGATGCATTGATACGGAAGCTACATGGCTGCTTTTAGGTTTAAAGTGGTTGACCAGGCACAAAACAAGGACGATGGTTTCCGGCAGGCACTTCGGAGTCGGCGAGTTTTGTGTTTGCTACTGGCGACGGCAGCTCGAGAAGCTGGAGTCCACCAACACGCGTCAGATGTTCCAATGGCCTAAGAGTGCAAAATACTTCCAGCTTGAGGCAGAACTTCTTTATTATGTCAAGGGTCTCCACACAAAGGCCCTTAAAACAGTGGACAGTGGCTTTACTATCTGCAAATAAATCCCTTTGTGTTGAACTGTGGTTTTATTGTTAACGTAAGTCTCGATAAGTTCTTAAAAGTTTGTAGTAGCTGGCGTGAGAATCCCTATTTGCGACCACTTCGTTTTTTTTTTTGTGCTCTGTACATTTTCGCAGGAAATTTTCCGCGTGATAACCCCTCCAACTTTTCATCGGTTTTGCGCGAAGAAAGTATGAAGATTATGTGAGTAAGTACGGTAGATTGCCGCAAGTAATTCGTTATTTGAAGTGCTAATAGGATTGCCAGGTGATCAAATTACATTCTTTATTCTGAAACATTCGTTGCTTTGAAATTCATAGTAATGAAATACTTTTACATTGAATCAATGGATGTTGGGAGGAGGATTTTTGAAATATTCGATAGTCTGAGAAAATCGTTAGTCTGAGGTTTGTTATAATGGTATTTCACTGTAGTGCTTTTACGAGACATCTCATATAAGAGACGAAAATTGCTGCCCAGAGCATGCTTCTTATAAAGTAGTTCCCTTTACACTTCCCTGTTAGCTAGCTTGCTGAACAGGACGTATTTGGTTTACCCTCCAGGACTACATGGATGATGTTCATGGGAAGGAGATTCCCCTGATGCACACCACAGTCAAGATTCCCGGCCAGAAGCCAAGGGGTTCGAGAGCGGCTGGATCCACAGCTCAGGTCAACGACTTGGCTTCAGACGTGGGCACCCTGTCCTTGGCTGGAGGTACACGCGTGTTGCGAGACTCTTGGGGCCACATTCTTGAGAGACAAGTGCACAAACAACTTTCACAGCATGCTGGTCTTGCTAGTGCACAAAAAGAGCAGTTTTGCATGATTGAGCTCATACAGTTCACACGAGTACCGTAATGGGTATTGTCGCAGACTTTTCTTTGTTAGTACCTAATTCAGAATGCAAATCAGCGGCATTTTTTGCCTTCCCTTCAAAGATTTCTTCAGCAAAGTTAAAACTTGTTCAGCCATAAAATATGAAATTAAAGCTCAGGTTTGGATGGTGCAATAAATTTTACTGTATTAGCATTCAGTTATGTGTACAGCTCGACATATGTAAAAGTTAGTTTGTGTACATAAAGTTAAAGCTTATTACTGCACTCAAATTCTCAGCATAACGACGCGTATTGTGTACCCTATGTCATAAGGAAGCTAGCATTATGTCAGCCTTCACTTGACTGTCACATGGTAAAGCAAGCATTGTCACAGCCTTTGACTTCCTTGTCCTCATTTTTCTAGTTATTCCTGAAGTTTTACTGGCTCTTTATCACAATGGAGCTTGTTCATTACTGTGCATTTGAGCTGTATCAACTGCCGTGCTGGTGTGTGCTCCTGTTTTCATGCTAGCATGCTGTTTGCATCTTACAACACCTGTGCATCGCCACTCCTGCACAAAGCTTGCATGCACCTCCTTCTGTCTGCTTTCCCCAGCATTTATGGCCATGACATTCTCTGCACATTTTTAAGTGTTGTCCTATGCCTTCATTTCACAGAAAAGACCTCGAGAAAGCATTCATGTTCATCCCCGCACACTTGGTCCTCTAGTTTATTAAATACATAGACGAAATATCTTTATACTAACAACACAGCTTCCATACACGATTTAGGTGGCTACCTAGAAATGGGCTTAAGGGGAGATGCGATTTGAAACAATCTCTAGCCTGGGGCGAAAAAATGTTTGCTGTATATATACACTTTTATGCTGATTTCAAATATGTAATTATTTTTATAGTTAGTTGCAGAGCTTTTATTTCGTGCTATGACAATGTGTCAGGTATAGTTTGGTTCGGGCAAACTTTTTATACCACCGAACTTTCATTTTTCTGAGTCAATAATGGCTCATACTCTTTCACATCAACTGTAAAATGCAATTAACTATGGAAAAAGTGTGTATAAAACATTTTAATGAAAAAAAATTTTTAGAATTCTCAGCCCATAAATTGCTTACTTTAGGTTCGCAATAATTATGCTGGCAATATCAATTTTTGAATGAAATGCTTGCACTCTTTTAATGTTATGGAATATGTGAGCCATATTTCATCCCGAGCAGCCAATCAGAAGTTCTAAAACATAGTGTCCAAACTCAAGAAGTTGCCCAAAAATGGATCTTGAGAAAATTGCATTTTAACAATGTAAGTGGGAGCTCATCTATGCGGAGAAAAAATGTTTTTTAAGATGATTTCTTCCGTCACGAAAGCTTGACAATCACAGTTGTTTTGAGCATGTGGCTTTAGTGAACTCCTTATGCGAAATGCAGTGGCAAGCAGTGAGGTGACATTTCCAGGGAACTCTAGGCAATGAGCTCTCTTCAGTTTTTAATAGCCACCTTGGACTCTTTAAAAGCGATTTTAAGCCACATGGAGTTAAATTACTATCGTAAGTTTATTTTTGTCGTGAAAGTAGCGAAACTAAACTTGTGAAAACAAATAAAAATGAAAAATATGTAATTTTGAAAAAAAAAAAAAACTGGTGTTTTTACACGATAGGCTAACTGACTTTCCTACTTGGGTGGCGTGTACGTATAACTTGGTTGCCATTTGTGACTAACAAACTCTTTTTTGTCTGTGTGTCATAAATGCTTGCTATGTCTCTCCAGTCTCTTGATGCATTTTACCAATCTTCTTGTTACCTTGCTCTTTTTTGACTGCAGTTGTTCTTGCCACTACATAGCCTGCTTAGCCCGGTTTCTAGCACAGATAAAGGAGAAATTACTTTGATGTGCTATGTTGGCAGGTTTTGTTGGCCATCATCATATTCAGTAGTATTTAGTAGGCTTGTGCGAATATTCGAATGCTTTGAATGTTCGAACGACTAGTTGAGTATTTGAATTTGCTTTGATACGAATTTAAATTATCTAATATTTTCGAAGTATTCGCAATGAATGAATCGATGTATATTAATCTGCATGTTATTGCCTGTAAAGGTAATTTTGCTGCAATGTAGAGGTGCTAAGCCATGAAAGCACTTATTTAAAAGAAATTCGTTTTGCCGCGAAGCCCCCCTTCAAATTCAAAGGGGCCCTCAGCACTTACTGAACATGGTCCGAAAACGCTGCCGATCGGTAGTCGAGGCTATCGAAAGCACGCGAGGCAAATATTATAGCGCAGCACGCAGCCTGCAATTGACAATAAATTTTCAAAGCTAGAAATCCCTTTCTTACTTTGGCAAATGGAACTACAATCTCAAGAATCACTTGTCAAAGCCAAGAAAGAACATACGGCTCTGGTCACAGCTATTGACTGCTTTGAGCATGGCATGCTCTTCGTTAACGAGGCCGCCACTTGTCGAGGAGTACGTGCGCAAACGCTCTGAAAAGCCGCGTATTACAAGAAAAAAAAAAAAAAAACGGGTGCTCAAGGTGACAAGGTGCGTGTGACGTATTTTCTTTCGCCATGCCATTGCTCTCTGCTTAACTTCCAGCTATTTCGTCGGGACGAGAAAAGAGAATGCAATTGCAGCAGGTGACAAATTTGTGGAACTCCGCTTGTGCTGGATTGATTCTAGAAACTTTGCGGCAGTAAATTTGTGAGACGCCCCGCCAGGGTGGTCTAGTGGCTAAGGTACTCGGCTGCTGACCCGCAGGTCGCGGGATCAAATCCTGGCTGTGGCGGCTGCATTTCCGACCGAGGCGGAAATGTTGTAGGCCCGTGTACTCAGATTCGGGTGCACGTTAAAGAACCCCAGGTGGTCGAAATTTCCGGAGCCCTCCACTACGGCGTCTCTCATAATCATATGGTGGTTTTTGGGACGTTAAACCCCACAAATCAATAAAGTTTATGAGGCAACAGGCATGTTTACTGGCTCCATGGCTACTTGAAAAAGTGTTGCAGGGTCCCTTTAAAAGAACATGATACCCTCAAATCAATTCTTTTTATTAAGCTTGGTATGATGGCTTATTTGATCCAAGTGTAATAAATTTTAAAGCGTTAAGTATTTTATCACACGCATCCTACTGCAACTACTACTCAAGGTTGTTTCGACTTCCTTTAAACGAAAAAAAGAAATGACATTTCCATAGAGTTTCAATGCCAAAGAAATATTGTCCAGGTTAGTTAGGTCATGATAAATATTCCTTTTTTAATATGTCATACATGCCATTCGAATTCGATCTGAAATTATTTGATCAAAATCACTATTCACTTTGAATTTGCTTCGAACCTGAAATTCACTATTCACACAAGCCTAGTATTTAGCCTTTCAGTGAGTAATTCACACATAAGCACCTCCCATGTTTAGACCTACGTAAGTGTTAGTGTAAAGTGGTACACAGTAGTTTTGAGTGATGCATGTTTCCAGTCAGATGCCCCATGAAAATATTTGCGATAGATATCAAGTGCCTCACACAAAGAAAGGTCTTTTACTATAATAAACCTTTTTTGTATGCTTAAACAGATCCGCACATTGTCTGGATTAGATGTACAGAAGAAATCTTCTTTTGTGATAGTCTACTCTCGTTACAACAGACCGTCATAATGTGGCAAAATGAGCCTGTATTATCCGAAGTCCGCAATATCCAAACTTTGGGTGAAGGGGGGGGGGGGGGGCATCGCTGTATGATGACCGTTTAGATTTCACTCAGCAGTATGGAACAGGCTAGTTCTGCTGATACATGCTGAATGTATTTGACAGCATTGTTACATAGGGCTCACCAGTAGTGGTTAATAACAATTTTGCAGTGCAAGTTCTAATTAATGAGCAAGTGCTGTTGTAGTAGGTGTTGGGATGCTATGTAGCCCCTGCATAGCGTCAAAGGTTAGCTCGATTATAAAGCGTTTATAGCAGGGCTTTTTCACCTACCTCTGTTGATTAGCTGGAAATAAATTCTTTATTTGTGGAGATGGGAAGGCAAGTCTATTTAAATGGGGCTGCCTATGGGCTGCTTGGAGCTGTTGCTTCTGCGCAGCCTTCACGGCTTGCTGGACGGTACAAAGTTGATCTGAAAGCTCTGAACTGAGCAGTGCCAAGGGACCTCTCGCTTTAGGAATCTGATTTGACACTGAAACTCATCTGCAGGGAGCATTTGAATGTCTTACTTTCGATGCTTTGGTCACGTTTTCTAACAACAGAGTGGCAAACATCTGACTTAATACACAAGCAAAATCTTTTTGTTTACATTTTGCTCGAAGAGAAATTTGGGTTAAAAGATTGGTAAGCACCCTTGAGTGATAATGCAATCACCTTGCACCGCATTTCGGTCAGCTCTAACACTTGAACTATAAGTTTGACTAACATGCTTGCACACTGGTTTGGCTGGAGGCTTGGCTTTGTCACAGGTCATCATATATGCCAGTCACAACGTAGAGTCACTGTGGCTTAAGCATTCAGAGAACGGCCAGCATGCAGAGAGTGGCGTGGTCAAGCTTGTGGTCATCCCGCATCAACTCAGCAAAAGTACACTTCATGTTACCCATTTCAGAAAAGAAAAATGCTGTTCATTTCATCCATTGTAGCTGGTAGTTTGTTGAATCCTGGTCCGTTAAAAGTGGACTTCACTCCCTTAATTTAATACACAGATCAAACTTAGGCTTGATAATAGCCTATTGTCTCCAAAAGCTTGTGGTGCACAGGCCCATTACAATGAGCTTAGATTGTATATTTCTTGCACCTTTTATTCCAGCAACCCACTAAACCCTAGCTACTGACTTTAGGTGTATTAGCTAGCCAAAGGCAGTGCGAGTCATCCTTTTCTCTTTACTGTTCTAAGGAAATATCTTTTGCTTGCTGTCATTATTCACACATTGACCATGCACTCGACTGCCATGTGTGACCCTAAGCCATAAAGCTTCCTATAGAGAGATGTGGTGATTTTGTTTGTGGTTCTTCAATAAAGAACTCTGCAAAACCATGGAAACGCTAGGATATGGATGGTGCAGCTTCTCTTAAATACTGCTTGGCATAGCCCACCAGCGCAACTTGACAAATGCACCATTTTTAGCCCTCCATGATAAAAAAGAAACAAGAGTTCACTCCTAATTGTATTTCCTTCCACTGCTTACTTGCCTCATTGCCATTGTGCATGAGGTCAGGCGTTTCGCTATCGGACGTGGTGACCATATTCAGAGGAGGCAGTCGCATGACCTCCTTTATTATGCCCTTTCTCGTAATACCATAATAGCTTTTGAAAGTGTAACCACATGAAGAAGCTGTTGTTTACTGACCTATAAACACAATCTAGCTCATAAGGCTGTCTTTTTTTTTATCATGGTACTGGCCATGTTTGCGGGAACAGTGAACCCGAGCCCGTGTGCCCAAACATTGGTTGAAAGCATTCACGGATACTGTGAGGCACACTGTCTTTAGTGAATGAAGAGTATAGAATCTTGTGACATGTGAAAATGTCATCAGATACGAATGCCTCAGCTGTTTACACGACATGCTAGTCCGATGTCCCCACTTCCCAGCATTTCCATGCATGCATGCAGCAGCACTGGTGTTTGCTCAGAAAGTGTGTGTCCCGTGTCACTGGGTCCCATGGTTTTGCTAACTGCTCCGTGGCTGCGCTTCCCTCCCGACCGGTGCTGTTGTGTGGCTACCCTGCGGCTGTCGAAACAGGCATCCCTTACTTCAAGTATAAGGAGCCCCGCGAGCGAGACTGCCTGGCCAGCTTTGACCCAGCTGATGCTCAGCACAGCAATGCTTTCTGCTCAGGTAGGCTGCACCTGCTCCCATGCTGCTGCGCTTGCTTGCTCTGGTGCTGTGTGTCTCTGCTCCTCGCATGAGCTGCGTACCATGTCATGTTGTGTTTTATGTACCTTGTGCGCACCAGCTTGCTCGAAACTGCCAGTGAAACTACTTTTGCTTTTTTTATTTTGAAGTGTCTTAATCTTAGTGTGCCTATCCTTCGCAGTCACAATTAAAGGAAACAGTTGGTGTCTGCTGGCTCCTTGGTGGTGGATTATCTGGCATTCTTGTGAGCACGTCTGCAAAAGACGTCTAGAATACGTTTAAAATGTGCATCAAGGATTTGTTATTACAATACCAGCAGATTTTCTATAGCTGGAATGGTTGATGTGTAAGGGGGCCCTACTAGTAGTAGGGTGTATCAAGCATTGTTCCAATAGAATGTACGTCTACTTCTTTTCAAAGAGCAGGTGGATTGTATTTATCAGGCTGATTCACTTACTGAAATGCATCCTTGCAGCTTTAATGGGAGAAAAAAGCAGGCGAGTTACAGAAACTTACAAGGCAGCTGTTGTGTAATGCAAGAATTAATGCATTATAGCAGTGTCCTTGCTGCAGTTATGTGCAGTGTAGCATTCTTATTGTTTTGCCCATCTGGCTTCTGCAGAAACTTCTGCTGCATTTTTGAAGCAACTTGCAACATTATGTACTGGAATCTGAAGTGGGCAAAAGAAACTGCATTAGGTTTCGAAATAGGGATAGTTAGTATGCGTTCACCTTGAACACTGTGGTCGCTTCTTGTCCAGAAATTGCTGCACAGCCATCAATGTGTGTGCAAAAGAGCTGATGGAGAAGCTATAAAAGGATTTGGAAGTGTTATGAAGGTTTGTTTAGCTTTTTGAAAGTGTTTGCAGAGCAGACATGGAAGTGCTGAAAGCAAAAAGGTGTTACAGAGAGAAATAAGAGGCATATGAGCACTAACCATGCATTGATTTATTCTTCACTACACACATGTGCAGATGGGTCCACTGTTAAACGGAACACCTGTGTGCATGGCATCTCGCAAGATCGCAGTTGCTTAAATTTGCATAAAACTACCGGTGATTGGCAGTTTTTCCTCCTTTTGGCACACTAGTGCTACGTGGAAACATTGTTTTTTTATCCACGTGATGTTAGAAGGCCTGAAGTATAAACAGTGACCATTGCAATGTTCCCTTTAATAGTGGACCATACTGTACACATAAGTATTATAAACAACAAAAGCTGGCAGGACGCGAAATGTTCGAGAGAGCTGGAGTCCCACTTTGTCTCGCAATGTAATTTTGAAACAAATGTTCCATACTGCAATTGACATTCTGACCTATACAGCCACCAGCTTGATTACAAGCATTAAGCACTGATACAGCAGAAACTTGCATTTGTTGGGGATCCATCATCGCACAAACTTTTGCTGTTGATTGTACAAAGAGCTAAAATTAATTATGAAGCAGACGTCAGTAATGTGACATATTTTTGTAGAATGACAAAATGAAGGCACAGTGATAATAATTAACATACTAACACTCATCTAAAAGCGCAAATTCTTGTTCATGCAAAGCTACCAAAGGCTGACTCATGCACTCGTCATCCTATTTACTGATATAACGTGCTTCGTCTCAGTTTTTCTTTATGGCATTCCAACACACTCCCAGCCTGAAATTGAGACTGGCAGCTGCAACTTTTATAACGCATCACAAGGTTGAAACTTATTCCTTTGCGTAAGTTATTTTCATGCTCTCTTAACCTCTTATTTAAACAACGTCCAGTTTGTCCTACGAAGCTGTGCTGGTACGTTGAATGGAGCCATGCCACCAGACCATTCTACAAATTTGCATGTTTTACTGCGCATGCCCGTCTCCTTATTTTTACTTTTCACGAAGGTGCTCATCCGTCAGCCTACAAATCTGGCCAGCTGTACACGGGCCTGATATAACAACATGTGCACCATATTTCGACCCAAATTTTTTCAGGCGATGAGATATATTATGAAAATGATGATAGCCACTCTTCGCTTTTCTTCGTCTGTCTGGTTTTCCTTGCTTTTGTTTAGCAGCAGTCGACTGTATACCGCTACAAGGAAATTGATGGGATTTGCGAAAAAGTTTGTTGTTGCAAAATTTCGTTGTGTTGAAATTTTATTTCTAGACCATAAAATTCCACAAGGCTTGATGATTACGACCTGTCCTTTAGGCCCATCGAGTGCATGCATGGAGCCCTCGTTAACACAGATGTACTTGCTCCAAGGTATGCGCACAAAGCAAATGTATTTTCTGTCGTACACACATGAAAGATACATAAAATTTGGAGCTAAATTCGCGATGCGAGTTATAAGTAAATTTCTGTGCACAAGTTGACTGCACGGCACGCCTTCGTGGTAATGTGAGAAAGGCAGCCTTACATAAATACGTGGGCATAATTTTCTTTTATGGTTCGTATTCGGAGGTGCCGGTTATATGCAGGGGAAGGTATACATGACAAAATGCAGCATTCGGACAACCCTCAAAGTGTGCTGAGCATGCAGTGCTGCAAACGAGCCCGCTACATTTTTGCTGGTGGCCAGCCGAAAACTAAGTGCCGAAGCTCCGCACTACCATAGGCATAAATGAACATTCGGAAATCTGTAACACTTTGAGCCATATTATGACTTTATTGCCTTTAATATTGTTACTGGTGTGTACCTTCAAAGTGTATTTGCTATCAATCATTGCGACGATTGTGACTGCAGGTTACTATGTAACAATTGCGGCAAATAGTAGGTACATTTCTGCAGATTGTGCGTGTACCTTAAGAATGTGTTGTTGCTTCATGTCATCGCATCTACCAAGGTTTGGTTTGCAGCCCTGATTTGAATGCGTGGAGGTTTGATGCGCCCGTGCTTTTATGGTCACCCATGATCACGCCCGCTTAACCACGTTTATATTCGCAGCACTTGCAGCAGAATGCGGTTGCGCTTAGACTTAACCCGCTCGCCGCGGGTCTGCCTTTATAACGCCATAGTTGTCGCAGGGCTATAACGCCATGATCGCAGGGCTAGTGACGGAAAGTGGTAGTTTTGTCTTGAGCACTGCATCAAAAACATGGTGAATGTTCCTGAAGAACTGTTATACTGTGACCCACACATGTCTCAAACTCAGCGGCAGCATCATGGTGGATGGGCGATATGTCCCCAAGCATCTTAATGACAAAAAGATTTCTGGGATATGCGTGTGGTGGCAGAAAGCATGTGTCTGATGAAAACACAGGTGTTGTGATGTGGCCACACAACTGTCAAAGTCATGAGCCGACAAGAAGTTGTTGGATTGCTAGTGGAATTTTGCAGCACTCCTTGGCAAGCTGCTTTTTTTTTGTACTAGCACTCAGGAAAACTTCGTTCAAGTGGAAGTAGTCAAGAAAAAAAGTATTCATTGTGATGACATATTTTTTGCATTTATTTCTATTGGTGGCTGATCAGGAATTGAAAATTATTCGTTGTGGCAGACTTTGTTATAGCTGAATTCAGCTAATGGCCCCTGCATTTTTTATGCAAAGTTGGGACGCAAGATTTGTAGTGCAGCTATTACATGAAGAAAAATACACATCTTGTTTCCCATAAATGTTTTTGGTAGTACTTGCCTAATTGAACTGCAATACTCATAAGCAGAGTGGGTCAGGAACATATTGGGTTTAAGGATATCATAGTTGAAATCAAGCAGAAGAAATGAACATGGGCCGATCATGTAGCGCGTGGGCAGGACAACTGATTGGATTCCCAAGGGAGGCAAGCGGGCTAGGGGGAGACAGAAAGTTACGTGGGCAGATGAGATGAGGAAGTTTGTGAGTATAAAGTGGCAACAGCAAGCACAAGAGCAAGTTGACTGGCAAATCATGGGAGAGGACGTAGTCAGGCTGATGATGATGGACTCATTTGCACTTGGAGGAGCAAAAAATAAATGGAAAAAAAATTGTCATGGCTGCAAGAATCCTTGCTTTCGTCCTTCTGTACTTGTTACTTCCTCAAACTTGCCTCTGTCTCACATAGGTGGTTGTCCATTCCATCAAGCTTGTTTAAGACTTTCACAGGAAAGCTATAAGGCACATTTTTTTCTGCACTGCCATGAAGGAAAACCTCACCGCACGCTTCGAGAATCCTGTGGCATGCACATTCACGATCAATGTCCTCTTCAGCCAATCAGTCGATGTCTTATGACTAGGCTTGTGCAAACATTCAAATGCTTCGAGTATTAGAAAAAATAATGCAGTATTTGATTTCACTCTCAATTGAATTCAAATTATTGAAAGTTTCAAATTATTCAAAACGAATGAATAGATTCATATCAATCCGCGTGCGATATCTTGTAAAGATGGTTTTGCTGCAGTGGAGTGGTGGTAAACTGTGAAAGCAGATATTTAGGGGAAATCTGCACAGCTGCGAAGCCACATTTCAAAGTTAATTTTATTTATCGATATTTATTTATTTGATACTGTCAATCCCGTGCTTGGTGTCATTAAAGGGAGGGTGTCACAAAGTACATAAGGTTTGCACAAAAAAGAAAAATTCAAAAGCACATATAAATACGAGATGAATAACCAACAATAAAAAAATAAGAAACAAACAACAGTGACTACACACATAAAAATCAACGAATAAATGCTGACAACAGACAACAGAATTGATGATATTACCCTCGCGTAGATTTATTTTTTAAGTTGAAAAGCATGTTATACCGACTTATATGCTCCAAGTATAGGAAATTTTAATAAGTAACATATTCAAGAGGCTATCGCTTGCATTCTACTGAAAAGTCAAACTCTGCTACTATTCAAAGTTGTTTCCGCTTTTTTTTTATGCAAAAAAATGGCATTTGCATGGGCCTTGTTTCAATTTAGAAGAATATATTGTGCAGGTTAGTTAAATCATGACAAATATGCCCATTTTTTTGTAATATACAGTATTTATACTATTCAATTACACTGCAAAATTATTCGATTAAAATTATTATTTGCTTCAAGTTCATTTTGAACCCAAAATCTATGCGCCCAAGCTTATTTATGACGAGTGGTCATCGACATGCATTCTTTGTACACACAATCCACGCTTACATGGCTGCAATAAGGGCACAACCAAGGGCTGAAGTTGGCCTGTCGTACCTTTTAGTGTAATGACCAAGTCTAGTTCACATGCATAAAGCTGTCGCTACACAATATTTATCTGGGGTGGGTAAGGTACAAGTGTCAAGATTTGTGCCTGGTTTCTCCCAAACGCACTTAAACCTGTCTCTCACTGGCTCATGCAAGCTTTTTCTTGGGCCCTAGCAGATAAGCCATTAGATAAGAATTTTGTGGGTGCATGTTTTCTATTAAAGAACAATGTAACATAGCTGTTTATGTTTATTTGGGGCAATGCAAAGCATAAGTGTACCTCAGTGCCCCTCAGCCCTCATTTGAAAACACGATCACTCTTCTTTTACCCTATCTGGTGACCAAACCAGTGCTTGATTGACATTTCCAATATCAGAGAACAAGTGTATTTTTGCAACAAGAGCAGCTTTTCTCCTCCAGCAGACATTGGCACATTACAGTGGAGAGGTATCACTTCCTGAACCACCGGATTCATCCATTGCCGGATTTCACTGCTATAAGCAAAATGCCTGTGTTTCATGCGATGCCGAGCACTTATGCTACACCTCTGTCAAAATTGTGTGGTTGCTCTGCATCTGTCACATACTGTATAACCTAGTCGTTTCTTTCTAGAAACATGTTGTGCTTGCTTCAAAAAGTGCACCTGCCCCGCCACGGTGGTCTAGTGGCTAGGGTACTCGGCTGCTGACCCGCAGGTCGCGGGATCAAATCCCGGCTGTGGCGGCTGCATTTCCGATGGAGGCGGAAATGTTGTAGGCTCGTGTACTCAGATTTGGGTGCACGTTAAAGAACCCCAGGTGGTCAAAATTTCCGGAGCCCTCCACTACGGCGTCTCTCATAATCAAATAGTGGTTTTGGGACGTTAAACCCCACAAATCAATCAATCAAAAAGTGCACCTTTGTTCATTTGTTGTTTTGAGTGCACCTTTGTTCATTCGTTGTTTTGAGTGCACCTTCAGGCAACCACTGCCCACATTTTTTACGAACTTCGAACTTTCAACCAGTAGCTTGCCCTTCACTTTCTTTGGCCAAGATGATCATTTCTGATTTAAAGCCAGTCGTATGTATTTTTACCATCTAGAGGCAATAATTGTGGCAAACTTGGTAACATAAATATGGGAACAATGAGGGAAAAGCTGTACACACCTAGTTCATGGCCACAAGACTGCAGTACGAGAATAAGAACAAGAAACAGAAATGAGATGAGGCTATTCCTGCAGGGTGTCCTCTGTTGGCTGGAATAAATGAGGATGTTCCACAGACCAGCAACTCTTGCACTTTTAAAGCTATCACTTAAATTGCTGAGTAGCATGTGCTACCTGATGGCACCAAAAACTCTGCACTGCTGCCTTGTGTTCACTCCCCCTCCCCCCAGAAAAAACAAGTCATCAGAATTTTAGCACAGCACAGCAGATGACATTGCTAACCTGTAAAATCAAGGGTGCGGCTAATAAATGAGTACAATATTTTGCAAGCGTATTTTTGGGACATTTTGATCATAATTTTGTGTTTGACTTTGACATGAGTGCATCCACCGCACAAGTATATCCAGCTTTTATTTGCCAGTGTTTTCTGTGCACTTGTAATTACTGAATCTTCCAATACTTCCAGTAACTAGCAATAACTGGATTGCATAAATGCTTGTTTCATGCTCTGAGCTCTGCCTCAACTGTATGAGTAATGTTTCTTGTACTCCATGGTGGCTCAGTGGCTGTCGGTTGGGATAACAGTCGCTGATAAATTTGCATATTGTGACTCAAGTGCACCCTAAAGAACCTCATCTGGTCAAATTGGTTGAGCTTCCCACCGGTATGCGTCTCATTATTGCAGCTCAATATGTGCACGCTTAATTTAAATGGGTACACTTCTAGGCTCATGTTCCCATCAACGCAGTGACTACAATGAAACTTGAAGACAAAAATGGCTTCATCTTCTGTTCATATTGGCATGTAGAATACAGAATTGTTCAGTAAGCAATGTTTATTGGATCAAACTTACGCTACAATATAAACTTCTGGAAATTTGAAGCGGCAAAGAAGCAGTCATCAAAGCAAAGGTGCCCAGGCAAGCATCGATGAGAAAATGAATGCTGTGGAATTTTTCCTGTAGGCTCTTTATGCCTAAGCATTATTATTTCTGGGCCATCAATTATACCGATAACACAACGCTAGTGATGGCACCGTCAAGCACTCTTTCCATCAATTCATATAGCCTGGGAAATGTACAAAAGAGAGTGAAACGTGTTTATCCTATAGCATAGATAAGATCGCGACAAACAACTCTAGTGACTGTCAGATGCTGGCTAAAAGAACAAACCAAAGGCATTGGCAATATGGCAACCATGTTTAATGAGAAATTTGAACTTATTGAGCTTCGCGGTGAAAATGGATGTATAAAGGAAAGTGTCTCTATCAAGCATATCCGACAGCTGGTCGAATGAGAAGAGTTGAACAGGTAACGTTGCTGAATATAATTTGGGTATCCTTCAAAGTACTGATTGCCATAGCAACAGGAGCTAATGTCTTTTGTGTTTCTAGGTTTCGCGACTTTAGTAAGTGGGTAATGCCATCACCTGGAATGGCCGGTGCATGCCGTTGCTGCTTTATCTTGTTAATCGTGCCTTGTTAGCATCTTGAAGTTAAGAGCACATGCTTATTGCCTGTCTAGGTCATATTATTTAATGTTCAACATGCCTATTTCAGTATGAAAATAATAGACCGAAAAAAAAAAAATCACTGCATCTCCTTGAAGTGAATGGTGATGACTGGGCAAAGCAGTGGGATCGTTTGATGTTACTGTAAATCATTCGTGACACTGACCACTCATGCATGCAAATAAGTGACAAGGCGGTGTACAGTAATGTACAATGTTCATCAGTCATAAATGGTGTGTTGTGTGTGAATTTCGTTTTGCTTCCATTATTACTGCTTTGTGGTATTAGATCTAGCCTTAAGTTGGCAAAGCTAGACCCTGAGGAGCTTCACCCCTAAAACACACAAGCAATTGTGCAGAACTTGGTGTTGTGGAGAACATTGAGCAGGCAAAATAATCCAAGCCTAGCACTGCAGTGTTTTGCACTAAAACCCATTTCATTTTTGGGCATTACCACAAGCTAGCCAGTGTCGCATTTGGTTGATGGGTTTCCCACTGTGCCTCCAGGGATGCTGAATGGCAGCGAGACGCAACTCATCCCCGCTGTGCCAAACACCAACCCAATGCTGTCTAAGCTGGAGACACCCAATGTAAAGAAGCGACACCGACGCATGAAAAGCACTGGTGCCAAGAATTTCGAAGCCATGGAAGGTGGGAGCCTGTTTGTTACAGAAACTTTTGAAGTAACATTACAAAAAGAAAAAAAGAAATGCATGAGCCAGTTGCCCTTTCACCATGCTGAAGGTGCCACTAGAACGTGCTCAGTAACCAAGAAAACGTAAAAAAAAAAAAGAAAGATAATACGGGTAGCAGTTCTGCATTCAGGTTATCGGGCCAACTTGTAACAATGTTTTATGTTTTTATAGCACCAGCTGGGGCTTACATATTCTATTAGTAAAAATGATTTACATTGTGTGTCGAGGGTGCCCGTGGCTTGATATAGCAAGATTTAGGATGTTGTGCTCAGCCACTACAGCGAGAATGTAAAAAACTAGCCATATATCAACGTGCTTCGGGGCAAATGTCTCCGAAAGACGTCTTCTATGGTCTGAAGGTGCTGCGTGAAATGTGTACGTCATCTGGAAGTAATGTCGGGAAACAAAAGCGTATGTAGAACGCAGAGCCACTGGGTGCGTGCAGAGCCACTGGGAGCATGTGGCAACACCATTTTGTCCTAGGGAAGCGTAAGAAACGCCCGCTTTTTCGTTTTTAGTGTTGCTTTGTCAGCAAAGCGTGAGAAACACTGAGGTTTTTCAGCATTGCATATCTACACATTTTCCATTAAAAAAATACACTACATAATACTTGCATATTGATGTCTCACTCAGATATGTGTAATTTTTGCTTTTTGATCGATAATGCTCACAAGTATAAACCCAGCCACCAGATCAAAATAGCAGAGCATTCAGCAAGAACTTAAACTTTCACCAGGTGTATGAATCAGTTGACAAACAGATAGACAGACAAAAATTTTTGCATTCAAGTATGCCAAGAAAGACTATAGCTGTGTTTAAAAAGAGTGCATTAGGTCAAATTAATGATAATGATATAATTTAGTGCAATAGTGAAAACTAAAACATTGATTTTCACTTTTCCTTCTGATGATGGACTTGTGATGTTAAAATAAAGATGATAGAGTTCTGAAAGAATAGTCAGACTTTAGAACTTTATTTCCAACAATATGTTACAACTTGTTGAAGATCCAAGTAAAAAGCTATAACAGTCACAATTGCACAGAGAAATGGAACACAAAAAATTGGTGGTAATGTGACCGATGAACAGATACAGGCTGCACCTAAGCGCCGTGGAAAGAGAAACTCATGCGAGGCTTCTTACATGAACAACACCTGATTTACTTATATATTTACAACAGTTCACAAACTACTCGTACAGATGCACCTTAACATCAGGTACACGAGAGGGCCAGTGAAGGACAAAGAGAGAGCTCTCAGTGCACATGCGACGCAGTATTTATATCGCCTGGTCCGTGCAGCACACAAGGATACCAAGAACACCTCTTGCATTCTTGCAGTACACGAGCCGCACTTGGCAGGTACGCCTAGCAGATAGGGTCTTTGCGTTGGCAGTTGTAACAGTTAGCAGTACAAATTTGGGTGACAAAAATAAAAGATGCGCATAAGTCTGAATTTAGCAGACAATTTATGGTGGCCAATTTGTTTAGAAAATAACAGTGCAATTAATTGAAAACTGCAAAAAAAAGGCTGCCACAGGATTGTATGTCATCACTTGGTTTTTAATGTTTTATTTTAAATAGGTCATGGGATGCTGCTTATTTTTCTTTGTTCTTGCTAGATTTCTAATGTGAGAGAGATCAAACTTTGTATTTTGATGGTCAACAACTCTTGCCTATGCTGTAGGCCCGTGTGCTGAGATTTAGGTGCACGTGAAAGAACCCCAGGTGGTCAAAATTTTGGAGCCCATCATCACAGCATCTCTCATAATCATATGGTGGTTTTAGGACAAACCCCACATATCAATCAATCAACAACTCTTGCCTAGCAATGATTCTGTTTATTCAGAAGAGGCAGAAAACTGTGTTGTCAGCACTTGGCTTGGCATGTTTTCAGACACACTTTCCGTATACCTAAAAGAAACATTGAAAATAAAAGTTGTGTCGGGTGCGGAATTCGATACTCCTGCTTTGTATGCCTCCAAGGAGAGCCACAAGGTCGACGATGAAGTTGACTACCTTTGGCCACTCGTCTAAAAAAACACGATTGCCTGTACTGTTTGGTTGAGCTGCTAGTTGTGAGCTGCAAAAGCAGCTTTGTGCAGGCAGAGGCAGACTGAAGCATGCATGCGTGTTTTGCCGTATGGTCTGACTGCACTGAGTGACACATCCCAAGGCTTTCTACAGTATTTACTAGAAAAAAATAGGTTGGGCACGAATATAGGTCGACGAGAAAAAAAAATTCGAATATAGGTTGGCTTATGATTTTTCTTGAATTAAGAAACAGAAGAACTGGAACATAGCTGACCTTTATTTACATAACTTAGCACCCTAATTGCTACTGGGGCCGTCATCTTGTCAGATGTGCAAAATGTTGCTATCAGATTCTTTGCCAGCATCTGCGGCTTTCCAGACGACATCATTCTCACTGCCGTCGCTGCCGAATGTTGTGCCGCGAAAAGCACGGCGCCGTTTGTCGCACGCAAACAGATGGTCCCACTGCTTTCGCCAAACCTTAATCATCTTCTCATCAATGCAGAACTTGCGCTGCGTGGCACGATTGCTCGAGTTCTCGGCAAGCAGTATCACTTGGCACATGAAGTCACTTGTGTAGCTCTGCCGATGTGACATCGTCACAACCGCATACAAGCGAAAGGTGGTGGTGGTTAGAAGAAGAAAAAGGTGCCTAATTTCTGGAGCTCTATATAGAGCACGGCGCAGCGCCTAAAGCAAATGCGAATTGTCACCTCATCATGCCGATCCTACACAAACAAAGTGCGAGGCAGCAAGGTGCCAGTGCCAGTGCAGCTGCGCGCCCTCAGGCAGTAATGAAAGCACGACTAGCGGGCTAGGGACTTCACGGCCCATACCTTAGGAATTCTCGGTTGTCATTGCAAACATGGCGGGGCGGCAGCATTTCGCGGGGGCTTTCAAAAAGTGGTACGTGGCTATTGCAGAAACATTTTTTTGATTACTTTGGTAGTTGGAAAGGAGGGAGGGAGCAGACGATGCACCGAGAGTAGCGCAAAATCTGACTGCAGCCAAATTTTTAAATCCAGCACAGTGAAGTAAATTTTTCCCATCCCGTAATTTGTTCTTGATTGGAGTATCAACCAATTAATTTTGATCAAGATAGACCTCTAAAGTAATCTGACGCGATTCAAAAGGTGGGACCAAGCTTTGTGTTGCAAAGATAGAAAGCTCACTGCCAAATACAAGGTCTATGACGTTAAATTTGAGAATGAAGTCATGGTAACGCAAGAAGTTTTGATCTCACGCGGAAAGTGGGAGCTCACACCCGGTACCATTCTGTACTTATTTCCAGCAATTCCACCCCATATATTGAAGCCAAAATGTTCATAACAAAAGTGCCAATCCAACCCCCTCACCCCCACCCCCCTTTAAAAAAAAAGGCACATGGTGCCCCTCGAATATGCAGTTCCCAGTTCAGAGGAGCGGCCAGAAATGGAACAGCAAGATAGAAGGCATGTGGCAAACAACCCTCTTGATACTTAGAGAGTTACATCACAGTGGCATTCGGTCAATTGTCAACTGTCGTGCTGCCTTCAAAGCAGTGGATGTTGATGCTTTAATATATATTTCCCTTATGAACCAACACAATCGTATTTAAGTGGTCATTTTTACCAGTGACCATGTTTTGTTACATTTGCTTCATATTACAGTGGTACATATTTTTCTCGATGACAGTGTCCCCATTTCTCAACCTTACAGCAGGTAAGGGGATGTTGCACCTGTCGGTGTCACTTCTTCCCGGTGCTGCGTAGTACACCATTAACACACTGAGAGTGTACTACATGTGTGGGTATGTACACAGAAAAATTGAATAAGTGACAACGTACAAAGAGTGCCTAGCATCTCTCACAAGTACTCCTGGGGCAGCCGCACCCAAACCACAGGAAAGTGCACTCACTCTAATGAGATGTTTTCAAGAAGGCTGCTTTTATTATTTCTTGCCTAGGTTTTCTTTCTGCATAAAAAGCAATTGAGAAAGCTGTATAGGGGCATTTCACAAAAACCCCACAGTTGGTGACCTCATTTTATTTATTTATTTATTCCAAATACCTTACAGGTGCGACAGGGCATTGTGTAAGGGGAGCATTAAAAGAATATATACATTGATTTGCGCAGCTTACATACATACAAACAGTAACATAAAAAAATTGATGATGATTATACGACGCCTAACAGCAACAATGATGAGGAAAGAAAAGAAAATAGTAATAAGAATGCAATGGCAACGAAAAGCAGATGATCATACATGTGAGATATTGACATAAAACAAGCTATGAAAAAAGTAAACACAATTCGCAAAATACTTTGCGTTAGTCAGAAGAAAACATTGTTCAAGATTACGCATACAATTGAATGCCATGTTAGCATTGAAACCTTCTAAAAATTCTTAAAATATGAAAAAGGAATGAAAGAAGAAAAGAAAATAATCCAAGAAGCTATCAATAAATGAATGCGTAAGTGCAGAACTTGATATGAATAAATTGAGCAGTTAATGCTTGAAAAGTTAATGCTTGGTTGCCACTGCATCTTTCGAGTTACGCTGCTCATGATGAGAATGTGAAGACTGGAGTAGTAACGTTTTATATTCTGATTAGAATATGCTTTCTTTTTCTTTTCTTGCAAGAAAACAAATTGGGAGCTTTCTGAAAAGTGGAAAATGTGAGAAAGAAGGTGCAGTTGCTGTCGCATTTTGCACTCTGCTCTCGATTGATAGCCATCGCGAAGACTTGTCTGGTGAACATGGCTGCTGTTTTTTCGAGAACATCTTTTTTTGTAACTAGTAAAAAACATGAGTACTGTTTTTCTAAAGCATTTTTTATTCCCATAACTCAACTTGCTTGAGGCTTTTAAAGATGTTTTGAGCCGTTTTTCGTCTAGGCAAGACGGCTCTGGTTAAAGTGATAGCGGTCATCATGAAACCAACGCTAAAGATGCTCGTTCACGTAGAACCTCCCATACATGAAGGTTAAATGCAATGCAGACAACTCAAATATATGCAGGACATCAATTGTTAGCCGGCTTGCAATGAGCAACACGTTCCGGCGACTATATACAGGTGATCTTATGCGTATCCACATAAGCACTCCACAAATGCGACACAAGAATATCAACTGGAAGCACGATGAATGGTTAAGTTTGATAATAGTACAAAAAGAAAGCTGCTGGGAGCAACAGCGCGGGGGACTGTTGTAGTACGCCACCGTAGCAGACGATGCACCGAGAGTAGCGCAAAATCTGACTGCAGCGCCGCCAGTTCTCGCAACCGCCATTCGGCCCACCCTCCTCCGCTGGTGGAGATATGAAGCTTGAAACTAAGTTTATTTTAGCAAAGTTGGTTGCGGTTTCATTTTCATGTACAATAAATTTTTGGGTGCTATTTATTGGTAGAAAGGTGCGCATTGGCTTGAATTTTTTTTCCAAGTTGAGAATAAAGATTCGCTCACACCTCTTTTAACTAAGTAATGCTGCCATTAGCTGCCGCTATCAAGAATAATTTAATCTACGTTCTTTTCTACACTAGTTCGTATTGTGGGCTTATCCAGGTGTTCTGTATTCGTTTTTTTGGGCAAGACGGGGTGTCAATGCCTGTGTTCTTAGTTTTTCGATTACACAATGCCCCGATTATACGACGATTTTGCATGGTCCCCTGAAAGTCGTATAATCGGGGTTCCACTGTGTGTGCATATAGATATATATATATATATATATATATATATATATATATATATATATATATATATATATATATATATATATATATATATATATATATATATATATATAATGTAAAATGGGAAGTGCTTTGATGATGGGAAATGCTGACTGGGTCTTTTTTGCATGAATTGGCCAATGGATATGCATTTGTATACGTGTGTGATGTGGTATTAGAATAAACTTCTCCCTGGCCGTAATATTATTGATAAACAAAGGTACATGTTGCTGCTGTTGTGGGTATATATGTGCAGCTGAACCAATGAACTTTTAAGGACTGCACATGAAGAGGTAGTGCCATGATCGGTGATTATATTAATGTGAGCAGCTTGCATTAACTGTTCCAGCTGATGAAGTTGCCACAATGCACATCTGTTTTGTAATTGTTGGCATCTTTGTGCATTTGTATTTCAGACTCTGATGGCTACGAGTTTATCATTGTATCTCTGGACAACAAGCAGTGGCAGTTCGAGGCGTCCAACGGGGATGTAAGTTCTGCAGCAACCAATAACTTGTGTAGCAACTCTGCACATTGTTTCCAGGTGGATGGGCTGTTTTATTTCCACCCATCTCTGTCACTTGAAGCTCTAACCAGAGCTCATATTGTTTGAAGCAAATTGATTACCATTGCTGTCGGATCATATTCCTAGGCAGTTGTAAGACTACATGCAAATTTTCGTTCACATTAGTGCTACTTGATTTGTGCTCGTCAACATTCATTTCCTTTCGGGTGACTTATGTGAGCATCATAGAACTTCATAGATTCTGTAAACACAACTAAGTACACAGCCATGCATAAAGCGTTCTGTTGGATTCCAAAAGCTTAATGGCATTTCTCATTTCTTGCTGTAGTATTACTGAAGCGAAGAAGATGCTTGCAAAATCTCATCAGTGGTGTCATCTGCTCAATCACATCTTATTCCAGGCTTTCATTTTATTTCACCTGTTTATCTATAATATATTTCATTCTCACTTGTCTGCAATGCTTTCTGCATATGCTTGCTGTGTGATTTTTTACTAGAATTGGGTGTTGGAGTCCACAGGCGTATCTTGCAGTGTTGCAAGTTGTTCACCATTAATGATTGAGTGTTCTGTCCATATTCGCTCTATATGGGCACCACAACAAAGTTGCTGCATGATGTGACTACGTCCTAAGTGCTTTTGATAATGTCCGTTGTTGCTTTAGTTGAAATGAGCTGTGATCATTACTTCTGCTATTATTCTTCAGGATAGGGAAGGTTGGGTCAGTGCCATCGAGCAGCAAATTCTCAGCAGTCTTCAGGGAAATGAAAGCAGTAAAGCAAAGGTGAGAAGCATTTTGCAAGTCTTCAAGGTACTCAAAATAAAGAAAGTGCACAAGGCAATTTTCACACTGTTCATTTGCATCTGTCGCTAGTTATTGCCTTCATTGCTCCGCTATAAGATTGTGTACCAGCTAGGACAGGTTAGTTCCCAACGCTGACGCTCCTACTGTCATTAATTTTATTATTGTCACCTTTTTTGGCAGAGTCGCATGAACAGCATAGCAGACTCTGCATCGTCGATCCAGGCCATTCGGACAAGTGTGCCTGGCAATTCTCATTGTGCCGACTGTGATACACCACGTAAGTTTCACAACATGGCGTGTTTGAGACTTCCCTTAATGTGCATGCTTTCCGGCTGAGATCCTACAAGAACTAATTTCAGAAATATGATCTCTCTTCAAAGTGGAGAGTGTATAAAAGATAAAATTAAGTAGAAATGAGTTTCTCCACCATTAAAAAAGAAAAGAGAATGCCAGGCTGCATGCAACATATAACACAGTCGCAGACTAAAATTAGAAGAGTGGCCCTTCAATAGCTTTTGTGATGTGCTTGGAGAGAGTGCCTGCATATGGGAAACTGGCTGTAATGTTGCCGATTTTTGTGTTGGCGGGCCATGTCTGGCAGCGAAGGCCCGACGGCTGGATGCGAGACGCGACGTGTGCCGGCACTGCCCGTGACATGACCAGTAGAAGTGTCAAGGGAGTAGAAGTGCGACATTAGCCTGCAAAAGCCCAACAATGACTAAGCTGGCACAGTCAGGGACAACTCTCGTGGACACAAAATTAACCAAATTAATGTGTCGGTCTTCGTCGTCGTCTCTGGCTCAGGATTACGTTACACGTAACTCATCAATGGTGTTGTGACTGTGGTGCGAGCCGCATATGTATTGGCTGGAAGTGGAAGAGCTGTAGGCCTACCAGGAACTGCGGTGAAAGGATGCGGCAAATCTGTGCAGCCTCACTCGTGTCTTCCGAGATAGACGGCCACTTCAGGGGCCTCTTCGCCGGCTGTCTTCAGAACCGGGCAGCTCTACTACTTCCATCGCTGTAGTGATGCTTACCTTCCTGATTTTTGCAGTTTGAAGCCCCAATGCACAATAGTCCCAGCTCATCCTCTGCGATTTTTCAGTACGGCTCGGGTCGCCTACTTCGAGGGTTCTTGTCCAATCTCGTACGTGAACACGGCGCGTATGTGCACCATCAGGGGTCTTGTCCACGGCTGCCGCATTCCAGTGCCCTTTTACTCATGACAGTAGTTCACAATGGGTGCACTGAGAAGAAACTCGCAAAAAGGAGGAAGGCTTGTTGTAACAACATGTACTCTATTGCCACTTTGGAGCTTGCTGTTCTTGTTGACTGAAATCAATGAGAAGGCAGAAAGTGTCTGCTTTGCAGTGAAGCTCCCATCATGAAGGCATGGTAGCAATGCAGTTTAGGAAACTTATAACTGATACAATAATTCACCAAGTCACGTAATAACATTTCCATGCACCGAAGGGCTTGTCGGTCGTACGAGTACAAGCCCTGGTGCGTGTTGATGACAGTAACCTTCTTTGCCTTTCCATCAAGCAGTAGTTGGTCATATGCATTTCGCGAATCCAGTGTAGTTAATGCTTCTCCCCGTAAAGCGCGGCAAAAATGTTATCCACCTTAATCAAAGGGTGACTGGCCAGATTAGCGGTGAGCTCAAAATCACCGCACAATCTTATGTCCCCATTCTTGTTTACTTTTGGTTTGACAGCAGCAGCCCACTTGGGAACGCTCACCAGAGACGGGACACCTTGCTGCATGACGCAGTCGATTTCTGCTGAGACTGCTTTGTGAAGCACACCGGGCAAATCACCAAAAACCATGGCCCGGCTCTTTCTTTCTTGTACAGCTTGACAGGTGGACCTTTGCAACAGCCAAGTCTGAGAACTCTTCTAGCAGCTCTTTCAAGGCATCTTCTGCCTGTAGCGCATAGACACTTGGTAGAGCCCTTTTTTCTAAAAGCGACACACCAGCTTAAAGCTTGAGTAGTGTTTCGGCTGCACAGAAATAGCCCGTCGCAATCGACTACTATGAGCGAACTGTCCACTGATGTCTTGTTTTCTACGATCATGGTGACTCTGCCAACCACTGGAAGAGGACTGAGGAAGCAAGATAGCTGAAGGGGCATTTTTTTCTAGTCTGGGCCACTCTTCTAGGTTTTTCGTGAAGCCGTTTTTTGGAATGGCAATAGCAGATGACCTTGTGCCGATCAGCATCTGCACTGTCATGTCACCCCATCAATTGTGCCAATCTTACCATTGTGGCAAGACTGGTATAGCTCTTACTATCGTGTTGCGGCAGTCGACACTAAAGCTATGGAAACTGTGTACCTATGTAATGGGCATATTGCTTGTTTGTAGGCAGTCTTGGCTGCTTGTGTTGTTACGTGATGCATTTTTCAATTGTATTGAAGCCTCGTTGTGGATGGAATTCACGACTGTAATTGTATATGCAGTGTTCATTTACCCTCATTTGTTCTGTATTTATACAGTGGTTAACAGACACAAGTATGTGCTGGTGAAGCTTCTCTGTACATTTATAATCATAGCCTGCCGCAAATGTTGATATGCTCTGTGTGTCTTTGCCACAGAGCCAGACTGGGCCAGCCTCAACCTTGGCACACTCATCTGCATTGAGTGCTCGGGCATCCATCGCAACCTGGGCTCCCATATCTCCAGGGTCCGCTCGCTAGACTTGGATGACTGGCCGTAAGTTCCAGGCATTGTTTGTGCCTGACATACTGAGTTCGACAGGAAATGAATCCTACTGGATTTCTAACAAGGTTAGGAATATTGCTTTTTGTCAGCAGTGGCTCTTGTCCATGCAGGCCCGAGCATGTGGCTGTGATGATGGCGCTAGGCAACATGGCGTCCAACTGCATCTGGGAAGGCAGTGCCGCTCGAAGTGGTTGCGCCAAGCCCGGCCCCCACTCGAGTCGCGATGAGAAAGAGCGCTGGATTCGAGCAAAGTACGAGCAGCGAGAGTTCCTGGCACCGCTGCCTTCTTCGAGTGGGCCCACCGCGCAACAGCTTCGCGATGCTGTGTGCCGTGGGGACGTGAGACAAGTGGCACTGCTGCTAGCGCACGCGGCACCCCATCAACACGAACTGGTCAACGCGCCGACGAGTGCTCGAGACTCGCGAACACCTCTTCACATGGCTGCTGCATTAGGGAAGCTGGCAATGGTGCAGCTTCTACTGTGGGTGGGTGCCATTCGGATCATTTTATGTAAAGGTGTGACAAGAAGGCGAGTCAGAATATGTGCATATTTAGAAATGGTGGGGTGAACTGTGTAATGAGGGAGACCTATTTAGAAAATGTAGGCTTGTGTGAATGTTCGAAACATTCAAATATTCGAAGAAACATTACAGTACTCGAATTTGCTTCGAATATTGATAATTTTGAAATATTCGAAATATGCGAATACGTGTACAGTAGACTCTCAGTAAATGAAAATTTGTTAAATGAAACTATTGCCTCTGCAATGCTTGGTTTCGGGCTTGTATTCTGCACCCATATTCACCTCTCGATAAACGAAACTTCTGTCAAATGGAACACATTTTCCCGGCCCTTTCAGGTTCCATTTACTGAGAGTCTACTGTATGTTAGCACACATGCAACTTCATGTGGCGATGGTTTTATGGCAGTAAAGGAGTGCTAAACTGCGAAAACACCTAGTTATTGGAAATCCACACTGTTGCGAAGCCACATCTCAAGTTAAATGAACATATCACCCTCACATCGATTCATCATTTTCAACGTTTGAAAGCTTGTTATACCAAGTTGTATTATCGGCTTATATGCTCTAGGTATAGTATATATTAAAATGTAACTATTTTACAGGTTATCATTGGCAAGTCAAATCTTGCTACTGTTGGTAGTTTTTTTTCTACTCCCTTTGAATAAAAAAAAATGGCATTAGAACAGGCGTTGTTTCAATGTAAAAATATATCCACTGTGCAGGTTAGTTAGATCACGACAAATATGTTCATTTTCTTTTATAACATGTGATTTTGTATTTATTCGCATAATCCTCGCACTTTTTTTGCAGAAAACAATTAATAGTTGTAGGGTGCGAGAATTACAGAGGGAAAATTTTTTGCACAAGTGTACAGAGTGGCCACAAATAGGAATTTCATTGCTAGCAACCAACTACCGTATTTCGAATATAGGGTAACCTTTTTTTTTTTTCTGAAAATGTTGTTCGTAACCTGCTATTGACGTATATTCGTGACCAATGAATCTCGACCTATATCCACGATTAAACAACCAAAAGCGCTGAGCTTATGGCGTTCAAGTGTTGCACCTACTGTACATGCGTATGCAGCGGTTCCGGCTGCATACGCATGTTATATACAGTAGAAACCCGCAATAACGAAACCCCGCGACTAAGAGATCCCCGCGGCAACGAAATATTTCCGGATTCCCGGCGAACATTCATAGAAGCCCATGTATTACGTATCTCGCGGCAACAAAGTGTTTTTGAACAACGATCCCGCATTAACGAATTTTATACCACAGTGCGGGCCCTATTTTACCCTCCCGCCAAAGGTTAACTGTCGAAAGTATGCTCGTATGCGTGTTAGGCGCACTCAAAATTTGTAAACCTCTGCTTCTGCTGCACTAGCGTTGGTACCGCCATTTTTGTTTACTTAAATCGGCGATGTGGTCTGGGTCCGGCAACATGCCTGGCCACACTGCAGCAGGCGATGGCAAACGATCATGCTGTGATAGCAAATGATCAGGCTATGGCAAATGATCACGCGGACTTCACCATCACCGTGCAAGCATCTCGCACGGATTGTGCTTCGGCTTCACCAGACGAAGATTTGGATGAAGGGGAACTTGACGGCGAGAGTGGTGGCAGTGCAGTACCTCTATCCCTGATTAACGCCTGGGGGGAACTTCGAGCCATCGACATCGACATTCCAGATGAACTCACCGTTGATGCGTTCGTTCGCGCCGATGACGACGTAGTCGTGTGCAAGGAAGTGACCCGAGGAGGCCATTTTCTAAAGCGTACCAGAGAACACCTACACTTGCTTTTTGTTCATTGTACAATCGATGTGACGAGATGACGGTTCGCATTTGCTTTAGGCACTGCACCGTGCTCTCTACCGGGCTGCAGAAATTAGGCGCCTTCTTCTTCTAACCCCAACCACCATTTGGTTGTGCGCGGTTGCGACAATGTCACGTCGGCAGTGCTACACGGGTGACTTAAAGTGCCAAGTGATACATTTTACTGAGGACTCGAGCAGTTGTGTTGTGCTGCACAAGCTCTGTGTAAATGAGACGTTGATTAGAGGTTGGCGAAAGCAGTGCGACCGTCTGTTTGTGCGGAAATGTCAGCATCGTGCCTTTCGCGGCCCAGCAATCCGCAGCGGTGACAGTAAGGACGTCGTCGTTTGGAAAGTCCCAGATGCTTGCGAAGAATCCGATGACATCATCATCTTACACCTCTCACAAGATGACAGCCCTAGCAGCAATTAAGACGCTAAGTTATGTAAATAAAGGTGTGCTAGGTTTCAATTTCTCTGTTTCTAAACTAAAAGAAAAAGGTCAACCTCTATTAAAATATTTTTTTTCTCTGGTAGAACACTATAAGCAAAGGTCGACCTATATTCATGCCTGACCTATTTTCGAGTAAATACAGTACAAGCTTTAAGAAGCACAAATCAAGACCTGCCTTAACAATAAAACCGGAGGCTCATCAAAAGGAAATATTTATCTGAGACACGAAAGTTTCAAGCAAGTAGTAGAGAGCGTTAGAATAGCGTCAGCATTTGTCACTCAACGGGAGCCTGCAAAAGGTTAACATACGATGTCAATCTTGGGTCATCTAACTCGGTATCATTGGCAGTTGCGTACTGACGAAATAAAGTTTTGCCATTCATCCTAGTCTTAGGCGCACAGAAGGCCCAGCGCATCTTGGTGGCCTTCAGCTGCCTATGCCGCTGTCGCCAGTAGTGAACACAGGACTTGTTGACTCCAAAGTGCCTACCGGTGGCCCTGTCGCTGTTGTTTAGAGCATGATCAATCCCTTTCAACTTGAAAGCAGCCATGTAACTTCCATATCGCCCCATTGCGGAACCACTGAATGGGCGCAAACAACCAGCTAACACGCTGCAATGCACACTTGCCACTTTGGCTTCGATTGGATTGAGGCTCTGTGCATTGATAGTACGCATGATATTAAGAGATAGTGCCAGGCTGTCGTGGCCTATAATCATCAGTTGTTGGAAGTAGCAGACAACATTACAGCTGCAATATTCAGGAGTGCAATATTTACTCGAAGAAAAATAAATCGTATCTTTGCTGGGTGATGCGGGGTGTGTGAGAATTATGTGATTGGGAAGATTACACGAGTATATACGGTACATGCCATATCTACTCGCAAATCAATGCACTTGCATAATAAACGCCGCACCCCCAACTTCAGTCGTCAATATTTGCTATTTTTTGCCCTGCGTAATAAATGCACCCCTAACATTCATCCGCTGCAGTCCCGCTAACCAACACATGGCACCTCCTTGCTTGTTCGATCTCTTCCATTTTTTATAAATATGCCAACCCTCCTCAGCCACATTGGCTCGCTTCCTCCTCCTATTCACCAGCTGCGGTGCACCGTATTCCTTTTTTTCCATCTGTGCATGGAACGTCCTCAGTCTTTTTTAATTATATATGCCCCACAGCGGGGTTCTTAAATGGTGCGAGAGTAGAGACATCACAGCTTATGAGCACACATCGAGCGCAGGTCACGAAACTTCCCGCGCCAACAGGCGGTCACTTCCTGCAAATATGAAACTGTAAGGCCCAACCACATGCACACAATTGTCGAGAGACGATGACAGGATTTGCTGTCGCCATGGCTGTCGCAGAGGGCCATTTGGCGCTATCGTGTCACAGGTTTCTGGAAAACCAGAAAAAAATCGCCTGTTACCCAGAAAAGATTGCGACTATTTCTGCAACATGGTTCCCGATTCTCTTCGCTTGCAAGCAAGGCGGCAACCGTATTTTGTCATTAATCTTGTTATCGACGATTGGTTTTGATGCTTCGCTGGTAACTTGCTGCAATGTTGGTTACTTGCTACAATGTCAACGGCATCGACACGCTCGTCGTGCGAGGTTGCCGTGAAGTTGGCAAAGTGCGTCTTAGCGCAGACTTTTGAGTGCCCCTCAAGATCACAGCAGATACCGCTGTTGCGGTTAAGCAATTGCGAGAAAAGATGACCGCGAAACGCTTTTATGGCGTGTGCGGGGGGGGGGGGGGACAGCTTGCGAAAGATAGTGCCATCAACCACCAAAGATGAGGGTAGTGCAACGAAGAAGCCGCTTTCAACAGCGTGTGTATGTCTATTGCAAAAGGCAAAGCAGCCTATTACGAGATTTTTCGCTCATCCCAAGAAAGCTTTCATCAAATTTGCCCTGCATGATAAACACACCCTCAACTTCGCTCTGATTTTTAGAAAAAAAAAAATGGCCCTAAATCTTCATGTTTCATTGCAAATGTCATCGAAAAACGATACTCTAGCATCTGGAGAGAGTGAGCAAAACATTTATTTGATGTTATGCGCGAGAAAATTGGCGAATTGTATTCTGGAGACACTGCGTCAGAGAGTCTCGATCCGTGCAGCGGAGGCGAACGAGCGCATCAAGTCACGTCACACGTGAGACATGGGCGCTATCTGGCAGTTATCTTCAAAAACAGAGGCAGGCCTGCACGCCCGTTTTGGAGGCGATAAGATGTTGAACGTAAAGCAATGGGCAGGGGCCACCATCTTAACAAAGCGTAGAGAACAGTTGCCTTTTTGAGCATCACATTGCATTGTCAGTGCAGCGTGATAAACGCTACGGTCCTTATAATTAATCCTGTATGCCTTCTCTAGTATAAAGACACACATATAAAATATTGTTCTGTTCTTATGGTGCCTCAGATATGCGCAATAATTGCTTTTTAATTGACAATTGCACAATTATAAACACTGAAACTTGAGCAATATTGATGGACGCTGCAGATGGGGTTGGCCGTTTAAGGTATCCTTTAGGGCTGTTTGGAGTATTGTTACGGCAGACAAACAGACGAATGTACAGACAGAAAGATCAAAATTTTTACGGCGTAGTACCCAAGAAAGACCATCGTCTTTAAAAAAGTACATTCATTATGTGAATAAATATGGTACTATTCAAATTCCACTAAAAATTATTCAACTAGCATCACCACTAACTTCTAATTTGCTTCGAACCTAAAAGGCACTATTCGCACAAGCCTAGAAAAAATGCTCCGAAAAAAAGACACCAATGCAAGGCTCTCATCGATATAAAGCACTACATTTGAGTAGTTGGAGAAGTCTGGTTCACCAGGCTTTATTGTTCTGCATTTCGCCACGTGCATTCTCTTTTGTTATTGCTATCCAATCTGCAGTTCTAGCTCTATTGTGACATTAAAGAGAATGCCTGCCTCTGGCTTTTAAGCTCACTGTAAAGCATAAAGGAAAGAAGGCAATCAACTGATTGTAGCGTGAAGCCACAGAGAAATCCATATGGATTTCTCAGAAAGAAAAACCTAGAAAAATTCGTTCTGGTCCGGGGTTCGAACATGGGACCAATGCCTATCCCGGGCGGTCACTCTGCCAATTCAGCTAACCAGGAAGCCAGCAATTGACAGCGCGAAGGCGAATTCATCGACAACTCTAAGCACATAGGCACAAGTTCTTGTTAGCCATGGTGAAGAGCAGGCTGCCGTTTTAAATGGATTCTTATGGCTTCTGCTTTTCGAAACACATGCATCACGGACTTTTTTTAGAGAAGAAAATTGTGTTTTCACTTGCAACTTTTTTTAAGGTTGTGTTTTATGGAATACGAACTTCGGGATACAGTGAATGAATGCCGCGTCACGCTGAGGTTTGTTATAAGCGGGCTCAACTGTAACAACTCGAAATTGGATAAGTTAACCCAAGAAATCATTAAAACTTATCACATCAGAAAGTTGTACACCTTCCGTGTTATTGCTCTTGAGTTATTAGAAAAAGAGATTGCATATCTTAATATATTTTAAATTGTTACTGAGTCCTGGCTCAATCAACACAATACATCACTTCTCGTTATTCTATGTGTATCACATTGCTAATAAACGCCGTTGAAAGTCAGTGCATTGTGTTATCTTCACCAGTTCTTGTCTGTCGTGCTATTGTTACATTCATCTTGCTGAAACCTTCCACATCTGAAGTCTGCACGAATATTGCATATCAAAGTTTTTTTTTTGCTTGGATTGTGAAATAGGTTAGCTTGGCGATTTTTTTCGTACAGATTGCAGGCAAAACTTAAAACGTTCCTTGTGCTCAATTGTGGTGCTTGTTGAGTGGTCAGACTATAATCAGAGTCTCTCACTATTAACTGTCTTTTAAGGAAGTCGTTTTGGCATGTAAACCCCCCAAAGGACCTTCCTTATTTTTCACACTAATGCTTCGAGTGCATGTTCAGTACTTTGAGTAAGATTTGAGTTGTTAATTGCTTGTCAATTTTTCAGAAAATGCTTAGACACTGACCAAAAGAGAATAAAAAATGTAATGAGATGTTTCGGCACCCAGAACGGGAGCGTTTTCACAATGCTTGTTCACAATTCACTCACTCATGGTTTGACCCGAGTCTGAGTCAGTTCACTCACGAGTCTGCTGGCATAAAATTAGCTTTTTCGGTCTTGGAAGAAAGGCTCTTCAACGCTAATGTCTGACATAATCGATACTCTATGACTCGCACAAGATATTTATATTACAAACACCCCACGAAAAAGTTCGTGGGGAAGTCTTGGCACCCCCTCACCCAAACTGACACAGCTGATAAATAAACATTGAGGGGGCGCCTAAATGCTAGTGCAGTGGAATACGTGTGGATAGACTCGAGTCCAAACATGAGCCCATGCAAGGCTCATAGTAATCCTGATAGGACCATATGCCGGCAAAAAGATGTGGAAATCTCAATCACTCAAGAAATACATGTTGCACTTTGGGCTATCATAAACACGCCAACATTTTACCCAGCCAGACTGACTCAGACTCAACAAAATTTTCCCCATTCGGTCAATCTCACGGCCTGATTCAAGTAACCTTGAGTAAGTTGACTCATCAATGAGTTTGTTTTGTGGATGGTTGATACAAAGTTATGGGCAAGCGCAACCAGGAAATGATTCTGCCTGCTTATGGCATGGCTAGAAAACATTGAATTTTCAATGACAATGCAAGCATAGTGAGAAATCAAGTTGTGATGATGATTATTTGGTGACTCTTGTGCAAAGTTAGTATAGTTGTAATTTAGGAGTTTAATCGAGTGGGGTCTCTTCCAGAACAATGCCAATGCTAAAGCGGTGGACTCTGAAGGCAGGACCCCACTGGTGTATGCAAAGAACTCCAACTTCACCGAGATCTACGAGTTGCTACTGCACAGCGGAGGACCCGACCCGAACCAGCTGTCAACCACGCTGTCTCGGCGGAGGGGAAGCCTATCCAAGCGATCGGACGTCTTCGACAAGCTCCCAGCCAGCATCATCTAGAAGCCCAAAGACAGTTCCTTTTTCACCGACCATCATCTCATTGCATCACCCACTGCCCTCAATCATTATTTTACATCCTTCACTATTTTGTGTTGTTACTCATTGTTCTATTTGCTGAGGAATTGTGAAATGACCTAATATATTAGAGTCGCTTGTCTGTGCCGTGGGCAGACACTTGTCTCATATTCGCTTCATCAGGCCTCAACTTTCGTTTTCCTTCTCTGCCAATGAGCAACGTTTCCTATCGGTCTACTTTCAGCTTTTAATGGTTCTTGGACAGTGCTTGCTATAAAGCAAGCAAGATCTTATTCTGCATTGTTAACAGAGGAAAAAAAAGATGCTATGATTATCTGCCTGTAATAGGCACTGGTGACACATAATTAGGCCTATTTGAGACAACAGTATTCTGGAAATTGAAAGAAAATGTGCTCGGAATTGCTGTTGCTTCTTAGGTATTAAAGAAGCTTTAATGCCTAAAACGTTATTGCTGTTCTCAACTTCGAATATATTGCCTTTTTTATTTCTTTCCTTTTATTGCTCAGGCTCTTGTAGTTTCTTCACACATTGTTTGTCTTTGCTGTGAAATCAAACAGTTCCTGCCGAAGTAGCTAGTCCCAACTTTAAGATTAAATGTGTGTACTAGTTACTAGCTGTTTAGTGCCGCTGCAGCTCAATCAATAAACAGCTCGTGCGAAATTATGAAGAACAGCTTACATTCTCATAAGTGCAGACAAATGTAGTGGCTATTCTGCACATAATATGGTACCATTGAGAAAACATAGCCACCTGTCAAGCTCCTTCGGTACCTTCTGTGTGCATTTATGAGAATGCAAATTGACTGTGTGCTCGGAAGTGGGCCTAAGCTGTAGTGATGTGTCTCTCAGCCAAGCAGTGCGGCACAGTAGTGTGTGCAGCGCCAAAGCCCCATGTGTGCTTGCGTGAAAGTGTGCTTGTTAGGGTCTCACAGAAGCTGTGCTCCTGTGTTCCCATTGGTACATCCGAATGAATGTAAGCATTTTTATTATACAGTGCTGGAATGCCATGTAGAAAATTGTTGCTCGTTGGATCGCTGTGGTATTCTTTTCTTTTACTACGGCACTTCCACGTGTTTGCCTCTTGAATACTGCACACACTACTGACACTAACGTCGTGTCAAGAAAACACTACTCACCGTCCACAAGCTTAGTTTTCTAATTGAGTCGTCCTCAACGATGGTGACTGGCGGGTTTGACAAAAAGCACGAAACTGCGCTGGGAGAATGCTTTACTCTATAGTGCAGCAGACAGTTGAAGCGGACTGGTCGAGATAGGGCTGTACCTGTGTAGTTTAACATTTAAAACTATTATATCTCCTGTTAACAGAAAGAAAAGCTTCGTCCTTGCCCTGCGCTGTTTGATTGTTATGACAACACACAGACAGTCTTGAGTGATCCGCTGCCTTTTACGTGTCTGTCACAGTGAAGAACCACGATTCGTGAAATTGGTTATGCGGAACTGGGGCGTGCATTCATTACCTAACGGTCTCTAAAATATGTAAAATGAGCCTACAAGGAGTGCAATTGCTGGATTTGTCTGTCTTGTGCTTGTTGGGCTTATCGTCGAGGTACACAAATTATGCCATGAAAATTTACCAAGCAACAATTTTTAAAATTTTTTATGACTGACCTACTTATTACAGATTATCCTTATCGAGAAAAGGTCAGACAATGAAATGCAGCTTGCATGTGGGTGTAACCTGTCTAATCAGGATAATTATATAAAGGGTGTATTTATCAATGATATCTCAGGCAACGTACATTCAGACGTTAATTTATGGCTGCTTAAAAATGAGCAATAGTACTGAAATGGTACTTTTTGAAAAATTATCTTTTTATCTTGAGAGAAAACAAGTGCTCCTGTATTATTTCTTTGGCGTCTTGCTTTTGTATTATATTTGCTGTGGTCATTGCAGTAGCCCTTAAACAGTGTACATATGTTTCAATAATTTAAGCACTTGTTTATAGCTTGGGGGGCTGCAAACTGCGTGTGTCCTCTGACTGCACCTCCTTTGTGTTCGGTGTTGCAGTGTTTTGGCAGGTTGTGGAAATGTACATATACTGCAGATGTCTAATTTAATTATTTACGTACAGATCATGTTCATTACTTTAATGATGGTTTTATTTCTGTATGTGTGTTGTTTTTTTGCTTCTAAGGCCAAGACAGCCAAGAATTGCTTTGTACAGCCGAGATTTTCATGGAAGGACCCTTTTGATTGTCCATGCGTGCTGTTTAATTTTTAACCCACCATGTTTCCTTTTAATGCTGGACAATGTGGCTAGTTTTTTTCGTAAACATTCCGTTTGCATGTTCATTGTTATGAAAACATTTGAGCAGCATCAAGATGCACTGTCTGGGAGGTGAGTTTTCATACTTCTGTAAATTTTCCAATATTCTAGTTAGATGCACTTAGCCAAGTTGCGAGATATGTGAAATCAACTGAAATTCTTGTATGTTCTGATTGTGGCATAACTTGAGGTTGAATACTGTGTGGTTTCTCCCCAGTGTTGCTTGCTTTGTGATGGTTGCTGATGTACTTTGTTGTGGCTGGTCTCTATGTTATGTCCAGCAAGGGTGTAGTCAACCAATTGCACGTTTAAATTGACAAAAAATGCTGTTGGCATCGGCTGCTCTCTTTGCTTGCAAGGTGTGGCTGCTGTCATGGCTGGAAGCAGTATTTGTTTGTAGCATTTTGTAAATTTGTAAAGAAAAATAGGAAAACAGGTTCTTTGCCTGTTTTCTTTGGAAGCAGAAAACAAGAATAAAGTTATACAATATGTACAAACCACTCCCAATGCTCGTTTACTTTTTGAATGTGGCTGTATAATTAGTGGGCTGCTTTAGTTCTGTCAGGTGACATCTTGTGCCTAGGCCAATGTTCGTTAGTGTATGTATGGTTCTTGCCCACATAGGTAACATCTCGTCCTCCCTAACCGGCAACCAAAACAAGAGGGCTCACCAGGTAGCATGTGAACTAGCCGCCCAAGGCGGTGAGCGGCCCTTTGGCAGGAAATGAAGGGGTTGAAAGGAAATGAAGAAATCTATTAATATCATCCATGACTGCCTGCGCAAACCAAACACTGATAAGAAGAAACGTGAAGCACGTGAGCTTAGCACATTTTCATTTGAAGTAAAAGGCACCAAGAGCTAATGATATTTTTATAGCCAAAACACATAAGTTTGTTATTTCTTTCAGAGCAAAACACATCGCAATACGTTGTCTGGTTTCTTCCACAAGCGCCTAGAAGCATCAACAGTTGTCGACCCATATTTAGTACACAGCTACTAGTAAAGAATTGGTCTAGGTTTGGCGGACCCTTCAGACTGCTCTGCTTTTCGTGTAGGTGGGAAGGACCCGTTTTTTTTTTTTTTCACTCATGACCACTGAATGAGGTGTATCACTGATAATAATGATGAACTGTCCTTCACAAACAACACTGGCATTTCAGAGGATAGCTTCCTAGAGCTGCTATGGTTTTATTTAAGCTTCACTGTTTTTTTCTTTGGGCAAGGCCTGCACCTACCAAAGTTGGTGGTTTGTATTGGCTCAAGAGTGGCTCCTGCATTCAGCAGTATTTTTATAGGAAAAGTTGACCATTTACCAACATGACCTAGAAGGCATTGTGCGTCACATGTTTAGGTGTGTGTATGTGTGGTTGTAGATTGAGGAAATTTCATGCACACATTTGGCCACGCGATAAGCAAGATTTTATCAATATACCACAAGCATTTGAAGGACCGCGTTGCAACAAACACGTCAGGGAACAATGTTATGCTAATAGTGGCACGTTGAGAATAACTTCAATTGAAAGCTGAATGTCAGGACTACACGCGGTGCAAGGAACATTATTAGAACCTGCTTAGTTTGAATGCAGGAACATTTTTGTCTCGAAAAACAGACCACTGTTTTCGACGTTTCCATAGACTCCCTTTGTACGGACTGCTCTGGGAACAAAATTGAAGATTACCCCAACATGATCGCTGCAGCCTTCTCGTCCGTTTAGGTTCTCAGGCGCGCTCTCTTGTCTGCGTTTTTTAATGTTCACCCTCTACAAATATTTATTCGAGAAAAGCTCACTGGTTTCATTGAAAACGCGCTAGCTTAGAGCCGGGACCGCTAGGGGCGCTGGCTGTTCTGTGTCCAGGAAAGTTATATATGGGCCTCCCAGGCACTCGTAAAAGGCGCAGCTCTCTCATGGGTTGAAAACGCGAAGTGACAAAGACGAAATTAAGACAAATTTAAGTATTTTCCTGATCAATGTCTTCTGTCGAGAAGAACTAAGAGTCGTTGTCCTGATCTGAGCTGCGTCCTGTGCCAAAGAACTACATGCAAAAAATGAAGGCTTAATCTTCGATATCTCACCTAGAAACCAAGAATAGCACTTTCATATAGAGTAGCGGTAGGATGCGCACAATATGGCTCTGTAGTCCTCGCTGCATTGCCAAGAAGTCAACGAGTATAGAAGAGGATTAGTTCCATTTTTATTACCCTGACAATATAATATATATATATATATATATATATATATATATATATCGTTCTTTGTCTCGCTCATCACAATGTATATATATATATAGTAAAGGAGCAAGAGCGGCGCTTGGGCACTGGTGTGAGCTCAGCTATAGCTTGAAGCAGAACAGAAGGAAGAAATCGGATAAAGAACAAGTCGGCGTTATTTTCCTCCATGTAATGACCCAGATTTCACAAACCACAAATAGTACTTGTTAAATTGTTACTTGAGCTTCTAAATGTGCAAGTTCATAATCTGCTTCATTTATCTGTGCAACGAAATTCTCCAGAAATCGTTTACAATGATGTCTTCCAAACTCACTCACGCTATGTCGTTACCTACCGGCATTTTAAATGGTTTATTGCAGGAACATTTAAGTACTCTGCCAATGTATGTAATTATTGCAACAGACGCATTGCAATCAATTGAAAAATCAGGCGTTGGAATATATTGTCACGCACTTAGAGCTCGAAGAAACGTACAAGGAGACGCGACTGTCAAAATCTGAGACACAAAGAAGGACCTCTCCACTGGCACGGGTTGCTCGTCTTCGTCTTCTTCGTTCAGTGGCTCAGACCTGGCTCACTGTTCGCTGGCACAGAACACCAGGTGGCATTACTCCTCCCACCAAAATAGCATCGACCCCGATGCTCAAGAAGAGTGTGTACAGTAGTGGGTCAAAGTAGGCAACATAAACAAACATTTAAAAAAAAGTTGCGCATGAGAGAAAATGCGTCCTGGGCCTGGCAATCTGAAATAAACAGTATTCACTGTTCACATGAAGAGTTCACTAGCACACGAAGAAAATTCGCATCACCGCGTAAAGTATGGATTTAGGTGGATGACGTATACAGTCTCTGGGAGTGGTAACCTGCGCTGGGATGATGGTGAGCCTCCATCTGGAACCACTTCGTAGTTGACGTCACTCACACATCTGAGTACTTTGTAAGGTCCAAAGTACTTCCTGGAGAGTTTCTCAATGGGACCTCGCCGCCTAATGGGTGTCCAAACCCAAACTTGGTCACCAGGTTCATAATTAACTTCTCGATGGTGGATGTTGTACCGCTGTGCATCTGCGCACTGTTGAGTCCTGATGTGCACACGGGCCAGTTGATGTGCTTCTTCAGCGTGCTGAATGTACTCATTGATGTCGGGGGCTAATTGGTCGAGCTCGTCGATGTCCTCATACCAAATTATGGCGTCTAGCATAGTTCTGACATCTCGACCATAAACGAGCTGAAATGACGTGAAGCGTGTAGTTTCGTGCGTTGCAGTGTTGCGCACAAATGTTACGTACGGCAGGATGTCGTCCCACGTTTTGTGCTGCACATCCACGTACATAGAAATCATGTCGGCTAGCGTTTTGTTTAGCCTTTCTGTTAAACCATTACTCTGAGGGTGATACGCAATGGTCTTTCAATGGGTTGTATACCTCAACCTGAAGATATCATCCAAAAGCTTCGCTGTGAATGATGTTTCTCGATCAGTGATGACATGTGATGGGGCGCCATGCCGTAGCACAATTTGATGCATAAAGAACTGGCAACTTCGGCTGCGGTCCATCGTGGCAATGCCTTCGTCTCAGCGTAACTCGTCAAGTAATCGATTGCAACAGTAATCCATTTGTTGCCGGAAGAAGACAAAGGAAATGGGCTTAGGAGGTCCATTCCCACTTGATCAAACGGTGTAGGGGGTGGATCGATCGGTCGTAAATGGCGTGCAGGCTTTAAGGGTGGTGTCTTGCGACGCTGGTATTCACGGCATCCCTTCACGTGGCGTTTGACACAGGCAGACATTTTAGGCCAGTAGTAGTGTTGTCGCACCCGATCCATAGTTCTCGAGTAGCCCAGATGGCCGGATGTGGACGCGCCATGGCAAGCTAATAAGACGTAATCGCGGAGGGCTTCAGGCACGATGAGAAGATACGATCTGTCACCAGCACCGGTGTTCTTTTTGTATAAGACGCCATTTCATAGGCAAAATGATGGCAACGTTCGCGAAATCGGACGAGGAATGGGCGTGGTGCCACCTTTTAAGTGATCTATAATCATTCTTAGATTGGGGTCATTTCATCGATGAGATATCAGATCCGGCCCGCTCAGAGTTTCCACGAAGGCGCCGTCCTCTTCTCCGCTTGTACTGGCGTATTGAAGAGGTGCTCGTGATAGCGTGTCGGCATCTTCGTGCTTGTGGCCCGACTTGTACACGATGGTGACATCAAATTCCTGTAGGCGCAGACTCCATCGTGCTAATTGTCCTGAAGGGTCTCGTAGATTGGTCAACAAGCACAAAGCATGATGATCGGTCACCACTTTAAATGGTCTTTCGTAGATATATGGCCTAAACTTTGTTAGTGCCCAAATGACCGCGAGACATTCTTTCTCTGATGTAGAATAGTTAGATTCTGCGCGAGACAGTGTGCGACTTGCGTAGGCTATTACCCGTTCAATGCCGTCTTGTCGTTGTACCAAAATAGCTCTAAGATCAATAATGCTGGCATCAGTGCGTACTTCTGTGTCAGCATCTTCATCGAAGTGGCCTAGCACGGGAGGGGAACAGAGTCGGTGCTGTATTTCCGCAAAGGCAGTCTGCTGTTCGTCAGCCCAGACAAATGGTGTGTCATCACGCGTGAGGCGTAATAGTGGCTCCGCAACGTTGGAGAAATTTTCAATAAAGCGCCAGTAATACGCGCACAGACCCGGCAATCGCCGAAGACTTTTCTTGTCAGTTGGAGTTGGAAAAGCGGCGACGGCAGCAGTTTTGTCAGGATCAGGCCGAACACCAACGGCGCTCACGACGTGACCAAGAAACTTTAATTCTTCGTAGCCGAAATTACATTTCTCAGGCTTGAGTGTGAGATTGGCCGATCTAATGGCTTCGAGCACATTCCGAAGGCGATGAAGATGCTCGTCAAACGTTTCTGAAAACACAACGACGTCATATAGGTAGACTAGACAGCTTTATCACTTGAGGTCTGCCAGGACGGTGTCCATCATTCGCTGAAATGTGGCTGGAGTGGAACAGGGGCTGAAAGAAAGCACTTTGAATTCATAAATGCCATCCAGCGTTACAAAAGTGGTCTTTTCCCGGTCACGTTCATCGACCTCTATTTGCCAATAACCACTCTTCAAGTCGACGGACGAAAAATACTTCGCGCGGCGCAGCCTGTCCAGAGAATCATCCACTCTGGGCAACGGGTACACGTCTTT